CAAATCCCAAGGTGGACTGGTTAAGCCTGAGAGCAGGTCGAATCCGTTCAGCCAGCGAAAGCTATGACGAGAGGTGCTGCCCCAGAAGAGCACCATCGACAGGGGTGTGAAAAGTGGAAATAGCGGTGGAGTAGCCGCGAATGGTCGGGCCGCCAGGCCTTCTTCCAAACGAGCTTGCAAAAACTCCAAAACTTCGGACTAAATCCGCAGAAAAGGGATCTGCAATCCCCTTATCTGAACACCAGCGGCGCATAAGCGGACCACCTATCCTCGCATACTGAGCGTTTGTCGAATCCCTTCGAAGCCAGAATTGTGTCTGCAACTGCTGCAGGAATTCCGCGTGCCTCGAGGTTAGACCTGACAGAGGCCAAGCCACCCACTGAATCCGTGGATTTGGGTGGGGCGCTCGTTCTGAGTGAGAATGTCCGATCGCATAAAGGTAATAGAACAGGAGGCTGAGCCAGAAACCTGAGAATTACCGAAACCAGCTCTGTGACGGCCAAAGCGGTGCCAGTAGCACAAGTAGCCGAGCTGGCTGGGTGGACAGCTGTGAAAGGACACGGGGAATGAGTGGTAATGGCGGGAACGCCCAGAGCACTTTGCCCGTCCCAATCCAGCAGGAAGGCGTCGGCAGCCAACCCCTGGGTCCGGTATCCGAGAGCAGAACACGGGTGTCTGATCGTCCGCCCGGACGCAAACAGATCCACCTCGAGCGACCCGCACAACTGGGAGATTACTGTGAATATCTGCCTGTCGAGCATCCACTCGTCGCGGGGCCAGGATCCGGCGAGAGCGCATCTGCTCGCATCGTTCTCCAGCCCCGGAGATAAACAGGGAGTACCTGACAATGCGTACTGGTCGCTCCAGAGGAGAAAGTCCCACGCTTCCCCGGAGGAGCTGGGGACACCGTGCCTCCCTGCTTCAGGATGTACGACATGGCCGCTGGTTGTCTAACTGAAGGCGGACGACCTGGCCACGGACATGCTCTCTGAAGCGCTTCGAATACCAACCGCACAGCTCTCAGTTCCAACACGTTGATGTGAAGGTGAGCCCGCTTCGGACCAGAGTCCGGAGCCGACAGACTGCCCAGAACGCCCCAGCCCGTGAGGGACGCATCTGTCTGAACTGTGAGAGCTGGCGTCCGGGATTGCCAAGGGGAACCCCTGGTGAGATTCCCCGACATTTGTCCACCACTGAAGGTGAGGTGTCAACCACTTTCGGGACTGTGAGACTGCGCTCCAGATCCTCCGTGTGAGTCCACAGCCGAGCCAAAGCTTGCTGTATGGGGCGCATCCTCAACCGCCCCGCCACACTACAGAGATCGTCGCCGCCATATGGCCCAGTAGGCGGAGCCAAGTCCGTGCTGGTGCCTGGGGCTGGGAGAGGAATGAAGAGACCATCTCCCTAACTCTGGTGACCCGGTCGGGGCGACAAGGAAACGAGATCCTTGTTCGCTTTGGAATCGCTCAAGAAAAACCAAGTCCTGGGTGGGTACCAGGTCGGATTTCTTGAGGTTGATGATCCACCCCAGTCGAAGTTAGAATGTCTATCACTGTGTGAGTAGCATCTTGACTTCGCTGGCTGTGTTAGTGCTCCGAGCAACCAGTCGTCTAGGTAAGGGTAACAACGCCTTCCTTGCGGCGAGCTAGGGTAGCTGGGACTAACATGAGCTTGGTGAACACCCTTGGGGCAGTCGATATGCCGAGGGGAGCACCCTGAATTGGTAATACATCCCGTCGTAAGAGAACCGAAGGTACTGCTTGAGCGAGGGATGTATGGGTACATGCAGAATCGCGATCCTTTAGGTCGATTGGCGTGAGCCAATCGCCGGGCTGAACAGATGAGATCACCGGCGCAGTGTCTCCATCTTGAAGGATGGTACTTGAGCATGCGATTCAACCCCTTGAGGTTGAGAATCGGACGGAACCCGCCGTCTTTCTTCGGAGACGAGAAGCACGTGGAATAAAATCCCGCCTGTTCCTCTCCGGTGGAATGCGCGATTGCGGACTTGTCCAGCAGAGCCTGAACTTCGTCGCGCAATATGTCCGCCCTGGCTTGACATGACGGCACCGGAGTGCGACGTATGCCGGTGAAGTCGGGCGGACCTCGCTTCCACAGTGGGAGATGGCCGATGCTGACCGTGGCCAGCACCCAAGCGTTGTTGGTAGCCTTCTCCCATTCCGGCAGGAATAGAGAGAGCGCCTCCCACTGGGATATGGGGTAGGAGGCGGCGTGTGTAGACCCGAGTAGCGGAGCTGACTGGGCGTGACACACGGCTTGAGCGGCAGCCTGATGGGTTAACGGGAGGTCGGGCCGACCTCCCGCCAGCGAAAGGCTGGGAGCTGGTCGAGGACTGCTCCTTGCCCCTACCCTTGGCGGACGGTTCCTCCGCCTACCCCTACCAAGCGGCCGAAGCCAGCCGGCAGACTCGGGTGTAGGCTGCACCCCGGCGGAGGAAGGTGGCACGGGAGCGCGGGGGCGAGACACCCGCGGGTGCTCCAACAAGGCTTTAGAGTCCTTGAAGGAGGTAGCTGCAGCGGCAGCCTCCCGTATGACCTGCTGGGCCCCTGGAAGAGGGTCGGCTCCCAGGCGGAAAGGGAGGGCCAGCAAGGTCTGCTGTGTTGCTGCCGAGTACCTAGACGTCGACAGCCACAGCCGGCGCATCCCCATGACTGCGCACATCACCGTCGACGCAGCAGACCGCAAAGAGTCGCTACGAGGTGAGCCTGCACTTCCAAAGCTGACGGAGCAGCACGACATGCGGCGACACGTCGCCAGCATGCCCTCCGCCTCAGGGCCGACCTCTGAACCGAGGTGAGGTAGGCCTCATGGACCACCACCGCACCTGCTGCATCAGCGTTCGGTAGACCTCCTCGTAGGTCCGGTACGCAGCGTGCGCAGGGATGCCAGCGAGGGCAAAGGTGGAGTTAGCCCTTGCCGAAAGCAGCGGAGCTGCTCCTGAGGAAGCCGAGCCTCCCCAGGGCGGCGGAAGTGAAAACACATTCGTCAACAATCGGTACAACGAACAGGGAATCCTCCCAAGCTGGTAGCGCCGCCGCGAGTTCAGGTAAGTCAAACCTTACTCGGGCACCAGACAAGAGGGGATCGACCACGTCCGAGACCAACGATGGCAGAATCGCGGAGCTGCGCGCTGTGAGGGTTGCCTAGGGGCAAACGCCTCGCCAGGCAAGCGGAACTCAGTCGAGTCCACGCTACCAGCAGGCACCGCTGCCTGGGGTAGGCCCTCGGCAATTCTCTGCCGGACCTCCCGCAAGGCGAAGCAAAACGGAAGCCGCCGTCATGCTCCTCGACCTCCCCAAGCTCCATTGCCTCGGCGTCCGAGCCCGAGTCAGAGGCTGGGTCTCCTCCGTAAGAGGACCCTAACCCCAACCCGGTGGACTGCCTAACGCTAGGAACCACAGGAAGGGAAGAACAGACAGACTGCTCCCGTCGCCAGCGCCAGCCGGCGTGCGTGGACCCGGTCCCGAGACGCTGGAGGCAGGCCAGGCAGAACTGGTGCCTCCGCTCTCATGGGGCGGGTGTGCGCAAGGACCGGAATACCAGGAATACTCAACGGCCCTCGCTGAAGCTCGAGAGGGGACTGGGAGCCCCTCCCTCTCCGAGGAGCAGCCGAGGCGTCCGGATCCGGCCAGAGGCAACGGATCTACAGACGCCTCAAGGCCGAGGGATCGAGCCGAGCCCGGCGATCCACCCGGACTCTCCGCCCCCGTCCGAGTGGGTGAGGAACTCCTGCCGGAGACCTCCAACCGACTCCACTGAACGAAGGACTTCATCGAGTCCATCTGCTGCTGAAACATAGACTCCATCAGTGACATGTCAAAACCACTTTCGAAGTGGCAGGAGAGGGGAAGGGCCACGGGATTTTTCCCTTTTTGACACACGTTTGGACTTAGACGGGGAACCTGCGTCAGGTCCCCCCCGCCTCCGCATTTCAGCGATAGAACAAGGTGTCGGCAGCCCGCCTCTTCTGGGCCCGGGGAAAAGGCCAGACAAATAGGACAGGAGTCACTCATGGCCTGTCTTCTCCAGACAGGCCACGCAACTCAAATATGACTGTCGGCCCGGGATACTCCCCTCACAGACCGAACAGCATGAAAAGGCCTGAAACAAACACGCAAAGCGTGTTAGTGAACGGCGACCAGCAGCATATAAACACGTAGAAAACATTGAAAAACTACGTGAAGGTTACCACGAGGAAAGTAATAGTTGGTTTTAATACGCAATATTACGACCACATGGCACGCTAAACTTCCGCCATGGCAGAGCAACACGCGTGCGTAACCACGGGGAAAGTTCGGCGTATTTAGTTTTAATACAAAGTCACAATTATGAAAACAACCAACTGTAAAGCTTTACTGTTCTTGTTTTAGACAAATAAAGACCATACATACAGGTGGTGTCTCAGACATATCGTTTAACAGCGCCGTACGGCTCATGAATGGGTTATCAAACACGTCTGTTCACGGCCGTGACAGCAGAAGGAATGATGATACGGGTCTAGGAGCCTACCCAGTTGGTGCGCATGCGCTAAGGGAGGTAACTCCGTGAGGTAGGGTCCGTATAATAAATAAAAGAGTTTATTTATTGTACAATCTTTTTATTCAAAAAACATTGATACAACTGTCACAGGACATTTTTCAGCCGGAAAATGCATAATATGTACCCCAAGGACGATCTCTCTGAAAAAGAATCATAGGGTTGAGTGTAGCACCTCATACATACAATCATCACGATTCCTTGCACTGCAGTCAGTTGGATCAAGAAGTAAACCCATTCAGTCTAAGGCCAAACAAAATACCGTACTCGTTTTTTCATTTAACATGGACCAAATAGGAATGATTCGCTTGGTTGGGTAGTTCATTTTTTGTATAATTTTTTTTCACAAAATTTGTTCAATTTCAGGTCAAAATAGCTAAAAAGATGATAAATGAGATTTGTTTCCAAAAGTTAATATTTAATCTCAAGCGGTCTGTTTCCTCTTCTGATAAAATCGTCTGGTTTGAATGTGAAAGTCAGTACTAGAATCTGCACTTTACTGTGAAAGCATTGGCTACTTTCTGAACAGCATTGTGAATTCATGAAACAGTCACGTTACCTGTAACAATTGTACTTTCTGCATAATAAGCACCTGGGCCATAGTATAACAAAGTACCTACTTGGATTCCAGTCCCAGGAGAAGCATTTTGTGAGATTAACCAATATATATCCAGAAAACTCTGTATGCTTCTTTTCATGCTGTTGATCCCTGGTTCGTCTGGTCCAGATTCGATTATTTACAGACCGCTGCCATACACCTGGAATATTGCTGAGTCCGGCATAAAACTAAACTAAACTCGCTCACCCACTGTATGCTTCTGTCTCATACTCATAAAACATAGTGATCACATAAAACTCTGCCTCTCATCAGTGTTGCTTGCAACATTGATTCTGCTCTTCCAAAGCCTTGAAATCCGGCCATCTTCCTGAATGGGTCATGAACCTGCCACTTAGATTTCAGGCTGATCAAACCCCAGGTGCCTCAAGACAACTGACACAAGTTCTTTGAGTTTCTGATCTAGATGCAACTCCCAGATTTTTCGCCCAACCAAGAGCAGCGTGACCCAGCACAGACAAAAGATAGCACTATGTGTTGGGAGTCTCAGTTGAAGATCCACATGATGTTCAGACCAGACATACCAATGTTCACTCTCCTGAAAATAAAAATACAATACATGTCATAAATAACTGCACACACAATTTTCAGAATTTCAGTGGGGGAGGGAAACAGGCTACACTGAACAGTATTTCGGTCATATTACAGCTCGTGAGGTGGGAGTAAAGTTTTAAGTGATGCAGGTCCTGAGGGTTTACTACACTGGAGTTTAAAACTCAAGCCCATTTTATCAAGTGTCAGCTTAATGTTAGGCTTAAAGCCTGAAGTGATGCAGGTCTCATACATGTACCACTTTGGAAAAATCATGGCAAACCATTATTCAAACTGATGACCTAATGACCTAGGTTCCTGATTTACCCAAGGGAGGCAACTCTGTTCAGCACATTGTGGCACCTAAGGCTAGTTGGCCATTCTGCCTTGACCACATTAGTAAAATTGAACACTTGTATCATGGTGATTACTAATGAGTGAGTGAGTTTAGTTTACACTGCCTTTTTAGCAATATTCCAGCAATATCATGGTGGGGGGACACAAGAAATGGGCTCAACACATTGTACCCATGTGGGAAATCGAACATGGGTCTTCATTGTGACCACTAACACCACTATCGCCGCCCCACTGCCCCTGGTGATAACTAAGGATTATCATAATGGTAAACAGGTGATTTAAACCATTAATAAGCAGATCTTGCCGGCCAAGGAATGTAACTCTGCGGCAGCACAGACAACTGGATCAGAAGTAACACAGCAACATGTTTTATATGGACCATCCAATCAGTTCCCAGACTGCTATGTTACGTCCCAGCTACTCATCCAATCTACTCACCCCAGCATCCCACCCCGCTTCATCTTGATGTAGAAGAAGAACAGCAGAATAGCCTGGAACATGTTGTTCCTGCCCTGGAACAAACAACAACATCTCATACAAGCTCATGTTTTACATTCAAAGAGATTTGTTATTTCTGGCTGAGTTTGGTTTTACGCCTCTTTTAGCAATATTCCAGCAACATCACGGAGGAGGACACCAGAAATGGGCTTCACACAATGTACCCATGTGGGGATTCGAACCCGGGTCTTTGGCATGACGAGCCAACGCTTTAGCCACTAGGCTACCCCATCGCCCCTATTTCTAAACACAAGAAGCAGGCTGGTGTCTTGGGGTCTGACTGGACATACCTTGGGCAGGTTGAAGGTCTCGTCTCCGATGATCACCTGGAAGTGTGGAGGGCTGATGGAGACCTGGTAGATGTACATCGCATCCTTCTTTCCCTGGTCTGATGGAAAACAAGCAGCTTCTTCATCAATACAGTCACATACATAAATGTCATCTGTGTGTGTTTGTGTGTCTGCTTGTACTTGTCTATAGGGCTATTACAACAAAATATCATGCCACAGCTTAACATGGACACACCACTCAGACACAGTATACGGAGCTGACCAGTCCTTGTTGTGCAACATGTTATATTTGCGATTACACTTTCATAGTAAAGTACAGCTTCTAGTACCTTTGTTGGGTTGAGTCTCATCTGGGATTCGAACCCACATCCTCACAAAGTCTGCCGCCCTAACCTGCTCAAACACCGTGACTTCCCAATCCCGGATGGGACTCAACCCAACAAAAGTACTAGAATCTGTACTTTACTATGAAAGTGTAATCCCAAATATAACATGTTACATTTGACCACTTTCTAAATGCCATTGTGTAAATCAGTCCTTGTTTATCCTCTTCTTGCAGAGAGTCAGGTCAGGTAATAGCAATGTATCGTCTTGTAACATCTCTTGGCATGACGTATACTGGGAATGAACCACCCACTTCCGCTTGCAGAAACATCTTTACCATAACGAGATGTTGGCTATAATCCATTCCCTGCTGCGAGACTAGCAACCATCTAACTCACCAGGTTGATCTGGAGTCTTCACAAAATGCTGGGAGGTGAAAGTCTTGCCATCAGGATATCTCGGCTGTGTGGGCAACAGGGAGTCCAGGTAGGTACACAGTAGGTGCATCAGCAGCTGCAATCATTCGGGCAAAGAAACATGCAACCACTTCATGGAGTTGGTTGTCTTTAACAACTTACATAAACTGATGCAGATGTATTCCATCCCAGAATCCGAACAGGTCAATTCCCTATGCTACACACGAGTGGTATTCAAAGCTGGTTTCAACAATATCCCAGCCCTATCATGTTGGAGTGGGCCCAGCGAACATGTGGTCGACATCATGAGCATGTTATTTAGAAACCAGTGAAACACTGCAACACCCTCCTCATTATCATCTCTTACAAACATGAGTAACCATAGTTACTGGTAGTTTTCTGCACAGTAAAGGCCACAGGGGGAAAGAGAAAATTTACAAGCATGAGTAAATTGTTCCACTACCATTCGAAGAGGAAAGGGAGATAAGCAAAAGATCATGAGTCAGGATAAGGAAAAATAAATTGTTATGAAAACACTGGCCAATACCAAAAAGCAATATACAATGCAGCTGCCTTACCATGGAGTCTGTGGGTAGATGCTCCCCCCATGGTTTGCCATAACTACCTCCACTGTTCCATGCAAAGGCAGACATGGCACCTGTAGCCAGGTCTGAAATGAAATACTTAGCATATAAATGAAAACTATATTTGTAGAATCGAGAGAATACAAGCAGGCCTTGTAAACAACGCAGGTTCCCAGGAACCAATTCTAACTGGGTATCCTCACTAGGGCTAGTTGACAAATTTCATACCTCGTATACGCTTCACGATGTACTCTTGGTTCGACGACACATCCAGGTAGGGTATGATAGCGTTTAGAGATGGTACAAAATTTCCTTTTGTCAAAGCCAGCTGTTTTAGCGTAGACACACTAACATCTGCAAAAAAAAAGTGAGTGAGTGAGTATGATTTTACGCCACTTTTAACAATATTCCAGCAATATCACGGCAGGGAACACAAGAGATGGGTTTCACACATTGTACCCAGGTCTTCAGTGTGACTAACGAACGATTTAACCACTAGGCTAACCCACCGCCCCCAACAAGAAAGATGAAGTGACAGAGTGTATGTTGTTTTACACAGATGTAGGCAGGGTTACATTACAGGTAGACTGAAATGGCAGAGAGAGAACAACATGATAATTAAGAACTTAACTTTAACTAAGCAGGGGAACTATCTGAAAGCGAAGAAATTCATCAGAATATTGAGAAAGAGAAAATTCAGGACTGAGAAATCCAAGATCAGTTCATCTTCAATTTATTGTGAGATCTCCTTTGGGTAGATAGTATATAGTATATGATGTTATCTATAGTAATATGAAAGAATCGCGTGGTCCTTACTTTATTTCAGTTGTTTATCGTCAGTATGCGTCAAGTATGTTATATTATCTGTATCTATATGCCAATTCAAGTTATAACATCTTTCTGTATGCACACTCATGTTATATTATGAGTCTGTATGCCCACATTCATGACATAGCATATACATGAATATCTATATTCCCCACCCTTGTTTTAAGTGTCAGTATGCCCACATTCATGACATAGCATATACATGAATATCTATATTCCCCACCCTTGTTTTAAGTGTCAGTATGTCCATATTCATGACATAGCATATACATGTATATCTATATTCCCCACCCTTGTTTTAAGTGTCAGTATACCCATATTCATGACATAGCATATACATGTATATCTATATTCCCCACCCTTGTTTTAAGTGTCGGTATGCCCATATTCATGACATAGCATATACATGTACAAATGTATTTCTATATTCCCCACCCTTGCTTTAAGTGTCGGTATGCCCATATTCATGACATAGCATATAAATGTATATCTATATTCCCAACCCTTGTTTTAAGTGTCGGTATGCCCATATTCATGACATAGCATATGAATGTATATCTATATTCCCCACCCTTGTTTTAAGTGTCGGTATGCCCATATTCATGACATAGCATATACATGTATATCTATATTCCCCACCCTTGTTTTAAGTGTCAGTATACCCATATTCATGACATAGCATATACATGTATATCTATATTCCCCACCCTTGTTTTAAGTGTCGGTATGCCCATATTCATGACATAGCATATACATGTATATCTATATTCCCCACCCTTGTTTTAAGTGTCAGTATACCCATATTCATGACATAGCATATACATGTACAAATGTATATCTATATTCCCCACCCTTGTTTTAAGTGTCGGTATGCCCATATTCATGACATAGCATATACATGTATATCTATATTCCCCACCCTTGTTTTAAGTGTCGGTATGCCCATATTCATGACATAGCATATGAATGTATATCTATATTCCCCAGCCTTGTTTTAAGTGTCGGTATGCCCATATTCACCATATAACATACGTATTGATATGTTCTTCTCTCATGCTGTAAATAGAGGATACTAAACAACCTTCCGTGTAATACCATTATTATTAAACAATTAATGAGTAGGTATAAAACAAGCAAAAGTGAGTTTGACATTAAATCTTTCTCGAGTTTATTAAAAATGATATTTCACGGAAATGAGTTTAGTATTCTGTTTAATACTCTCCAACATAAACTGATAGAAACTGCCTACAGTGTGATGACTAAGCTTTCCGCAAGTCAAGCAAGTTCTATCACCATTGTGACAGAGGTATAAGCATTGTGATGTCATAACTGTAAACCATTATGACGTCATACGTCTAGCGGTATTACACCAGTGTAATATTGCTGTAAAAATATTACACTGCAGTATCTTCCACAGGCGAGTACTAACACATTTAGCTGTATGCTTCTCCCATGTTATATTATGTGTATGGGTTTGCTCCACACTCATGCTATAACATCTGTACCTGTATGCCCCCCACGTATGTTATCTTATCCATCTACCTCCTGCCTGCAAGTCCTCACAGCCGATATTCCTGAGTGTATTGTTGACTTTCTCCAGTTCATTCGCCAGCTTGATGATCAAGGTGAGACTCAGCCACTGAAATAAGATCACCAACACTGTAGGAGAATTACATCAGGGTAGTTAGTTACATGACCGCCTCCGTGGTTAGAGCGTCCGCCCGGAGAGAGGAAGGTCGCGGGGTCGATCCCCGACCGCGTCATACCAAAAGACGCTAAAATATGGTACTTGTTGGTCCCAGCCTGGCTGGTCGGCTCGGAGTCAGTAGAATGTGTCTGAGTGGGGTATTCATGCTTCACTGCAGCATGGTATCTCAGTGGGCTAGCACTATAAAACCAGCTTCAGTCTGGGCTAGTACAAACAGCCGCACATACACATACACACACATGCACGTTGTCATATGAGCGAAATATTCTCAAGCACCACGTTAAACCCAATTTCACCTCACCTCACCTCAGTTAGTTACATAGGACTGTTTTGCAAGGATTCACCTTTATCATCCAAAACTGTGTTCCACAGGAGATATTGCTTGTGTGAATCAAACGATATCTCCAAGGAGATATTATTTTGACAGTAAAGTTTGTAAAATGCTGTGACAATGCTATGACGTCATGAACTTGATGATGTTACAATGCTATGACATTGCTGCACTGCAAGTCTAATGACAGTACCGTGTTCCAACATGTGCATTTTTCATCGAAAACTAATGAAGAGTGATTGTGTCCTTGTGTCTTCTGATATTAAATACATCAACACTTGTTGATAAAAGTAGAAATATTCTCGGCAAGCCTCATATATTTGTAACTTTATCAACTCGTGGTGATATCAAAAGACACTCGGGTGAGATTCTCCATTTGTCTTTGTGTTATCAAGTCCAGGGAACCGCAGTCATAACTTCTTGGGGTAATCAACAGTGGCGATCAGAGATTTCAAATTGTGTCATGCATTACTTGATTTGGTATATTGTTGCTGAGAAAACTTAAGACTAAAGCAGATGACAACATGGCTTGCAGTAAGCTAGCTTTGTCACAGGAAATGAAGCATCTCGCTTTGATTTGATCAGATGTCTTTCAAAGTTTTCATTCATTTGTCAATTAATGGCAAGTATGTGATTACAGATTACATCTCCATATATGATGAATCATGATGAACATGGTGAAATGTAGATGCATTGTGACACAACTTGTACCAAGGGAGAATGTATAGCTTACTTTTCGGAGTCTCTCTGTCCACAGATACAAGTTGTCCTCAGTCACACCAAAATTGCTCCAAACCTGGAAACGTAACAGCAACATACAGAAAAATGTATAACTATAAGAAAACAGAACCACAACAAGGAAACAGTATCACTATGAGAAAACATGGAATCACGTTAAATAAACATCGTATGACAAAATGAAACTTAGTATCACAAGAAGGAATCATTGTATGAGAATCAGGAAACAATCGAAAGGAAATAATGCAAACAATATGACTGACTGAGTTTGGTTTTACGCCGCTTTTAGCAATATTCCAGCAATATAACGGCGGGGGACACCAGAAATGGGCTTCACTCATTGTACCCATGTGGGGATTCGAACCCGGGTCTTCGGCGTGACGAGCTAACGCTTTAACCACTAGACTACCCCACCCGCCCCGGAAACAATATGGAAACGTTGTATTATATTAAGGAAAGACTATCATTGAAAGTAAACATAATAATGAAACACTGTTTCACAAAAGTGAGTTGCAGCTTTAAGCAATATTCTAGCAATGTCACGACAGTGGACACCAGAAATTGAACCCATGTGGGGAATTGAACACGGACCTTCAACAGAAAAGAGCAAACACTTTAACCACAAGGCTACCCTTCCGCCCACTGCATCACAATAAGGAAACACTGCATCACAATAAGGGAACACTTCATCGTATTAAAGAAACACAACCACAAAAGGCAATGATGTAGACATGTCAAGGCACCAAAGCTGAACAGAATGGACCAAGTGTGGGTGTGACCAGAACACTATTGAAGCTACAATATTCTACCGTACATACCTCCTCCAGGCCTGATGACACAGACTGATCACTGCTGCTGGCTTTTGCTGTAGGTGACTGGGGCGACCGTGTGGCCACCTGATACTGGTATTTTCTCAGTACGTTCACATGATCCATTGGACTAGATCCAAAACTCCAGAATGAGGCTCCTTGACTACTGGTATCAGGGGAAGCTATCGTGTAAAACATTTCATTTAATCAATATCCAGAGCTACAGATAACTTTTTGGGTCATTGAGTTATGTACTCCCTTGTCTTCATCTCAATGATCCTAATTTTCCTTTGAGTAATGTAATAAATTTTACTCACCTCACTCAAACAAACTTTGCCATTTTCCATTAATTTTAAAATATATAATAAAGTTTAAATGTTGGTGTTTTGATTTACATTTGATCTGTAATATGGGAAACAATAAGAAAGACTGCAAGTTGTTAAGTTCATGTCCTGAAAAGGAATTTACTTCAGTTATTTTATCTATCCACTGGTACGCAAGCTACAATTTAACATTTTTGTGTGTACGCGTGTAAGATCATATTTATTGGGTATTTACATAACTTCAAACGTACTTGTACGCAATAGACTTAACAGGAATTGAGTTTTCACATAAATATTTAGTAATTTACTGGATTACAATTGGCTGTTCATTACAAGGATTAGTTCTGAGCTTGTAATCAGACTGACTACTCCAAAATTAGTTACTAGGTATCACTAAGGCTGGCTAAAACAAGTCATCAGAAGATGACAAATCCCTCCAGCCCCCACATATTTGAAAGAACAAATCATCTGACAGTTACTGAAAGTCCAACTTGACTTTTTTTAGTCCAAATCGTTTCCATGGAAACCGAGAAAAATAAAAATGACAAAAATCTGCAAATGGCAAAAGGCACCACTTCGAGATCTGTTTGTAGAAAGATATTGAACGGTTTTCCAGTTGTGCTCTGGAAACGAAGCCCTTTGGAGACTAAGTCCAACATGTTTCCATGGAAACCAAGAAAAATAAAAATGACAAAAATCTGTAAATAGCAAAAGGCACCACTTTAGGTTCTGTTTGATATATCTGCCAATTTTTGTTGAAAAATAGTAAACGGTTTTCCAGTTACGCTCTGGAAACAAAATGATTATGGACGGACGGACAGACAGACAAGGCGTCGACTATATCGCCCCGCATTACATGCTCGAGGCACAAAAAGGATTGATAATTGGAAATATTATTGATAAAAAGAATTATCTATATGAAAATTGTGTCATTGGTAATATCATACAAAAACTACTCTGATGATATGTAGTGTTTACTCACACAATACACAAAGCTATGTCTATATTAATGAGCTGTTTCTAAATTATGTTCAGTCTGCTGTTTTCTTACTAATCCATGCATAAATATGTCCCCACACACATAATTCCTTAAAGGTATTTTGGCATTAAGTTACTTGTCCGATATTTATCGATAATCAATTGATATCTAGTTACCAGTTATTGATTTCAATGATCTATCTCAATAGCCAGTCCTAGTTACTAGTATCAGGCATATAGAGTTCAGTCTTCCCAGCATACCTTGCAAGCTTCTTCTTTCCTTCTCTTCCTGATCTTTCAGATAGCGAGCCAAGGTTGGCATATCAGAGATGGTATCGTAAGTAGAAGCTGAATATGGAATAACAACAAGGTGAGGTGAGGTGAAATTGGGTTTTATGTCGTACTTGAGAATATTTCGCTCATATGACGACGTGCATGTGTGTGTATGTGCGGCTGCTTGTACAAGCCCAGACTTAAGCTGGTTTTATAGTGCTAGCCCATTGAGATACTATGCCGCAGTGAAGCATGAATACCCCACTCAGACACATTATACTGACTCCGAGCCGACCAGTCCTTGTTGTACCCATTAATGCCGAGCGCCAGGCAGGGACCAACAAGTACCATATTTTAGCATCTTTTGGTATGATGCAGTCGGGGATCGAACCCGCGACCTTCCGCTCTCCGGGCGGACGCTCTAACCACTACACCACGGAGGCGGTCTATAACAACAAGGCCTGTCAAGCTTACTTCACCAACAATTACAGTTTTAGTAGAACTCCTGACAGATTCAAAGATTGCAAACCTGTAATCATTACCATAGTATGATTTTATTTAGTATTACTTGAGGATTTACCTATGAAGCACATACAACATGTTTAAATAGGTGAGTGAGTGAGTTTAGTTTTACGCCACACTCAGCGATGTTCCAGCTATATGGCGGCGACCTGTAGATAATTGAGTCTGGACCAGACAATCCTGTGATCAACAGCATGAGCATCGATCTGCTCAACTGGGAACCGATGACATGTGTCAACCAAGCCAGCGAGCCTGACCAACCTATCCCGTTAGTCACCTCTTACGACAGGTATGGGTTACATTTAAATAGGCAAACAACTGCAAAGAAAAAACTATGCAAGACAGAAAACAAAGCAATGAATGTCAGTCGGGAATATTTGTTGAGGGAATTGTTCTAACTGGACAGTTGTATCATGTACTGTGGATGTTTTGAATAGTTTGCTTTAATGACAATGATTAGTTGGTTTTCTATAACTGCAACTGCATATTAAAATGAAAGTCACACAAATACATAGACTGAAGAATTCCAGCATCCAAGGGAATAGAAGTCTTAATATTTTAGGTTCCAGAGTGATGTCGCATACTTGTTTTGAATTATATCTTTGATGTCCTAGCAATGATGTGTTTGACATGTGCATGCTGTGAAGTGTTAAGTTAAAAACAGATGGGGGAATTCATTTTTCCTTAAATGCTGCATAGTGACTGAGGGAAGAAAATCAGATCCTGATTGCATTTATCATCAAAGATGTTACATTAGGATGTAATGCTGTAAATTCCTGATATCCATCGTCTAAACTTGACATGCAGGGATTTACAGGACGCAAATTTCTGCTCTGCTATGGAATAACCTCAGGTATATAAAATTTTGGGCATATTCTGGAATTCCCTTAGATGGTCATAGTAGCAGAATTAGAATTCAAAGTCCACTAAGACAAACCTGGTGAGAGTTTGGTGTAGGTGGCATTGTGTCTGGATCTCAGCCCACTGTGGTCGCTGACGTCGAACCTGCTTGAAGAGTTGTTGGCAGAACTCAGGTTGGCACTCTTAAATCAGAAGCAGTAAGTCAATTTTTTAATTATAAATTGTATCGCTAATTAATGGGTAATTTACAACTGTGATTTAAAAGCATCACTCTCATTAGCCGGAACAGTCTATCTGTAGAATGCTGTATGTCGCCAATGCTTTAACAATTTGCTCTCCCTGATCATTTATGATGTGAATACTATAATTTGTTGACAGCCTAAGGATTCAAAATCAGCTACATGACCGAGGCCAGTAGATAATGACCAGACAACCCTTTGACTGCTACTGTCGACCACAATCCTAACAACAACAGGCATAACAATATGCAATCAGCTAACTCACTGTATCTGACCACCCTATTATTTTGAGTCCCCATCTTGCACCTAGCTGGTGAGTTTAGGTCGCCACTTTCAGCAATATTCCAGCAATATGACAGCAGGGGACACTAGAAATGGGCTTCACACATTGTACCCATGTGGGGACGAGTGAACACTCTAAGCACTAGGCTACTCCACCGTTTTCCTTTCCCATCTAATTTAGGTTGCTGGGGACCTCTTCGGAATCCAGAATCCCCACTAGGCCAGGAATGTAGAGAGAATATAAATGTTCACAAATGGAGAAACAATTATTTTTTCCTATATTCCTGGCCCCTTGGCATTGGAAAACAAATCCATAATACGGCATGACTGTACCACAAAAAATAGAAAGAAATATTTTTAACATCAAGGCCCAATGTCAGTTGTTTGGTTTTGAAAATAGAAATACAAACTGTGTAACTTACCCTATCGAACGACTGCGAGTGTGATGGAGAGAGTGTTGACGATGACATTGACTGATAGCCTGGGGGACTGTGCTGTGAGAACATGAACGACACACCATATGGAGACTGAGACAGGTAGGATGATGGGCTGTGCCGGGATCCATCGCTGGCAAAACTTGTCTGTGACACAGGAGTGCTTGCCGAGAAGATGAAGCTACTCTGTGCTGATTGGTCACCTAAAGGTTTCCCGTGGTGATACCTTGAAACCTCGTTCTGAAAATTCATGAGATGACATTCCCTGGTTAGTTGACTTTGGCACTAACTTCTAAACATGCAATGATTAGTTGATATTTTTCTTCTCAGTCTGAAATTAGTAGAAGTCCCACTATTGTCAGATGTCATTTTCACATAAAATAATTAACTGAAAAACATGTTTACTGAAAAGTTATTACTTGTAATATATGCAAATAAAATACATGAAATGTCATATCTTACACCTCAGATTTGTGGTGACTATGATGATCATGGCAAATGTGAAATACTGTACCATTCTTCTGAACTCTAAGCAGTCTAGCTTGCTCTTCAGTTAGCTCCACTACATCTCCAAAGAAATAATCCCTTGTATAAGACACCAGATAAACAATACTTGGAACCAGTCTGAACAGCCAGAAGACCACACCCCCACATTCTGAAAAAAACGCCTACCATATAGCATGGCATTTATCAAATTTTATGACTCAAAATTATCTATGTAGTTGACTAAATTATTTCATGGGTGCTCCGTGCCACACTTGGAAAAGTACATTTCTGTCAGAACAATATAGATGGATATTGTGACGATTGAGTATTGTACTTACCTAAATACCACAGTGCAGGATGGGCCACTCCAAAATAACTACTAATAGTGCTGGAGGACCTTCAAACACAAATGTTATCAGATATCATAGCGTGTCAGTAACCATGGTAACATTGCTTGAATCTTTCTGCTGAATCTCAGTTAATAAAATTTCACAAATGTTAAAATGGCAATTTCCTTTGGTTTGCCCCATTAAACATGTGCAGGAGAGTAAATGGCAATCCTAACAACTTTGGTTCAATCAGATCAGTCAGAGTAATATAATACAGCTACAGAAGCTCACCAGTAGTCAATGACAAAACATCTTAGGGGTGGAGATGTGAAAAACATATATTTATGTTTTGTAGAACACACAACCTGACACTTAGATACAATCAGTTCCCAGATCATTTTGTCATGCCCCTTTTTCATGCTTATTTATACATTAATTTGTTTTCAATTTTCATATACCCTCGCATTATGGGTTTCCGTGGTATTAAGACATTTACGACTATGAATCAATCGGTTATATTGCCAAGTCATATAAACACAACATAGTGTTAGATGACATACCTTTGTATCATTTAATGTCAATAAAACACTTTTGTCATTCTGAAGTTCATTGTTGTCCGTATCGGACGACAGGCGGCAATTGTGCACAAAATCTGGTGACGTCATATGTTTCCGTGGCATTTCCTACAGATCAAATTACGGGCGCACAGCACATGTCACAATCTCACACGTTGTCAACAGCCATTCCGGGAGTGTAAGTGTAGGTTTACAGTAATAACGAAGTTGATAAATTGTAATGCAGTAAACGATTTTGTAGAATTAACACAATAGTCATATTTCTTCAGCATAAATTTCCAGTTCATAAAATATGTAGAGTTGATCAACGGGATACGTGAAATGGACCTTATCGGGCTTCCATAGTTTAAAAAATAGAGCTGGGATACCCCCTTTAGGTCACGTGATTGTTTTTATTGATGACATCAGCTTGCAGACGAGCGAAGTTTGGAAAACTTTGATGCTGAATAAGTTTACAGAAAATGTTTGTAAAGATTGCACAAAAAGTGCATTACGTGCTAGACATAAAGTTGCATTAGTTTTTAATAGTAGATGACTGTACGTACGCAAATTGATGAAAGTCGGAACATTTCTTGCTCAGAGCCGTACCGATCGACTGATGAACGTAAACAATCGATAGGTGGCGCGATTTGGTGAGTGGCTCGTGAGAAATTATGTCATTAGAAAATACCATGGAAACGTAAGTACCACGGAATCATATGACGGCATGGTAATTATTTGTAAGATAAAAAAACAGTCGCAACGATATGCATGCCCTAATGAGTGAAGCAATTACTTCGTCCTTTGCACTAATTCGCCACTTTGTGTGCAGCAATGATGGGTTCCTCATCAACTGCACAATCACCACGATGATCTGTTCCATCGTGTACAAATGACAACAATCCAAAACCTTCCTGTCAAGATTATGTTGATGCTAGACTGTTAATGAAGTTGATATCTATTGTGAAGTCAGTTAAATAATTATTGTACTGTTGGGTTTAGTCTATTTTTTCATTTCAATTTTGGAGCAGTTGTCAAAACTTACATGTCAATGAAGAGCAGCATGATGATCACCAGGATGAAGACAGCTGATGAGATAGCCTTTCTTGCAACAACCTTCCCATGACGTTTTCTGAATGTTTTCTCGACCACTGGACTGCTTCCCGGAGCAAGCCGCGCCATCTTATAAAATCTACTAGCGGTCACTAATTATTTGAAACAGTCAAAGTTTAAAATCCAACAACATAAAAACCATTACTAAACCTACACCAGTCATTCAAAATAGTGGGCTTCTTTACGAAAACACGAGTTCGCGGTTGGATGAGCTCAACACACTGTTGTGCCAGTGCCTCACAATATGACCAAATTGGCGACAACTAAAATTCGGCGTAAGGAGTTTGTTGGGCAAATTTACCAGGCGAGACATAAATTCGGATGTTTTGAAATTATGAACATACCCCAGATCGGTTTTGTTAATAGTATAAAATTTTAAATATTTTTTTAATCAATTATTTTTACACATTCTCTGTAGATCAAAGATTAAATTTATTTTGAAACTTACTGCCTTAATATACGAAACAGCATACCGGTAAGCTGACTTGTTAAAATGGCGGACGAGCAAGAGCAGGTGTGCTTTCTTAAAATTAGCCGGTTAACTAATAACTATGTTGACAACAGTTACTGTTGAAGTGTCTTTAGTTATTTTATGACATTGCAATGCTGGCTCATATATCTAGAGACCAATTATTGTTTTCTTGTTTTGGACTCCGAAACCTGTCTATATGTTATGGTTTACAAAGATCCATAGACTAAGGCTTAGTCTCTGAATATATATAATTTTGATAGTAACAAACAAGTCCATTTATATTGAAAAGGGGCCCTAGGGAGTCCAGAGATTCAGAAGCTGAGGAAATCTAGACTTGCTTTATTTAGGGCTTTAGCACTGCAGAGAGGGCTTGGCAGTAAGGAAATTAATGTGGTTCAGGGACTGTGAGACAGACTAAAAGATCCACGGAATTGTAACTTCAAATGCATGGATGTTGTCACTGCTGCCATCCGCCCGACTCGGGTATATACGATAATGCACAAAGTTGATAAATATATTCAAAGTTCTTTTTTCGATTTTTCAGCAAGTACCTGCACAGACAGTCGAAGAACCACTGGATCTCATTCGACTCAGTCTGGATGAGCGTATTTATGTGAAGATGAGAAATGACAGGGAGTTGCGAGGCAGATTGCATGTGAGAAATATTGCTTGCAAGTGACATTAAGGCCTCATGGAAGAATTATGTCTTATAATGTGGAGTGTACCAATCTAACCGAAGAGAAATAAAATAAAGAATTTGTGTAATTAGTGAAACCTCTTGCATTTAGTGAGTAAGAAATAGGTCCCAGTGAGTGTCCCTATGCTTGTTAGTAATGTTACTATGCTTGTGTTACAAGAGCTGAACAGTGTTCATTCTAAAATTTATTATGATCAACACCAAGAGAATATTTACCAGAAACGTTGTGTTCCTTAATAGAGAAGTTGACATCCATAAATGTTCACCTTTTATGTGTATCACTTCTATATGTTCTAGTTACACAAGCTGCAGAAATCTCCTGCCATGCCATCAGTCTTTGATGTTTTGAATCATTGCTCATGCTTTCAGTCACTGAAGTTTGTCAGCATCATGCTCCCACATCAATAATATATTGAGTAAAACATCGTGCCTTGATCATGTTGATCTCAAGGAATAATTGCTGTAAAAGAAGCATAAAACATTACTTACTCTTCTGGTACAGGCTTGATTATTTTGAACAAACAGACTGCCGTGATAGTGTCAATTTTGCTTAAACAACTTCCACTCAATCAAAGATTTATCAAATGCCTAGAATCAGCTAGGCACGTATCCTTCTATTAGTAAGTATTATGCATCCTATCATGAATTCATTACATTATTCACGATAAATAGAATTTGATATATACATCAACTTGAATTATACATCAACTGCTGACTTGTTATTGTATTACCATGGTTATGATGAATGACATGTTGTTGGTTTTCAGGCATATGATCAGCATTTGAATATGATCATGGGAGAAGTTGAAGAAACAGTCACAACTGTGGAGATTGATGAGGAAACATATGAAGAAATCTACAAGGTATTAATATTGTTAACATATGATTAACTGAAACCTAATTTTTGTAACAAGACAACCATCCAGTTTCCACTGCTTTCTTTATTAGCCTGTATGTCACAAGTCACAGTCTGAGTGAAGGACTGGTTGCAAGCTAAGCTATTATTAGTCCATACAATGTTAAATAACTCTGCAGACATGTTCTGAGGAGAGTTACTAATGATACGTTTACATTCTAGTCAACAAAGAGGAACATCCCCATGCTGTTTGTTCGAGGAGATGGCGTCATTCTTGTTTCCCCACCGATGAGAACAGGGACATGAGTTCAAGATCTTCATCCAGTTCCTATCATCAATCATTTTCATAACACTGACTAACCTGTGAAGGACACTTGAACATAGAGTGCAGTCTCATCGGAATTCTTCTTGTCCAAAGGAATTATCAGCTGGGGTCATGATGCTGATATTGGACATAAATTTGGACCCAACTTCTCATTGTATGACCGCCATGTTGTTTATGTTCATGAAGAATAAAACAATGTCTTTGTACTTGATGTGTGGATTGTTTTGTATCTTTGTTTGGTAGGTGACACAGGTGGCTGATTCATCTGAGGCAGAGAAATTTGCTTTTGAGAGTTGCATCCCTTAGGCATACCAGGAACCTATGAAAGCCTGGTTTCCCCAGTTTGTTTCTTGGTATTCCAGCACCATACCTCTGATCATGCACTTCTCCAAAATGGTAAATGTAAGAGAACTGCATCACTTTGGTGGTGCAATGACAGGAGCTGCAGGGTTAGAATTGTCAGTTAAACATTTGGCTCTGGTTAAACTCGAAGATTTGGACCTGTGTCAGTTCACCTGCACCCTTTTACATAGAATATTAGAATATGCTGTGATATAGCTCATCTGAAACACTGTTCAAATCAGCATTAAAACCCAGGCCCCCGGTTTATTGCTGGGTCTGAGAAAAGTGTGATGTGCTTATCAGTTTGCTGACATGTTCACAGCAGTTTGTGATTCATAAATGAACATTATATGGGTAAATGTGTACAAAAACGAAATGTTAAACTCAGCACAGCCTGCAAGGTTCAGGTATGTTCTGCCAGCATTGGAGATTTGCTCAGCCACTTCCAAATTGGTCAAATCCACCCATATTTATTTGGCACCAAAACATCGATGCCAGTGTTGGCACACCCTGGCTTTCCTGACTATGTAGAGCACTAATCTTCACTTCTGGCTGCAACAAACAGTTCTTCATCACTGTGAAGGCCTTTGTGGGTTCCACTCACTCACTCACTCAACCAATATACTAGTATACATTTGTGCATAAAATAAGCACCACCCTGAATTTTTACCAATTAATTTTGTCTGAAATGATATTCTAAACTCTTTCCCCAAAATAACCTTTATAATTTGATAGAGCAAGCATTTAACATTTCAAAAATGAAAACATTGAAATTACCGGTACCATGTACATGTACTTTAATTAGGATAATTGCCTATACGTAAAACAGGTTTTTTTCTGTCCTGAAACAAGTACCTTATTTTGAAAAGTGAATGTAATAATTGATTGTTTTGTGGCCTATAAATTCGTTATTTATTGTGAATTGGTGAAAGTTTGTAAACTAAGATTGAGGAAATTATACAGGCAAACTAAAAAGAAAGGAAAATATTAAATTGCAGTAAAAGTTGCTTTACAAACAAAACAAACAGATTTTAGCTGTAATTATCAGTATCCGACAAGGAGAAGTGTTTATTCATTACAATAAACTCAAAATCATAAAAAAAATTATTCCAAAATCTTATTAATGTGGCCTTTTTTCAGTTTTTGTCAATTAGCAATCTGAATTGTTGGAATTAGGTCTGAATCTTTGACATTCGGCTGGTTCCTGATTATACATAATTAAAGCTTAGTTACTTGATGTGTAAATGTCATCTTGGTATATAACAGAATTGTTATTTTTAGTCAAAAGTTAATTTAATTGTGTAGTTTAAGCAGGAGAGGAATAGTTATTTTGGGTAAAAATTCAGTCCCATCACATTTTCATCAACATATTCTTTGATAAAGAATAGAAAAGGTTATGGTATTTGTAAAACAATCAGTGGATGAAGCTTCTTTAACTGCAGGTTGATTAAATTGATTGCTATACCCTAACTTTTCTGTAGCATCACATCTTATTTATTGAGCACCCACTTAGTGGTTGAATTTAGCGCGCTATATAAATTTCCATTATTAGGTCTTCAGACTATTCAGTACATAGCGGAAGTTAGACGGCAGGATAGATTTGCCGCCATTGTTGAAAACACTGAAATTTTTGTCTATTTTCACGTTTTGACGGCGCCTGTGTTTATAAATCTTCTCCTCCTGCACGGCAAATAGTACAATCGTGCTTGATATATCGTTGTAAAGTCCACCCTCCGGACTACATAAATTGCTCAAGGCATGTCGATTTTTTTAATAGTGTTGGAGTTATCGCCCTTGGAAGTTGGTGAATTTTTCTAAGACGCATTTTCATAGGGTTCATATAAATGTCACAGCTCTGCTAAAACACAATGGATTTCATTTTTTCAAGGTCCCAAACTGTAGGTAATTGAATTGGGAAAATTTATGCTTCACATTATTGTTGTGTAAAAGTCAATGATTATGTCATAATCATGACAAACATGAACATTAGGCCTTTTCGCATTTCGTTAGTGGCGAGATAGCTGGAGGAAGAGTCGTAAAATCTAGCCCACAAATCCAGTGCCCACAGAAATAGTTCCCTCTTTAACAGGCCGTTGTTCTTAGGTCTACAGTCAAAACAATTAGTGTTCTGGAATTGCCAGGATGTGATCTCTCCAGCAGTTTGTTTACCAGCCTGACTGTGACAGGAATATGCTTGACTTTTTGACCACAATAAAACCTACAACATATACCAGTAATCTCTCTTTTACAGTACAACCAGAAATTATTGAGAATTTAAAGATTGTAAATTGTTAAATTATTAAATGTGAATATTAGCAGAACATAACTCCAGATTCAAAGACAGGTGAACAGTTAGTATTTTGTCAAATCACCATGGGCAGCAATGCAGGCTTCAATGCGGTGGGGCATACTACTGATCAAAGATAGTTAGAAAGTCGTGGTCCATGCTGTCCCAATATCCGACCACCTCTTCTTTCATTTCAGCAATATTTGTCAGATTTTTCTTATTGACACTTTCCTTCATAAGTCCCCAAACATTTTGTATTGGATTTAGGTCAGGGCTATAGCTTGGCCGAGCTAATAATGTCATATTTTGGGTCCGAAACCAGGCCTGTTAATGCTTTGAACGATGTTTTGGGTCGTTGTTCTGCAGAAAAATAAAAAAAATTCCATAGAACACGTGAGCAGATGGAAGTAAATGTCCCTCGAGAATATCTGTGTACCGCTCACTGTTCATATTCCCTTCAAATACACAGAGGGGCGTTGCCCCTAACACAGATATGCCACCCCACACGTTAAATTTCAGACTGTACTTTGGGCTCCGATACAAAGGTTTTTCAGTTTGTTTGGTCCAGAATTTCAGTGTATTAGGAAACAGCCACACAGAATTTTCATCTGAGAAAATCACATTGTCCCAATTAAAATGTCTATGCTGTAAGCACCAGTTTAACCTTCGCTCCTTTTGTTCAGGTTTCATGATGGGTATTGGAATTCCTCGACTTTTCTGCCAACCCATTGCATGCAGCTCAGTTCTAATTGTCTCCTTACAAACAGCCACAGTTCCTCTATCAATCATATCCAGCCTTAAGTTTTCTTAACTCCTTCGTTTGTTTTTAGAAACAAGAATACCAAGCCGCCTCCTGTCACCGACAGTCAATTTTCTAGGCCTACCTGCGCCTCCCTGGTGCTCAATGCCATATCCATTTGCAATATTTTTCAATACACGATATACAGTGGACAAAGGGATGCCTGTTCTACTTGAAATCACTTTAGCTGATCTGATGTCCTTGTTATAATACTCTAAAATCAACTTCTTAGCTGATCTGATGTCCTTGTTATAATACTCTAAAATCAACTTCCTCTTCTCTAAATCATCCATACTGAGGATCACTGAAAATGTCGTCTGCTAGCAAGTAAACAAAGGGGGATAACTCTTCACAAACTAATGAAAAAGGATTAACGAAGTTGTCGCTCTTGAATGAAACCAAGCACTTGATAGCTGGTCAAGGTTGTTTACACTAGAAATTCAATTAAACATATTCCTAAAATTCTCAATAATTTCTGGTCATACTATAGTATATGTCTGTATATATTGCTAAATTCCTTAGCTTTGTTTGACCGTGCGGTCCTGTTTGTCTTTCTGCAGTTTGTGAATTTTCCGTTTGTGTCAGCAGCATTGAATCAATGCCAAATTAATGTCAAAAACACTGGAATGGATGCTCCAGCTGACGTCCAAAGAAACAGTACAAGTAAAGGTAGCCACGGGGTGTGTATGGGGGAGGCAATCCTAGTTATTATTATCATTATTATTGTTTTCAAAATAGGGTGGTGCTTAATTAATGCATGGGTGTAAACACTATCAGCCAAGTTTCACTGTCAAACTACCTGTTTCTCTCTATTTTTGACATTGACGATAGGAAGCATGCACACCTTTATACACCTACATTATGTGAAGCATGCATACCTTTATACACCTACATTATGTGAAGCATGGATACCTTTATACACCTACATTATGTGAAGCATGGATACCTTTATACACCTACATTATGTGAAGCATGCATACCTTTATACACCTACATTATGTGAAGCATGGATACCTTTATACACCTACATTATGTGAAGCATGGATACCTTTATACACCTACATTATGTGAAGCATGCATACCTTTATACACCTACATTATGTGAAGCATGCATACCTTTATACACCTACATTATGTGAAGCATGCATACCTTTATACACCTACATTATGTGAAGCATGCATACCTTTATACACCTACATTATGTGAAGCATGCATACCTTTATTCACCTACGTTATGTGAAGCATGGATACCTTTATACACCTACATTATGTGAAGCATGCATACCTTTATACACCTACATTATGTGAAGCATGCATACCTTTATACACCTACATTATGTGAAGCATGCATACCTTTATACACCTACATTATGTGAAGCATGGATACCTTTATACACCTACATTATGTGAAGCATGCATACCTTTATTCACCTACATTATGTGAAGCATGGATACCTTTATACACCTACATTATGTGAAGCATGCATACCTTTATTCACCTACATTATGTGAAGCATGCATACCTTTATACACCTACATTATGTGAAGCATGGATACCTTTATACACCTACATTATGTGAAGCATGGATACCTTTATACACCTACATTATGTGAAGCATGGATACCTTTATACACCTACATTATGTGAAGCATGCATACCTTTATTCACCTACATTATGTGAAGCATGGATACCTTTATACACCTACATTATGTGAAGCATGCATACCTTTATTCACCTACATTATGTGAAGCATGCATACCTTTATACACCTACATTATGTGAAGCATGGATACCTTTATACACCTACATTATGTGAAGCATGGATACCTTAATACACCTACATTATGTGAAGCATGGATACCTTTATACACCTACATTATGTGAAGCATGGATACCTTTATACACCTACATTATGTGAAGCATGGATACCTTTATACACCTACATTATGTGAAGCATGCATACCTTTATTCACCTACATTATGTGAAGCATGCATACCTTTATACACCTACATTATGTGAAGCATGCATACCTTTATACACCTACATTATGTGAAGCATGGATACCTTTATACACCTACATTATGTGAAGCATGGATACCTTTATACACCTACATTATGTGAAGCATGGATACAATGTTATTTGGTGTCAAATTAACATTCATGATTGTAATCATCAAACAGGAAGAACAAAAACTAATGCAAATGTAACCATCCAGAAAGGCAGCAACACATGATCTCAATGCGAAAAAATATAGATCATTGCTCAAGATTTTTGTCACGTTTTTTGGTGTGTGTGTTTGCATCCAGATGTGTCTTGTCTAGTGCCGTACTCCCCTATGTTCCAGCTATGAGAGGGGTGTTGGGGTAGCGTAGTGGTTAAAGCGTTCGTTCGTAACGCCGAAGACCCGGGTTCGATTCCTCACATGGGTACAATATGTGAAGCCAATTTCTGGTGTCCCCCGCCGTGATATAGCTGGAATATTGCTAAAAGCGACGTAAAACTAAACTCACTCACTCCAGCTATGAGACGGCACCCTGTTAATTCTGGAGCAGTGACTGGTATTGCAAAGAACAATCAGTACTGTCCTGGTACAATGACTAGCCATCAACCCTGACCACCCTGTCACATCTTACTACCAGCATACAATACAAATCTCGAGGTCTGTCACTGCTTTGACTGATCTAGTGACCTTCCTTTGTAATACTGTTGAAATACCTCTTACTGTTGAAAAAACAAACAAAAATAGGAAGAACTGTTTTTGAATGGAAGAAAAAGTATCGCTTAACACTGCATCAGCAACTTTGCAGCTATTTGTGATGACACTCTTGAGAATCAAAAGATATTGCAGTACTGACAAAATGAGTGAGTTTAGTTTTACGCTGCTTTTAGCAATATTCCAGCAATATCACGACGGGGGCACCAGATATGGGCTTCACACATTGTACCCACGTGGGCAATCAAACCTGGGTCTTCGACATGATGAGCGAACGCTTTAACCACTAGACTACCCCACCACCAACTGACAAAATGAAATGACACTAAAGGTGATTCCAGGGCTTGATCATTGTGTGCAAATCTAAACGATTCTCTAGGTTAGCGTATCCCAATTAGAAACCAAAACAAAATATTTTAGCTGTTAAAAAACAAACAAAAATCCAAATGACTGTCTTTGAAAGTGAGAAAAACAATAAAACACCACAAAGATTTGATTGATGTTTATTTACAATATTTGCATGATATATATACATTTGGATAACTGCTCATAGCAAGAGTATAATATGATGTTTGACAAGGTCGACATGAAGGAGGACATCACATTTACACAGACATTCATACGAGCATTTTAATTATTAGAACTGTACAGTTGATAAGTTACAAATGTCTAACAATACTGTCTACGCAGATTCAATAATGTATGCTAACTCCTTGGATATTGTGTCAAATATCAGTTGTATATTAACAATGATTACTACATGCACAGAAACGGCTTGTTGCCATTTCAAAGTATTTAAAACCATTTAATTAAACAAATATATCATTTCTTCATTACAAACTTAGTCACCTGGGATATCTATTGGCAATGATGCTCCAACATGTGGGTAATTTGCATGTTACATGTATATCTCAACTTCGAAAATCCCATCCCCGATGCTCCTAAAGTAGCATTTAATCAAGTAAGTTATCAACCAATAGTATTGATGCATTGGAATAAGGGAAATTTACAGAATTATGACTACTCCAAATCATGAATCAGAAACAAAATAGAAGTTGCAAGGCTGAACAACAAAAGTATCATGACTTTTTCGGGGGATTTATTTTTTCTATGTAATTGTATGCTCAGGCTTCACTACAAAACAAAATACTATTCATGATCCCTAACCATTTCTGTACATCATATTTCTATTACAACAATCCCTGCCCATTTTCACTTTTTTAACAGAGACATTATCACAGCATATCCCAGGTCCATAAAATGGACTAGACTTTGTGAGTTGCTGCAAACTGCTCACATTGCCTGAAAATATGTGAGACCCTGTGCCATGTGATTTCACGCGTTTTGATTATATAAGGAGTGAACACTAGATCCTGAGCATTAAATTCCTGTTGTAATAGGTGATAAGGATTGAGATCATACCAATATGTGAAATGACTCATTGGGGTTTCATAACATATTTCATATCGTCAGCAATATTATTGACAAACTGTAAGAGTTCCTTTGTTGTTGAACTCCGCATATTCCAGCTACATGATGGTGTTCTGTAAAGAATCATGTCTGGACTAGACAATCCAGTGATTGACATCATGAACATCAATCTATGCAATCGGGTTACGATGACATGCATCAACCAAGTCAGTAGAGCCTGATCACCCGATCATGATAGTCACCTCTTACAACCAAAAAGGGTTGCTCAAGACCAATTCTAACCCAGCTCTCCATCCCATCAACAGAACCCAGCTGTGGTTCGCTGAACATGGACCCAGCTGTGTTTGAAAGTAAGTTTCCAAGTAAAGGGATCTTTGTCATAACCTGATTAAAGTTATAAATGAAGTTATGTTGAAGGAGGAAAGAGTCTAAGATTCAAATACTAAGAATGCAAATTTCACGGACCCCAGTACCCTATTCCACAAATGCTTTCAGTACTACGTTGATCTCAGGCCAATGTTAAAGTATGAAAGGTTCGATCACCTAAATGCTGAGATCGTACTGTGAAACTGGGCCTTGGATCCTATTTAACACGTTGACTGCCTATCACAAGTATACTCGTAGTATCAATTCTGGCTGAATTTGCCTCTACGAGTTACCCCATAGCTACATCAGTGGTATTTTGAAACAAGTTTCACATGTTGGCAAAATAGACACAAGAAATAAACGTTTCTTGGTGTTCTTGGTTACCGCCAGGTGACGATTGCTTCTCGTGCCTGTTTTGCCAACATGTGAAACTTGTTTTAAAATACCACTGATATAGCTACGAGATAACTCATTGTGGCAAATTGGGCCAGACATTGATTCTACGAGTATACTCGTTGTGGCCGTCAAAATGTTAATTTCAAACACTGCCAATAGGTTATTGTTCAAAGGTCAGCATGCTCTCATCCCAATCTATCCACCCGGACCATTTTCTGCAGTCACCTGCTATTCACACTGGAAATGCCAACAAAGCTATGTACAATTACACAGTGCAAGACCCCCATGTGTGGACTTCATTTGTTGCATTTGGATGACAATAATTGGACACATGAACTGACACACTTAAAAACATGCATCAGATTCAAAGGCAATGGGTGAGGCAAGGGTCAAGCTTATGAACCTATCACAGATACTGACCATTCTTTTGGTCTTTTCAGTAATAACCCGGTCATAAGGTTTTTCTTTTTACTTGTACAAGTAAGATATACTTTTACCAGTAACACCCCACGAGCAGAGCAGCAGGTGGAGTTTTCCAACATTTAATGTTATAAATTAATGGCAAGAAATTATTCTTTTTCATTTTGGGTATGGAGTGAGGCTCTCTCTCTCTCTCTCTCTCTGAACATAAGTCCACAGAGCATGTAATACAGAGCAGTTCATAATACGGTACAATGTTCAGCAAGCATTTCTTAAGCAGATATATTTTATGAGTGTTTCTTTACACTCTTATGATATCAAACAAATATCCTTAAATGTTTTTTTTTCCATTTAGACCAAACTTTGACAAAACAGACCTCCTTGATTTTTGTAGACATAGTAAAACCTTTGGGCAGGGATGGCCTTACCAGGTAAATTGGGCTAATGCCCTTACTTTTACTAGCTCAGTCATTGCATCCTTTGGGTTTTACCCAAACTCAAATATTGGAGTGATGTTTTATCCTATCCATCTAACAGTCAGAAAATCACCCACCCTAACAGACAATGGGGTATGATTTAGTGAGTTTAGGTTTACGATGCTTTTAGCAATGGGCTTCACACATTGTACCGATGTGGGGAATCGAACTTGGGTCTTTGGCATAACAAACAAACGCTTTAACAGAAAATGGGTATTTGCAGATATTACAGTGGGAACAAAGCAGTGCTAAGATGATTTCACACCGAACATGCGGATTACTGCTGTCTGAGAGACCTGTATGTATAATGCTATTTGAACAAAAATTGGTAATGTCACAGGGTGTCAGCTTAATGTTGGAGGAAAGCCCAAAGTGATGATGGTCCAAGACGTTTCTCTCTTTGGTGAAACCTGTGAGTACAGATACACTGCTGACAAGTCAAGAAGCCACACTGGGGCACATCTGAGATTCGAACCCATGACAAGTGTACCCTTACAGAGCTAATTAACTAATCATGGAATTGTGGAGAGACATTAAGACCGGTATTCAGGGAAAAAGAAATACCCATGTTCCAAAATATTAATCTTTTGCGCCTGTTTATAGGTTCCATGAAAGTCAAGGGTGCACCCAGTTCACCCTTTTTCTTTCTAACCTGGATAACTGTGCCCTGGTCAGCTGAACAAAATGCTTGAGAAACAGATAATTTCAGCATCTTGACCACAAACTGAATTCTTTTCAGAATGTATTTTGCCAAAATCATGACTTTAGCCACTAGTCCAATGCCAGAGTCTAGTAAAGGTCTCTTTGGTCAAGTCGGCTAATATTAGTCAACAACACTAAAAACTGAAAATGATGTTAACAGACTCAAACATTTTGGGCACAAACTGAAAATGGATAAAATTCAGCCTTAAAACAAAAAAAATATAATATCTTCAATGAAAGAACATCTATGTCATAAAAAGAACAAATTTCAGATGCCATGACCTGATGATAATGATTATCCACAAGCACTGACCCAGATGACTTACCTAATGGCTACATTTAAAAACCTGCAGGTAATGTTTGCCAGAAGACGAATTACATTTCTATAGATAAAGATTGCCTAATGACTACTAACACAACCACAATTCCTGGGTCAAATTATTTCAGTGTAAATGGCTGTTATTCACCTAAAACATCACACAATATTTCATGAATTATTGCCCCTTGAAAGTTAGATGACATCTGTGAGATCATTAATAATCTGTCAAATAATTGTTGACGAATATTAGTAGATCAAATACTGACTACATATGTATCCTCTTGCCCTGTCCCTAAACGTTAGTCAGTACCTGAGAGTTTCTCACATCCCTACAGCTTGTTCAGCTTGACCTGATCAAGTGAATACTAATGCATCCTGTGACCGTGTCACAACTGGTTGGGTCTATTATTGTGAAAGGGTGCACCTTGTCCAAACAGCCAAGACAAGATCGCCGTTTGACATCTCAGTGTTGAGAAATTGTCAGCGATGTCCTAACTTTCTTTAAAAAAGAAGCTGGATTAATGTTTCCGATTCGGGCTTTTAAGCAGCGAGGAGCAGCAGCAACTGGTGTTTCCAATGCAACCGTGAGCCAAATAGAACAAGAAAGGAAAAAGCTCCCCTATTTAATGAAGTTAACACGACCTGCCGTTTCTGCCATTTGGCCTCCCGTGTCATGCATATGTAGAGTAGCTCAGGTCAAGCTAAACAAGCTGTAACAGCACCATTCTGGAGGTCAATTTTCAACCACAGCTAACAGGCTCTTTCAAAGAAAGGTCACCATTTTATCACTGAAGTGATTGAAGTCTACCACAGATGATGATGGTCTAACTTTTATAAATGCACTTGTTGAAGGATCTGAGAAGTCAATGACAGTACGACCAGACAATGTTAACGAGGTCCAACACTACTTGGGAGAGTATTCAGTCATATTATTACAAATTTGCTAAATGTGTAAGCAGGATAAGATATACAGATGAACAACTTCTTCATTACAATATATACATTCATCCATATAGCTTATCCTTACTTACTACTCCAGCTTCCATATGCCTCTCAAAGAAACCTGTTTCTCAGAACAGGAAACCCAAGACTACTGCCACACTGGTAAGTGTGTTCAGTGCAAAGCCACTTTCAGCAGCATTTCAAGTATATCATGGCATGACTAACTGATCTGGGAACAAAGCATGGTGATAAACACCAAGTTGTAGACACTTACCACTTTGGTGAAACCAATATGCACTGGTTACCAGATTATTGAAACTCATGAACACTTGTATGATGCTGAAAGATGCAGGATCATAATCTTGGTGAATTCAAGCCATTGATCAGCAGATCCTTGCATGCCAAAGAGGGACAACTCCACAACATGTGTTCCCCCTCCCACTTCACATTGCTTGCAGCATCAGCTCTGTATCGTGATGATATAGTGTCACTTTTCTCCCATCAATAAATTAATAACACATTACTTGTAAATAACGTCCATAAATAAACATTGTTTCAATAATATGATGTGGTTTTTATATCACATGGAATAAACCACCTTACTACACCATCTACATGGAACCCTGCATCTACATGTGACAACCCTTGTACATTTTACCCTGCTTTAGCAAATGTCTTTAGAATGTTCTTCCCACTCATAAAAGCTGGAAGATAATGACTGATAATATTTGAAAGCTTGTAACCTATTTGGAACATTCCACTCCACCTCCTACCCCTAACCTACGCAACTCTAACAGACACCAAAATGTCACAATGTGGGGTTGCCAAAATGGATCCCAAATACATGCATGTGGGGGCAATATTAGAAACGAAATTCTCCAAATAATCTTTTTAGAAATCTGAACATTATTTTGGTACTGGTCTAGTCATATATTATTGGACTTTCAGGTGTGGGTGTGGGTGAACCAAAGCCAACATACACGACAAATGACATGTCCCCAGAATTACGGTTTACAGAATACAGTCATTTTGTTCCATGTCCCAGAGCGTTTTTGGTTGTAGTTTCAGAGTATTACAGAAATCCCAGCATCTTGTACCTGAAATCTGCCTACTGAAATCAGCCCCAGGTACTGGGAAATAATTCTGCCTCACAGTTTGACTAGTGTGTTAATATCAACAGTAAGTTCAATCCTATCCAGGCCAGCTGGTCAAAGGGAGATAACCACACTGCTCAAATACTACATAAAACATACGAAACCTCATGCTGATTCAATACAATAATGTATTCCTCTTCATGCAATAATATTAATAATAACATAGATTTTTCAGCTCAGATGATTCCAGCATATAAAACTTCAGAATTTCACCATTAACATTGTACAAGCAATTCTCTCCTGAAAATACCTAAGCATGCATTATTACTTTCATTGTTGATAGTGTGTAGTAAAACCAGAAACAATTGACAAATCTGTGTAAAGATGAATTGAGTAACAACCTGTGCCTATAAATACATGAACATGCTTCAACATAACACATATCAATCTTTTAACTCCTAGCATTGGGACAAAAATCGCTCCAACTCTTTAAAGAGAATTCCTTTCCAAATAACCAGATCTGTCCTTAAGTTCACAATACTGCACCAAGATCTACTAAAAACTCTTGAAAGTAACTGTGACAGCTGCAATTCCTGATTTTATCAACATTTTTGCATCTTCTCAGTCACCATTACACATAAACATCATCAGACACACACCTCTTCCAACAGTATATGTGTCAGTACAAATCTATACATGAAAGCCCATTGTATTGCGCGGGGGAAGCGACTGATCACTGTTGAGCAACTCTCAGTCTAACCTATCAATGCCAAGTTTAGTCGAGAGGTATCAAGTCCACCAGATTTCCTTTAGGTTGTGTCATGTGATCAGGAAAGTAGTTCACCAGCAAATCAAACAGATCTGTCCGACTTTGAAAATGTTCACTCACATCGGCATCTGAAAATAACGTTATTTTCATGTGAATTTTCTTGTAGTTTGTCATAAGATTTATATTGTTATCAATGCCCTAAACCAATACACTTCAGGGGTGGAAATAACCCATTGCCCGACGTCAGAGTCCAGTGTTTTTTTCTGTCGGGCAAGCAAATTTGCATATCACACTGTACTTGTTTCCAGTTGACTTTCCAATGTTAATTATGTTGTTTATTTAAAAAATCAGCAAGAAAACGGTCGGTATAGTGGAAAAATTATCAGGGCAAGTGACTTTACATGTGCCACTGTACCGGAGTACACTATCAATTTTAAAGATATTTCCACCCCTGCACTTAGTATCACTATCTCATAAATATGCAAATGATGTAACTTATCGCCTTATTACTCGCCTGTGGAAGATACTGCAGTGTACTATTTTTACGGCAATGGTACACTAGTGTAATACCGCTAGACGTATGATGTCAATGGCTTACAGTTAAGACGTCACAATGCTAATACCTCTGTCACAATGGTATTAGACCTTGCTTGACTCGTGGAAAGCTGAGTTACCACACTGTCATCTATCAGTTTATGTTGGAGAGTAATAAACAGAATACTAAACTCGCTTTTGCTCGTCTGATACCAAATCATTAACTCGTTTAATATAAATGGTATTACACGGAAGGTCGTTTAGTATGCTCTATATATTGCACAGTATTTCCTAAATGATAGATACATATAGATATGGCTCCTTATATGCAAGTGTAGCTGCAAACAGCTTCAAAGCTGATGTGGCTTAAAGCAACATTTACTCACAGGTATGTGCGAGCGCTTCTGTTAATGGCTGCAAATTATCTAGCACTATTCCTCAAATAGGATTGTTTTATCCGGCTTTGTATTTCTACGCTATTTCCAAATTTACTATAGTGAACAGCAAAATGTTTTATCAACAAAGTTATGATATGATAAAGAGATTATCACTCATGTGTTTATATATTGTAAGTATCATATCTTATGAAAAAAATATCATTATTATTCTCACAAAAGGTTCGCATAACACATGTTATATTAGTAAAATATGACGTGATATCATTCTGTAAATACAGATTCTTTTCCAAATTATTCAGTTAGATTAAAAATTTAGCTGTTTCCATAAAAACTGTTGTAAGGAAAGTACCTTCCAATGCTTCGTTTTCAGTACCATCATTGAACAAGGAAGAGGCAAGGAGCTGAAACTGAAAACATAGTCCAATAGTACCTCGTATCTCCTCACAGTGACAACAGTGAGTGAGTGAGTGAGACACAGTAGTCAGTAATATTTCAACAATATTCCTGCACAATCATGATAAAAACATACGACGATAAGTGACATTTATTCAGGTATGTCTCAAAACCTTACCACGTGATTCTCATTTGTCAACCTTGAAGAGCATAGAAAAATGGAAAGTGTTTATTCTTAGGAATCTACTTGTATTTCCATTGAACACATAAAATACATTGATATTATGTCTTCACTGATAAATGCTGCTTAAAAATTACATTAGAACAAAGCTTGGACAAAGAGTACCTCTCAACAGTCCAACACCATAGTAGCCAAACATAGCTTACATAACATAACTGCACTTACCTCCCTTGTCTCCTCGGTATCTGCATGGTCGACAGTGTTGGCTAGTTCATTCTGCAGGTAGATCATGGCATTCTTCGGATCACTTGCAGCCAGCTCCATAAAACGGTACTTCCTGATGAGGTACCGACACCGACGGAGAAGATGATCTGCTGACGGACGACAGAGCTGGGACAAGAAGAAAGATGAGGTGTTTAAGTAATATGGAGCTGGTTTGCAGGTTGTTGTATGCCACACTGTGCAATATTCCAGCTATATAATAGAAGCCTGTACATAATTAAGTCTGGGCCTGACAATCAAGTGATTGATATTGTCAGCAACAATAGATGCTATCAGTGTACAATGAGGTGTATCCAACCAAGTTACTGAGCCAGATGACCACATAAGTTATGTCCCCTTGTTTGATTAGCATGGGATGCTGGACACCTATTCTAACCTAGTGCTTCAATTTTAATGTGCATTGGAGGAGTTATTTCAGACCAAACTGTGTACAGTAATGTTGCTACTCACTTGCAGAGACCAAAAATCGTCAAGTCTCATTTTTGGTAGGCTGTCTTTTCCTGGATTCCCTCCAAAAAGGTAATGGACCTATGGCAGTAAAAGAGGGCTTGATCATAACAACTAATAGATGGTGTTCAGTAGCTGTTTTTATGTATTTAAATAAACCACATCTCTAATATCAGTGGAAAATGGAAATACTGTCAGCTGTTGCATCTTCATTAGGACAACAGAAGTGAGGCAATGTCATCAGTCAGCTAAAGAATTGCCTTTCATAACCCATGTGTCAAAGTAATCCAACAGAGGCAGTTACCTAGGTTACAGATCATTTTCAAAAGTCTACAGTCACTTATGAAGCAGGAATCACCTTTCTACATTAGTCTAGGCTAAATTAGTCCACAGTCAATACAGCACTGGTACTGATTCTAACCCAGGTGCCCACGGGGTCTGTGGAATCGACTCCTCACCTTCCTGACATGGTCATACACCAGTTGATGTGCGAACCTCGGCACTGGTTCGACATGCTGCTGTTTTATCCAGTATTGCTGCCCAGTGTTTTCATTTTTGTAGATGCATGACCTGACAGAGAAACAAACACTTCAACATTTGTAAGTTATAGCCTCGGAGTCATGACAACTTATAGTGCCATGAAAGGTGCAACCATCACCACACTTATCTAATCTCAACCATTCCTGAACTTTCCCAGATAGCAAAGGTGTGTTGGGCCAATGTTGGTATATGGTTGGTTGGTTGGCCAACAGTTTGACAACATTGGCCCAACGTTATCTTAATGACTTAAAAGTAACGGTGGCTTTTGACACGTTGGTCCAACAGTGGGTCAACATTTGAAAAAACTCTGCCTATTTTCCCTGATCTTACATCTATTTCACAAAGTTGGGCCACCGTTGGCCCAACATTGTGAATAAAAGAGTGAGCACACGGCCATTTTTAGCCATGTCTTCTTATTAAGATTTTGATGAAAGTTGAAATAATTACACAGGCAAAAAGAAAGAATCTATTTCCCTGTCTTTCAACTATGATGCAGTGAATTTTACAGCGTTGTTTTCTCCAAATTGAATACCAAACTTGTCATCATTGATAGCTTTACCTGATATTCAAGAGCAGACGACACTACATTTCTGGAGGCCTTCAACTGGTAAATATGCATTGTTATTTCTGTGATACTGAATTGCGAATATATTGTGAAATAATTGGTTTAAATCATCATTTAGGCTAAAGAAACTGACACATACTGTATTGAAAGGCAGTTGATTGAGTAGGTAAAAGATTTAATTGACTGTTTTCTTTAGGTAGCCTGTTTTAACCACATTGATAAATCTCATTTCATTTTAAATTATTTAAATTTATTGTGTTTACTTTATGAACATCATGTGTTTGTCAGTTACACTCCTGTTTCCATATACAACTCTCTCTATTATTCATCTTTACAACCAATAATTGCTAAACATCATCATATATATACCGTATGTGTCAAAGTTATAGTAGGTACACGCGTCATATCCAAATAAAACATTGTTTGAACAGCATTCTAGAAGTTGGTGAGTCAAAAATGAAACATACAACTCTATGGATGACAACTTCTTGTTTATTGTATAGAGCGACGTTTCGATGTAGATTCTTACACCGTTATCAAGCTAAAAGTGACTACAACCAAATGATGAGAAGTATATATACATGTACATAGTATGTTTTGTCAAATAAACATAATTGGGAGCAGCCAGATGGGGACTAAGAACAACAAATGGATCTAGTGATGAAACCAATTAACAAGGAAGGGAGGGGGGAGGGGGGTGGGGTGTTAGGTTGTAACAACCTGATAGGGTGATTTGATAGAGTCTATAGTTTGATTAGTTCTTCATATCCCAATGGTATGTAGTATCCTTGGTCTCTATTGATCAAAGGTTTGTGGGGGCTGATTTCGATGGCTTCCAAACGTTTTCTTTTTGTGAAGTCCTGATTCTTTGGTGGATAAGATTTCGAATTTGTCAAACCAGCCCCCTAAAACTAAGTTTGGCGTCATCTCAACCCTGATCAAGCACACTAAGAACATTTGCTCCAGCAGCCATGACCTAGAACATGAGCGGAACCACCTACAACATGTCTTCAGGAGCCTCAACCAGTAACCCACCAACTCATAGTCTGTTTGATTTCATTTGAGACCAATGAATTGCTCACTAACACAAAATCTAATAATCGCAACAAAACCAAATTTTGCAGTCACATGAAAACAACAGACCAATGAAGAACTATAGACTCTATCAAAGCACCCTATCAGCTTGTTGTTACAACTGAATCCCCCTTGTTTATTGGCTCCATCACCATTCTATTTGTTGTTCTTAGTCCCCATCTGGCCTCTCCCAATAATGTACCAGTTGTTATTCAATTACATGTTGTTGTTAATGTCAATCTGCTGATTGTCAAAACATACTACGCATATATACTTCTAATCATTTGGTTTTAGCTTGATAACAGTGTAAGAATCTACATCCGAACGTCACTCTGTGCAATAAACAAGAAGTTTTCAGTCATTAAGGTGTATGTTTCCAAATAAAACATAAGGTCACAAACTATGTCCTTTTACGATAGATCTCATGTCTAAAATTATGATATCTGACAGTTTCATGAAATTATTGGGTTGGGTTTTTTCAGGACCAGTTCGAAAAACCTGTCAGCGGCGACAGCCAAAAGACCTAAGACAAGAATATTTTTAAGAAATACAATAATGTTCAAATAACAATGAAAAAAAGAATTAAATAGTTCACTTGATTAACTTGTTGTGTTGTTTATATATGTTTCTGATTGCAGAGGTCAAGAAAGAGCTAAATGTTGAAATACTGTTGTGCCAACATAAGGCTAACTAAATCACATCGTTGGGCCAAGTATTGGCCATGGTTTAGTACGAAGGTCAAGAAAGAGCTAAATGTTGTTACACGGTGGTGCCAGCATAAGGCCAACAAAATCACTACGTTGGGCCAACTATGGGCCGTGATTTTGTGTGAATTTTCATTCGTTGGCCCAACAATGATCCAACATGATGGGCCACTGTGGAGCCGATGAGCATATCCAAGTGGGCCCATCGTCAGTTTGACAACCATGGGCCAACCAAACCGGTGATTATGGGCCAACTATGGGCCAACATATCAATGCTATCTGGGTTAAAGACAGACATCAAATGTAACTGGACGAATATGCTGGTCCACTTAACTTATATGCTAGTCCACTGGACTAATATGAAAGTCCACTAGACTAATATGCTGGTCCACTAGAAAGGGAAATGATGAATTATCACGCATACCTATTTACTTACGCATACATACTTACTTACAGACTGGATAATAATTTTCCCCCTTTAATTACACTCCCTTTGTGCGCATACAACAGCTTCTAACCCTCTTCCTCCCACAGTGACTGACTGAGTTTAGTTTTACGCCATCCTTAGCAATATTCCAGCAATATCACGGCGGGGGACACCGGAAATGGGCTTCACACATTGTACCCATGTGGGGAATGGAACCCGGATCTTCGGCGTGACGAGCGAATACTTTAACCACTAGGCTACCCCACCGCCCCTCCTCCCACATTGACTTAAATGGGGAACATAAGGCCACGATGAATAAATTATTACATTTTTATCGCCTACCCATCAAACGTGTCTCACATCACATTGCTGTCCCCCAAACGTAGAGGACTGCTATCAATGTTTCTTTGTTCCTACACATAATGACATTAACTACATCCAAACAAACCACATGTGTGAAAACCTTGAAGAATTTGTAAACAACAAAATAACCATAAAAAATATAATGCCTCCAGCTTTACTTATCTAAACACTTAGATGCTGTTCCAGGTAGTAATTGAATATGGTCCTACCTACCACCACTTTTACTGAAGTAGCATGCAGCCTGTGATCAACAATCATTGTTCATAGCAACATCACAAACAGTAAACATCTCACTCATTGCTTAGCACAAATGTGGAGGTTGTTTTACCTAAATCCATATTAACATCATGTTCACACTGAAAACTCTAAAATAACTGCTAAAAACTTCATCATAGCATTGCACCCATTCACAGTCTCAAAGAAATGTAAGTAATCAGAATTAGTGTGATCTTACCACTTGTTTTTCCCAATGTCATAAACCCAGAATGAGTTTTTGACATTATCTCGTTTCTCCTTATCTCGACTGAGTCCCTGTAACAAACACAACACAATACCAATAGCTTGCATGGTACTATATTCATAAAATACTTCACTGCATGGAACAAGACAAAATATGTCTCAAGAAATACTCTTGAAGAAGTTTTAGAATTATATTCCTTGTTTCACAGGTAAGTTTGCATATAAAAACAAAAATTGTGTGAACAGTGTGGAAGAGTCTGATTTGGAGGCAAACCGAGCACTTGGACTACAGTAGGTCATAGTTATAGTACAGGACTTAAGATCATCTTAACACTAAGATCACTTCGGGAAGTGGAGCAGAAGTGAAAAGCGCATTGAACACACCAAGAGAACTATTTTCATCTTTCATCTTTCAACAGGATAATAACCTGTCTTGTTTAATTGATATTGTTAATGATGAATGACCATGACTACACTTTTGGAGTTTTGGATCTGACGCCACTTTTAGCATAATTCAAGTGATATCAGGGAGACACTCGATGTGTATCCTTGTGGGGAAACAAACACAGGCCTTTGGCATGATGAGCAAATGATGTAAGGTGACATAGTGTTTAACGGCGTACTTGAGAATATTTCGCTCATATGACAACGTGCATGCATGTGTATGTGTATGTGCGGCTGCTTGTACTAGCCCAGACTTTAGCTGGTTTTATAGTGTTCTAGCTCACTGAGATATCATGCCGCAGTGAAGCATGAATATTGACACAGTATATTGACTCCAAGCTGACCAGTCCATGTTGTACTCATTAAAGTCGAGCGCCAGGCAGGGACCAACAAGTACCACATTTTAACGTCTTTTGTTTTTGGACGTGGCCGGGGATCAAACCCGCGACCTTCTGCTCTCTGGGCGGACGCTCTAACCATTACACCACGGAAGCAGTCAGCAAATGATGTAACCTCCACCAACCCCATTTCCCATTAAAGGAGAGGGGAGGAACCACACAGTTGAGTGAGTTTGGTTTTACGCCTCTTTTAGCAATATTTCAACAATATCACGGCTGGGGAAACCAGAACCAAAAAGTTGATGCAAGGAAATACAACATATGGAGTCTGACCAGACTGAAAGCTATCCCAAAACGGTCGAATACCCTCTCTCAATATGCCAAAAAACATACAGTCAAACTTCCAATGTACATTTAAACATATTTCATGTCAAGCTCATGAAGTTGAATTGTACTATATAATAATGCTCTCTACGTCAACTTACCGACAGTACATGGATTTCATTCAATTCCGGATCAAGTGTTGCCCTTTGTGTGAAACCTGAGGAAGACAAAACTGTTCATATCCATGGCAATAAATATCATGGCAATGAATTTCAAAACTTAATGTCATTGTCATTATCAGGTGATGAAAATTAATTAGCAGATTCTCATCCATGTTTGTTCCACATCAAGCCCTACCCTCCTGTGATTTAATGAGCCAATAAAACTGACTGAATTTGAAAAGGGTAATCTAAACCAGGCTAATCACATTGAGCACATTTGAAGAATAGAAACAAAGCCTTTGGCATACACTTCAAACGACTAGGCTACATCACCGAATCTTCTAGACTTAACACATCAACTACAAAATCGCTGTTTGGCAGATATGATGTGAATCTGGTAATGAATTTATTTATGAATAGAAAGATAAAAGTTTGGTTTTGTGGGTTACCAACTCATACATTTTTCTATGTAACTTGCGCTACGAGAACAAGACCTAACCAGTTGACATGTGATTTGTTGACTGTCAAAGGGAGTATTGTGTAGTGGTGGTCCGATTAATTGAAATAATCGAAAATTGGTCGTACCGCTAGTGACTAAACGACCAAGCAATCAATCATAATTTCTCATAATCGAACACAACCAATTTTGGAACACTTGTTTTCATTAACAATATTTTTCACAAGGTTGGTTTTGTCTGTTATATTTTGTAAGCACTACAAGCTCGTTTCAAGTCATGATTGAATTTATCTTAAAGGCTCCAAGAAATTTATGTTCCTAACATACTAGTCATCCTTTAAAGATGTGAAATTTTGCCAAAAAGCCCCAAAAGAACGACATGTTTTTTTCCTTTTTTTTATGTGCATTAACAAATTTCATAAATGATGCTAACCAATTATTTTCGATGATTGATTGGTTGTAATGAACCAATAATCAATTATGAGATTTTAACCAATTCCCAACAGGGAGTATTGTGGGGTGTGGCCACGGTGTGACTGAGTAGAACAGTATTTCAGTTATATGGCTGTGTATCAGCTTGTAGTGAGAGGGAAGCCCAAAGTGTTGCATTTACAACTCAGGAGGAACCCAGGATCAAACATGCTCAGATTGAAATTGTGGGCATGTGAACCCAGGATTATAAGCTTCTGGCATGTCTAAAGGGACATAAATCTGATATGCATGGTATGTACTGTGAATTTCTACCGATAAGAGGGCTAAACTTTAAATGCATGCTTGACTTTAAGGGCTCAACCACAGAAAACCATACAATTGTCTGGCAATTTTAATTTTGGCAAACAGAAACAATTTTGAATATGACAAATTTCATCAATGCATGAACAAACAGAAAATCGTATCAGTCATATTATAGCCTTGACACATGAGGCATAATTCCAAAATTTGTTTTTAGAAGTAAAGAAAGACAAACACTGGTAACATGAAAAGAAAGAAAAGAATTATCAGTGTTTAATTGTTCATAAGAGATTAGAGATTGAACTCATTATTGTCTACCTGCTTGACAGCCATCCCTCTTTGTACCATCTGATATTGTCTCCACCAACCCTGTGTCCACGCTGTATGTTAGGAAGTCATTTAAATACTCTCTTGCCCGCTGACCAGCAAATATGTACAGTACTCGTCGGATCTGAAAAATTAAGCATGTATGGTTCACTTTGTCAGTTTAAAATGCAAATAATACAAATACTGCATCACTTGCTAATAAAAGTTATATTACCTATGTGCCCACTGATATTGATATTACCTATGTGCCCACTGATAGTGATATTACCTATGTGCCCACTAATAGTGATATCACCTATGTGCCCACTAATAGTGATATTAACCATGTGCCCACTGATAGTGATATTACCTATGTGCCCACTTATAGTGATATTACCTATGTGCCCACTTATAGTGATAGTCCCCATGTGCCCACTAATAGTGATAGTACCCATGTGCCCACTTATAGTGATATTACCCATGTGCCCACTGATAGTGATATTACCTGTGTGCCCACTAATAGTGATATTACCCATGTGCCCACTAATAATGATATAACCCATGCACCCACTGATAGTGATATTACCCATGTGCCCACTAAGTGATATTACCTGTGCCCACTGATAGTGATATTACCCATGTGCCCACTTATAGTGATATTACCCATGTGCCCACTATTAGTGATATTACCCATGTGCCCACTATTAGTGATATTACCCATGTGTCCACTAATAGTGATATTACCATATGCCCACTAATAGTGATATTACCCATGTGCCCACTAAGTGATATTAACCATGTGCCCACTTATAGTGATATTACCCATGTGCCCACTAATAATGATATTAACCATGTACCCACTGATAGTGATATTACCCATGTGCCCACTTATAGTGATATTACCCATGTGCCCACTTATAGTGATATTACCCATGTGCCCACTATTAGTGATATTACCCATGTGCCCACTATTAGTGATATTACCCATGTGTCCACTAATAGTGATATTACCATGTGCCCACTAATATCGATATTACCCATGTGCCCACTAATATCGATATTACCCATGTGCCCACTAATAATGATATTACCCATGTACCCACTGATAGTGATATTACCCATGTGCCCACTATTAGTGATATTACCCATGTGCCCACTAAGTGATATTAACCATGTGCCCACTTATAGTGATATTACCCATGTGCCCACTAATAATGATATTACCCATGTACCCACTGATAGTGATATTACCCATGTGCCCACTTATAGTGATATTACCCATGTGCCCACTTATAGTGATATTACCCATGTGCCCACTATTAGTGATATTACCCATGTGCCCACTATTAGTGATATTACCCATGTGTCCACTAATAGTGATATTACCATGTGCCCACTAATATCGATATTACCCATGTGCCCACTAATAATGATATTACCCATGTACCCACTGATAGTGATATTACCCATGTGCCCACTATTAGTGATATTACCCATGTGCCCACTATTAGTGATATTACCCATGTGTCCACTAAAAGTGATATTACCCATGTGCCCACTGATAGTGATATTACCTATGTGCTCACTAATAGTGATATTACCCATGTGCCCACTAATAGTGATATTTCCCATGTGCCCACTGATAGTGATATTTCCCATGTGCCCCCTAATACTGTAATAGTGATATTACCCATGTGCCCACTTATAGTAATGATATCCATATGCCAGGTAAAAGTAACATTATCCATACATCCAAACACATAGCTATTATCCCTATGTCCACAAACAGTAACATTATCCATATATGCCTCCTAATAATAACATTATCCACAAGTGCACTAATAATAGGATCATCCATAAGCAGAGATGGAGAGAAAAAAAGTTGCTTTGTTTCTACGCAAACTTTGAGAAATATTAAAAGTCTTCATACATCATATTACCGTATAAACAAGATCATAACTTACTGGATGAAACAGCATTGAGTGACCAATCCTTGACCTGAGTTCTGGACTGTCCTCGATGAGACTGGACCAGGTGTTTGTTGGTATATGATAGCCAAACAACCCGCTAAATACTGGCTCATGACCTCGCTCATTTTCATTTGCACTGGATAATCAAGAGAAAAACAGCTAACCTCACAATGTCAACAATCAATTTGTAAACACTGTAAATCAAAGTGATGAAACTTTTATAATATTTAATCAATACTGCTGAGCTTCGTAAGTGGTCCTTCGGGTGCATTTCTTACAGTGCGACTTGTAGTAACAACTTGTAGCATACGACTTGTAGTAACATACGACTTGTAGTAACAACTTGTAGCATACGACTTGTAGTAACAACTTGTAGCATACGACTTGTAGTAACAACTTGTAGCATTGTAGCATACGACTTGTAGTAACAACTTGTAGCATACGACTTGTAGTAACAACTTGTAGCATACGACTTGTAGTAACAACTTGTAGCATACAACAATCCTAACGACTGTTATTTGTGTCCTTATTAAGTTGCAGACAACTCTTATCTCGCGTTAATCTCACATATAACTCGGCAACATGAATTCGTAAAGTAAGGAAGAAATGCTAGCATTAATGTCAAGTCTACATATTGCAGTCAATGAAACAGAAGAAGAGAAAGGCTAAATCGGTGAGGGTACACAACTGGATTCTGAGATGGAACATTCCATAAACATTCTTGTCACAAGTAAAAAACCCTTAACCCGCTTGGTTTCTTCTCTGGTAAGGTCAATTTTTATTCAGTCATGTCTCCAACATGATGTCAACATAAATAAAAGGATGACACTCTGAGGTGGACTATTTGAGCGATTTCATTGGTCGAGAGCTTGTGACTTGTAGCAGGAATTAGGACAAATCCTATGTCTTACAACTGCGACTAGTTGTATGCGATTTCAAAAGCTCTCAAGTGTTCTCATGTTGCAACTAGGTTGCACACAACCAGTTGATACTACTAGTCGCACTGTGAGAAGGCACCTTTAACACTCAACAGAACTACATGACGTGGAAACTTTGAATATGATTATTGTTTCTTGAATATGAAAAAGATCCGTGTTAGAATGAATCTTCAGTAACCCATGCTTGTCGTAAGAGGCGACTAACGGGATTGGGTGGTCAGGCTCGCTGACATGGTTGACACATGTCATCGGTTCCCAATTGCGTAGATGGATGCTCATGCTGTTGATCACTGGATCGTCTGGTCCAGACTCGACTATTCACAGACCGCAGCCATATAGCTGGAATATTGCTGAGTGCGGCGTAAAACTAAACTTATTAAATCACTCACTTGAATATGAAAAACAGTGCACAAGCAACAAATCCATGTCGTTCAGGTATATTTTACATGGAATCAGCCACCTTACATTATAACCCACTTCAGCCTGTTCCAAGCGCATGGAGTATTGGCATCTTGTTCTGCCAATCTCTATGTGCTGAGGTGCAATAAGGTTTACTTACCTTGTAAGTACCCGGCCTCCGAAAACATAAATAGTTTGCTTTTCAACATCAATGACCATCTGATGGTCAAAAATAAGACGTGGACCCCCCATTGCTGCTGTGTCTTCCGTGATTTCCGTCCACCGACCAGACCCCACGTCATACATGTAAAAGTCACACTGAAAGTAACGCAAGGTCAACATTAGACAACCCTCTTGCACAGGCAAACATCATCTCTCTTGAACAGTATTTAAAGGTCACATGCAACGTAAAACACAACTTTGCAGATTCTGATACCTTTCGGTATGGACTTACCGAAACAAATCATCAAAAATGCTAATTCAACTTATAAAGTTGAAAAATAACGCTATGAAAAAAAACGCGCGAAATCGGAGTTCAAACGTTTCACTAATTTTCCCCAGACTTTTCTGGGGAATACGGGTTTCAACAGCTGGGTTGCGCTCATAGCACGTGCGCAGTGAAATAGGTTCGCGCAACTTGGAAGCGGGCTGTCTGGCGAATACTCGGTGAAGGCTTTGGTGTGAGCTATTTTCATAATGTTTTGTTGATATCTCACAGGCGTGAGCTTTTTATATGTTATGACAGTAAATTAACTGTTTATATAATTTCATTTGTCTATTCCACCACACGTTCTTCTTACCGAGTCACTTTCTCAGTTCGATACTTAAAAGCAATGTCATTATTTAGCGTTGACAGAATTTCTAACTGTGATATAGATATGTCGCTGTCACAGACAAAACTCAATGTCTTGTTTTATTGACACCTGTGTGTCTGCCTGCCTGTCTGCTAATGACAATAATCAATACACAACTGCGATCACTGACCACATGCAATTTGAACTTAACACCAATCAGGCTATACACCATAAACAAAACGCATTGATTTATGGCCCAAGTTCGGTCTCTGTCACATTATGTAATTACACAGACAGGCAGGTGTGATACTTGAACACATAACATGTTATGATGTCTGTTGATTGCTAAATGTTATACACAAAAAATGAGCATGTATTTACAAAACCCAACATCTCTATGTATACACACACAATGAGCCGTGAAGGGGGCATCTGCTAATGAACCAGCCGTTACACTTCAGTGCACACCCACCCGCTCTGACTGGGTTCGGTATCCCGGCTGCTTCGTTTCGAGGGAGGTAAACCCAAGTACAAAATATTGCACTTTTGATTTGCGATTATCTGAGTCATTGAACAATACTAGTCAAGGGAACTAGTAGTTTAACTACTTTTGCTATGATGACAAAAGACTGAAAAGATCTCTAAACAGTTCAAAAACAGAGAATACACACAAAAAAGTACACAAAACAGTGAATAACAATTGAAGTTACTTTTAAGTTGTCTTGTGACCTCATGGAAGCATCTAAGTATCTCCCCAGTGTAAAGATCTGCTTCCTTTCATGATCCAGACACATTTTGTGACACGATCGGGCACTTGGACCACCCTGCAAAACAAACACAAAATAAAATTTTGACTAAATAAATGTCGCCTCTTACAACAAGCATTGCTTACTGAAGATCAATTCTAACCTGGATCTTCACGGGTCATTTCAGCAAGTATTTCAAAATTAATGGCACAGTTCATTCACTAAGCAGCCATGATTAACCTACGCAGCTGGTATACAATGACATGTCTCAGCCAAGTCAGTGAGCCTGGACCAACCAATCCCGCAAGCCGCCTCGTACAACATACATAGGTTGCTGAAAACCAATTCTAACCCAGATCTTCACTGGTGTATTGACATACAATCTCATGATACAAAGGTCCTGTGGCACAACATTACTGATCATTACTCATTACAACAGGGGGCGACGGGGTAACGCTTAAAGTGCTCGCTAGTCACGCAGAAGACCCGGGTTCAATTCCCCACATGGGTACAATGTGTGCAGCCCATTTCTGGTGTCCCCCGCCATGATATTGCTGGAATATTGCTAAAAGCGGCGTAAAACAAAACTCACTCACTCACTACAGAACCCTCACCTCTTCCTCCGTGTTTTTTGACACACATGTCCACTGTCTGGTGGGAACATTGTAACCCCAGAGATCCGCTAAGTCATGATTGCCATCCCAACCTCCAAACAAGTATATTGTTTCTAGAAGAAAAAAGTAGAATCATAAAACAAACATCATATCTAGTTTTTGATAATGACCACATCAATTGGCATGCTGTGTAAACTGCAGACACTGATCAGGTGTATTTCAATAGTGACAAGATTCAGATTTAACTTACTGGTAAAGCACCTTGTCATACCTTATCTTGCAGGGGTTATCTCCTGAAACTAAGACAGCCATTTCTTAGACAGCCATAACTTAGACACTAATGAAGGGGATTAATAAAGACAACACCCATGGTTGAAATGGAACAGTCCTAATTAGTGTTCCCGCTGAGTAGACCTAGCTTGTAAATAAATAAAACAATTGAAACTATAATGTATCAAATCTTTGAAGGACATTTAGAAGTGGAATGCATGAAAAAAGCAAGATTTATGGATGTCAACTTCATTATTGTGAATAACACGACGTTTCGGAGTGTATGCTTACTCCTTCATCACCTGGACTCTCACCTGATGATGTAGAGTACAAATCATTTATTCTCAAGCAAAATTTTCAAAATATAATGACTATGACTGCTATATAATTCTGAGTGACATGACATTTTACAAGGCCAAATAAAGAGAATGACAAAATTTCGAGTGAATATGAAATTTTGGACTTGTCCACTCTGAATGATTCTTATGTGGAATGCTACTTAATAAGCCAAGAATGGGCATGATCAACATACCATATTTATTATTTATTTTTTTATCTCTGTTGAACTTAAAATAAATATGCTGAAGGAACATAACGTCTTGTCTAATTGATTCTACTGGACTGATCCATTATAAGAAATAGGTATCACCTTGAGGATTAGTTGTGCACTGAGCCAGAAATGTTGTTGTTTTAAGCTGTCTAAGATATGGCTGTCTAAGTTTTGGGAGGTTACCCTTGCAGGTACTGACTACACTCTGAACACAGAGACAATGTCTCAGTTCCAGTTAAGATATTAATGATTAGTGTTGGGAATTGGTTAAAATCTCAAAATTAATGATTGGTTCATAACCACCGATCAATCATCGAAAATAATTGGTCAGCGTCATTTATGAAATTTGTTAATGCACACAAAAAATAAGGGAAAAAAAACATGTAGTTATTTAGTTATCTTTAAAGGATGACTAGTATGTTAGGAACATAAATTTCTTGGTGTCTTTAAGATAAATTCAATCATGACTTGGAACGAGCTTGTAGTGGTTATGAAATGTAACAGACAAAACCAGCCGTGTGAAATATATTGTTGATGAAAACAAGTGTTTCAGAATTGTTTGTGTTCGATTATGAGAAAACATGATCGATTGCTTGGTCATTTAGTCACTGCGACCAATCTTCGATTATTTCAATTAATCGGATCACCACTATTAATGATGTCTCACTTTCACCCAAAACACTGTTGACATAAAGACAGCATAAAATTGACAGATAGCAACTTCTTGTTTACTGCATGGAGTGATGTTTCAGGCCATACTGGTGTAACAATCTTCATGGAAATATCGCTCTATTCAATAAACAAGAAGTTACTAACCATAGATAAATGCTTCATTATGTACTTACCAATTTCTAGAATGTCAATCAAACAATTACTGTTGACAATGTTTTGACAATGTCTGTGTCTAAACAGTTTAGCACACTTTCATTGAACACAATGCACTCAGTTTATCTATTTAACAATCATTACCCTATTCATATTTGAATATAAAACAGAAAACAACAAGTGTTTGCCACTGATGTGAATACATAGTGCCCCGTAATAACTCTCTATCATCTCACCTGTGTGTACATCTATACACATCTGATGTCCGCCTCGCATCCCTGGACGAAACACTGAGTTGGTATCATTATCTGCAAAAGAAATAATCTTGTTATCCACATGAGACAAAAGTCACTTGTTATCTACAAGAAACACAAGTCACTTGTAATTCACAAAAGACATAAAGTCACTCGTTATCTAAGAGCGACACAACTCATTTGTTATCTACAAGAGACTTAAGAAACTTGTTATCCACAGAAGACATGTCACTTGTTATCTATAAGAAACACAAGTCACTTGTTATTTACACGAGACATAGACATTTGTTATCTACAAGAGACACAAGTCACTTGTTATCCACAAAAGACACAAGTCATGTTATCCACAAGAGACACAAGTCACTTGTTATCAATAGGGACATAAATAATTTGTCTTTCTACAAGACATATATAACATGCATAATGTGATGACACTTTATATTTTCTAAACTTGTAGATTTAAAAAAAAAGTACTTACTTTTGCTGACTGGCTGAATTGCTGTCCATTTGGGTTTATAATCTTGCTGACTTATGTACTGGTCAAAGAGTCCCTCTGAAAACAAAACATGACATAAGCAAGAGTGCAAGGTCTTCCAGTTAAATAACTCCACAAATATCATTACTGACATAAACCTGAGGAAGGATAACAATATATAGATGAACAACTTCTTTATAACCGTGAGAGGGGCGCGGTGGGGTAGCCTAATGGTTCAAGCGTTGGCTCCTCACGCCGAAGACCCGGGTTCGAATCCCCACATGGGTACAATGTGTGAAGCCCATTTCTGGTGTCCCCCCGCCGTGATGTTGCTGGAATATTGCTAAAAGCGGTGTAAAACCAAACTGTCAGTCAGTCAGTCAGTCAGTATAACCGTGAGGGCGATGTTTCAGTGTAGGTTCTTGCTTGCTAACGGGTGTTAGAACTTACACCAAAACGTCGCCCTCACAGCAATGAAGAAGTTGTTCATCCATATATTGTTATCCTTCCTTACTGCTCCAACTTCTAAATGCCTCTCAAAAATGTAACATAAACCAGTTGGGTGGGACATCATTATCTACACTTCATGATGACAAGTAAGTGAGGATGTTTGGTTTTACGCTACTTGAAGCAACATTCCAGCAACATACAGGAAATGGGCTTCACACACTCTAACCATGTGCATAACTGTCCCTGGGGCTCCTTTCACCAAGCAACCTTTACTAAGGTTAACCTTAACTCCCATTCTTTAACATTGCACTAAGGTTACCTCAGTGACTTACGATCACCTTAGTGCTTTGTGAAAGGAGCCCCTGGTCTTCAATGTGACAAATGTATGCTTTAACCACTAGGCTACCCCAAGTAAATGTGACGACATATATCTCAATGACATCACTACCTTGTAACAGTTTTAAACAACGTATAGACACCAAAATTATTTCTCAAAAGATCTGATTCTAAACATCACAATTCTTGCAATGGCTCTAGAAAATGATGAGCAAAACAAAGACTTAATATAGTTATTTGATCTGGGTGCATAGGGAGCTGGTGTTTTATGTCATAACCCACAATCCCCAATTCCTACCATTAATTCCAATAGACTGACTGACTGAGTTTAGTTTTACGCCGCTTTTTAGCAATATTCCAGCAATATCACGGCAGGGGACACCAGAAATGGGCTTAACACATTGTGCCCATGTGGGGAATCGAACCCGGGTCTTCGGCGTGACGAGTCAACGCTTTAACCACTAGGCTACCCCACCGCCCTAATTCCAATAGACAAAACAATAGACAGCTGACGAATTTTGAACTTAAATGATAATAATAGCATTCATACCTTAAAAAATTTTAACAGCTACATAAGATTCATACCTTCACATGCCTTTGTAACTAATTTTTCACAAGCATCAAAGTCTCCTTTCATAACCTGAAAAGCAGAAAATATCCAACATCAAATGACAATCACCCTAAAACTCACTCAAATCTCCAATAACATCAGCGGTTGAGTATAGTCTAATGTATTTACTATAGCTATGCTCCAAGCAATCATTCGAAATGAACAGAGCTGCTCAGTCGTTATTATGGGGATAGGTCCCTGTGCTCTTATACCATGTTTTTATCTAATGACCTATGTCTAGGAATCTGTCAACAGAAACATTAATACTAGTACTGCGACAATAAGCCATTGATGCTCATCCAAAATTTGGACTTGGGGTTTAACACGGCATTCAACTCAAGACTATTACTCAGATACAGCCACATGCATGTGTGTGTGTGGCTGTCTGTACACATCTGGAGTAATACCAGTTAGGTAGTGCTTGCCAACAGAACCACCATGCCGTAGCCTAACAAAGATGTCCCACTCAGACAGTACAGTGAGAGAGTGAGTTTAGTTTTATGCCGCACTCAGCAATATTCCAGTGATATGGTGGCGGTCTGTAAATAATCGAGTCTGGACCAGACAATCCAGTGATCAACAGCATGAGCATTGATCTACGCAATTGGGATACAATGGCATGTGTCAACCCAGTCAGCGAGCCTGACCACCCGATCCCATTAGTCAGCTCTTATGACAAGCATGGGTTACTGAAGACCAATTCTAACCTGGATCTTCACGGGTCCAGACAGTACAGAGAATCACATTCTCTTCCCACAGAGGTTACTCCTGTCATATCTTCCTACGTAACCTCTGTTCTAATATGGCCCTTTCATGGTGTGAGCGTTCAAGACTTGTGATTGGAGGCAATCAGATTTAGTTGTGCAATCAGCGACGTTGTTTCAAAAGTGATCATTCGCAAGGCCTCGGTAATTTCCGTATGCTTCGAGAAAACTACACTTCTTCCCTTGCGCGATGCGCAAACGTTTCTTCTAGACAGAACTCAGTCATGTTATGGCGGATCAGTGGTGTCTCCATCGCCCTCGTTGACAACGGACAAGCTAACCATTAAACGTCTTGTGTGTAACATCAACACAAGTCCCCGGCTGATGGGGGATATTTGTGGCCCCACATTTGCTTGTGTTAGTCAAGTTGAATCTAAGTCGATGTAACACATGTTCTGATTGGATAGAAAGAAGGGAGATAATTCGTGTTGCGATCTTTTGCCGCTAGGGGATTTTACGAGAACCGGGAAATATGGCCGTATTAGAACAGATGTTCGTAGGAAGATATGACAAGTACCGTATATGACCGTCTATAAGCCGACCCCATGGATAAGCCGACCCCCAAGCTTGACCCTCAAAATCAGTGTCAAAATCATATCTCTCATGGATAGGCCGACCCCCCGCGATGGGTCGCGGCCAACAGAGACCAGAGTACCCGGTAAGTATGTTCCATCAACGACGAGACACCATTACGAGAATATTACATAATAAAGATTACCGGTGTTTGTTTACCTTTTTTTAACGATCACTGCTTGCATCAACGACGAGACGCCATTTGGAAAGTGGATATACAGCGTAAGTGTTGGTGAGAATATTACATAATAAAGATTACCGGTGTATTGTGGCAACATGTGTTTGTGTTCCTTTTATATCCCGGCGATCACTGCTTGCATCAACAACGAGACGCCATTTTGTGAAATCGGTGAGTATGGAGAGAAAAAGTACCATCGGTAAATAAAAACTGAAGTCAACTTTTGTTTCAAAATATATTATTTAAGTGTCCATATTTCATCTATAGATATATGACAATAAGAAAAATAGTCCACTAACAATAAACACTGACATTTCTGCAAGAGAGTTCTGAGATTTTCACAAGTCATCGGCCGTAAACCCATCAAATTCCGTGTCACTGTCCTCCTCATACTGTAAGTCGATCCACATTATTCACATAAATTCACTGTCATATATATTGTGTCTACTCACGGATCGAAACAAAGTGTAGTTGACAGAAAATGCATAATATATTTTGCTTCTCTAAATATCATATTTATTGTAGCAACAAACTGGCTTGCTTATTTTACCCCATTCAACAATCACAAACTGATTACCGCCTCATTCCATGTCACGTGCTTACCACGTTCATGATGGTCCGTATAACCTTAGTGTTGATTATATATTTTTTACATAAAAACTATTACACAATGCTAGGATATATTTCTTTTGGTTAAATAATAGTATTCAATCAATAGAATTCATCCCATTATATTATTGTGCATGTGTGAACTTGTTCGCGGGGAAACGTGTGCACAGCTGATTGCTATTTCCGGCTTTGTGTACGAGACAAATACGCACGGTAATCTTAATCCCTGCAAATAAAACAATGCCCAGCAAAAACAACTTATAACTTAAATGGTAATTAATCTAGTCGAGTGATGTTTAATTGCAAATTTGACGTCTCTACTGACGAAGTCGTCTTCTGTTGTTTGTTCACGCGAAGTGATACGATGTTGTTTTCTTACCCCTGGAAAAAAGTTTGACGAAAGTGTAACTCATGGATAAGACGACCCCCTTCTACAGACTGCTTTTTTTGGTCCTCAAAATTCGGCTTATAGACGGTCATATACGGTAACCTCTGTGGGAAGAGAATGAGAGAATCAGAGCAAAACACTTTTGTGCTTTATCTCCACAAAAGCCATGGTAACAACAATTACCATCACCCACCCTTTAAACCTGGCCAGAAATCAAACAATCAACCTACCACTCTTCTCACCGATGTTCTGTGCACCAGACCATGGCGATTGAGGGTTTAAAATGGCTTTCAAAATGATTACTGGAGTCTGTCTTCTTAATCTGGGACACTACTCACCAGTGAGTGATGTAACTCTGTAAGTATTGGGTGCTCTAGAGCAATCTTTGTCTTCTTCTGCAGAGCTTCGTAAGCCTCGATGTACCGCCGCTGTCGGAAGTGTTTCAAACACAACCTGATTGCTTCTCGTTCCCGATACTATAACACAAGTTTGATTATACAGGGATAGAAATACTTTTTTTTCTAAGTGTGCCTTAGGGCACCAGGCAAATATTTTAGCTGTGCCTTTCAGAAATCAAGTGTGCCCACACGTTTCTAGAATAAATGACTGTAGCAAGGATGATTATCTTTTGAAATTTATTGTCAGAAAACAACAAATGTAACCAGTTTTCTGTTATCACTGATATGTCATCTGCTTATGATGGCTTTCTTATGTTACATTTGTTCTGCTTTCCCATCACCTTTAATAGCTAAGAATCGTGTGAGAGGTTCACCTTTTTCAATATGTCTAACATACACAATTTACTCTTCACTAACCGAACTATCAGTACTCACAACACACTAAATGGAAAAACAACCAGATTTCTTTACATCATCCATCATAATTCCAGTGATTTCCTGGGCGTAAAAGTCAAAAAATGTTTTTGCTTGTTTGTCATTTGCGTAAGTGTTTTGATTGGGGATTAAATGACTAAAGGTGTGCTATGTCTCTAAAAAATTAGGCGTGCCATAAGGGCACCAAGAACATTTTTTATCTGTGCCATTTTGATATTTACCGTGCCATGGCACGCTAATACATGGGGTATTTCGAACCCTGTTATATAACAACTGCAACCCAAAACAGACTCTGAGGCAGATTCCACACCATCAGATTAATGTGAACAGCATAAAATAACAAGAGATAACGTCTTCAGCTTGATATAATTCATATCATGATCATGTGTCTACTATGATTTAGCTTCTAGCAATATTTCAGCCATATCACAACATCGGAACATCAGAAATCGGCTTCACACATTGTACCCATGTGGGGAATGGAAACAGGGTGATAATTTACAGACCGCAGACATATAGCTGGAATATTGCTGAGTCCAGCGTAAAACAACAAATAAATCCTACATAAATATTCACATAATCCTACATCTTATATATTTTAAAGCAGATGTTCAACAAAATCTGCTCTTGACTTTAAAGAGTGCATGTGTGCATTGTTTAATCTCATATGCAACATTCAAGGTGAGGTGAGGTGAAATTGGGTTTAACATCGTGCTTGAGAATAGTTCGCTCATATGACGACATGCATGCGTGTGTATGTGTATGTGCGGTTCCTTGTACTAGCCCAGACTGAAGCTGATTTTATAGTGCTAGCCCACTGAGATACCATGCCACAGTGAAGCATGAATACCCCACTCACACACATTATACTGACTCCGAGCCGACCAGTGCTTGTTGTACCCATTAATGCAGAGCGCCAGGCAGGGACCAACAAGTACCAACAAGTACCATATTTTAGCGCCTTTTGGTATGACGCTCTCCGGGCGGATACTCTAACCACAACACCACGGAGGCGGTCCTCAACATTCAAGCTACATGACGGCAGCCTGTAAATATTGAGTCTAATCCAGACAATCCAGTGATTGATATTATGAGCAATGATCCACGCTGTTGGGGTATGATGACGCACAACCAACCACTGCACTGACAACTCACTCCATTAAGAGTGAGTGAGTGAGTTTAGTTTTACACCGCACTCAGCAATATTCCAGCTATATGGCGGCAGTCTGTAAATAATCGAGTCTGGACCAAACAATCCAGTGATCAGCAGCATGAGCATCGAGCTGCGCAATTGGGAACCGATGACATGTTTCAACCAAGCCAGTGAGCCTGACCACCCGATCCCGTTAGTCGCCTCTTATGACAAGCATGGGTTACTTAAGATTCATTCTAACCCGGACCTTCATTGGTTACTCCATTAAGACCCCTCTTAAAACCAGCATTAGCTGTTTGGGGCCAATTCTAAACCATAACACCCACATTCCCAGTTCAAATGCCTCTAATGACTATTGATGGGAAACACACCAGCCAAGGTCCCCACAAAAAATGACTGAAGGAGATGATAATACTCACTGTATTGTACCAGTTCATGCACGGTTTCACAGCATCCCAATCATCACGGCCGTACAGCTCTACATACCAAATGCTGAAGTTAAAACTCGGACCCCAGGCCTGAATTGGGACTGAAAATAACACAGTTGTTGTTGCTTAAACTTCATAACAATTCTGTACAAAATGTATGTGAAACCAGACAATCCAGCGATCAACAAATCGCAGGTGTCAACCAAGTCAGCGAGCCTGACCACCCAATCCTGTTAGTCGCCTCTTACGACATGCATGAGCTTTTGAATATCAATATTCTAACCAAGACTTTCACGGGTCGTTGTTAATATGTACAAAATGTATGTACAAAATATATGTGAAACTGTTCTGAAGACCTGAACCCTACGTGAGTGAGTTTAGTTTTACGCCGCACTCAGCAATATTCCAGCTATATGGCGGTGGTCTGTAAATAATCGAGTCTGGACCAGACAATCCAGTGATCAACAAATCGCAAGTGTCAACCAAGTCAGCGAGCCTGACCACCCAATCCTGTTAGTCGCCTCTTACGACATGCAAGAGTTTTTGAAGATCAATATTCTAACCCAGACCTTCACGGGTCGTTGTTAATATGTACAAAATGTATGTACAAAATATATGTGAAACTGTTCTGAAGACCTGAATCCTGAACATAAAACATAGGACAATGACTAATTCTGACTGAGTATGGTTTTACGCCGTTTTTAGCAATATTCCAGCAATATCCCGGCGGGGAACACCGGAAATGGGCTTCACAAATTGTACCCATGTGGGGAATCGAACCCCGGCCTTCGTCGTGACGACAATGACTAATTAAGCTTAAATGTTTTTCATATTGGTTCTGCATATTAACATATGCAATACAGTGTTTCTAAAGTCACTGGCAATCACAACAGAAGAGAAATAAGCAACTTTACATGCAAGTACTAACATGATGGAAAACTTACATCTTTTCAATATTGTTTACAAGAAAAAGTCGCGGTAACAAGCCCAGCCTTGTTGTGGATAGTGACTCAATTTGTGATTAGAATAAACAAGAATTACATTAGATTTTCAGTCAGTGTTCCAGAGTTTGTGTTTCTGTACATATCCGAGCAGAGCACATATCCGAAATTACTGAATAAACAAAAGTAAAATGGTCCTCATTTAGAAAATGATGGGGCCCCTTGATTCATCCTGCCTAAAAAACAACTCAAGAGCACACAGCCAAAGGTTTTTTTAAACCATGCAGCACAATACCTAGTTTGTAAGCTGAGTTACATAACATCCATTACAAAGGACCAATTATCTCATTATCAAACAAATGGTACAAACCTATTTTGATATATCTGCAAGGAAAGTGATTGCCATCTATTTCATGTCGAAGACTGAAACATTCTGGTGTGTGATCATTCTTCAAACCACTGAAAAATAATTGTGACACTAAGTGAGATATTTAACATTTATTCTGATCATTTTGTCTGCCACTGAAGTAACAACAAATATTCTCTTTGTAAAAATAATAATGATTAAGCAATTAATTACTATCATACTATCATAAATAAACTGTTTCTATGGCTACTATGTGGATATACCCAGCATCCACATTTTCTTCACACCTCCATAAACACAAAAACACTCATATCCTTTGTTTCTCCTCCAGTATTAAAACAGTGAACATTGAGAGGAGGGTTTACAGTTGTTATTACCATACAAGCTCAGTATTTACCTGTCTAGGATTTCAATCATATGATCTTCAGTGAGTCCACCATGGATTTTGAATTTCTTGAGATTGCACACATGAGTTTTCTCATACTTGCCAAATGATACTGTTTCCACAATTGCAGGTCTTTCCAGTTTGAGCACCAAATACTGCAACATTGATGAACAAAAACATATTATCTTTGCTTCTAGTTTAGCATCCCAACAGGAAAATTCAAGCTATATGACAGTAGCTGACACCTCAACAAGTCTGGACCAGACCAGGAGGTTCAAAAATCCCATCGCCCAACGCCCGGGACAAGTCAGTTTTCATTTCGGGCAATCAAATAATGGTATCTTACTTGTCCTTGGGCTACTAGATAATTTCCACTTATGGTTTCAAACTGCAAATAAACTTTGATTTAATTTCATATCTACTCAAAATGTAGCTATTAAATTTCGCAATGATAATAAAGTAGAGTTATCTTTCTTTGCTATTTATCACTTTTCAATAAATAGTCCAGTAGACATTAACATCAAATAACATGTTGATTTCTTCTTTCATAATTACATCATCATAATTATGTCATAAAATCAGGGCAAGAGGAAAATTAGTCAGGACAAGTTACTTTCTTAAAGTCACTTGCCCTGTGGCAAGTGGCTTTTTAAAAAAAAATTGAACCCCTGCAGACAATGAATATGAGAAACTATCCCTCTGATGCATTAAGTTTGGGAATACAAAGAAAGAAATTTTCATCAAATTTCCTCAATTTAATATGTCTCAAGACAAGGGGACTAACGTCGACTATCAAGTAATCATGGTAAGGATTAGGATAAACTCATCTGTTAATACAATCACCAGGAAAGAACTGCCACTTAATACTTCCAACAGAATCATAAAGTTAACATAATTTTACCTGCAGCCATTAACTCATTCTGTCTCACTCCTGTTTGTTAATATACCATTCCACCTCCCATTGGGATATTTATATATTTCCACGATGCACAGAATGTATTCTCACATCATGTCAAGTGAATATGTAGATAGAATGACATATCGGTATCTGATTGTCCCTACCAACGTTGGTCAGCATACAAGAATCACAAAATCAGTTTCTTTGTTTTAAGATCAAACATCATAATAAGAGAGTGGATAAGAAACATACTGCATCCTGCAGGATACACAATAATACCTACAGCACACTGAGACTAGGCAAAGGTGTCTGTTATTTCAACCATCAATCATGACTACTGTTCACATGGTACTTACTCATTCCAGGCTTTGAAGTAATTATTGAAATGTACAGTACACAATATATTCTTTTACACTCCATAGACACAAGATATACCATTCTCTTCCCACAGAGGTTACTTGTCATATCTTCCTACTAACATCTGTTCTAATACGGCCATATTTCCCGGTTCTCGTAAAATCCCCTAGCGGCAAAAGATCGCAACACGAATTATCTCCCTTCTTTCTATCCAATCAGAACATGTGTAACATCGACTTAGATTCAACTTGACTAACACAAGCAAATGTGGGGCCACACATATCCCCCATCTGCCGGGGACTTGTGTTGATGTTACACACAAGACGTTTAATGGTTAGCTTGTCCGTTGTCAACGAGGGCGATGGAGACACCACTGATCTGCCATAACATGACTGAGTTCTGTCTAGAAGAAACGTTTGCGCATCGCGCAGGGGAAGAGGTTTAGTTTTCTCGAAGCATACGGAAATTACCGAGGCCTTGCGAATGATCAACTTTTGAAACAACGTCGCTGATTGCACAACTAAATCTGATTGCCTCCAATCACGAGTCTTGAACGCTCACACCATGAAAGGGCCGTATTAGAACAGAGGTTACGTAGGAAGATATGACAGGAGTAACCTCTGTGGGAAGAGAATGAAGATATACATAATACCTGATAATTTTATTATATTTCAGTCAGCCATCATCTTTAGTTACTGCACAAGTTAGACTGATGGTCTCAGCCTTTAGTTTAAACATATTTTATTCACAATGTGAAAAGGATCGGGGACAAGTTCTTACAACTTATTAAACCCCTCTCAAGGTCACATGCAACCAAAAAATCAAACATAATTAAAACACAATTATCACTTATTCATGACATATAATATACATTTCTGGTTATGATAAAACATATAAACAAAATTATAAGCGTACAATCGCAAATCAAAAGTGCAATATTTTGTACTTGGGTTTACTTCCCAAGAAACAAAGCAGCTGGGATACCGAACCCAGTCAGAGCGGGTGGGTGTGCACTCAAGTGTAACGGCTGGTTCATTTGCAGATGCCCTCACGGCTCATTGTGCGTGTGTATATAGAGATGTTGGGTTTTTGTAAATACATGCTCATTTTTTGTGTATAACATTTTGCTATCAACAGACATCATAACATGTCATGTGTACAAGTATCACACCTGCCTGTCTGTGTAATTACATAATGTGACAGAGACCGAACTCGGGCCATAAATCAATGCGTTTTGTTTATGGTGTATAGCCTGATAGGTGTTAAGTTCAAATTGCATGTGGTCAGTGATCGCAGTTGTGTATTGAATATTGTCATTAGCAGACAGGCAGGCAGCCACATAGGTGTCAATAAAACAGACATTGAGTTTCGTCTGTGACAACGACATATCTATATCACAGTTAGAAATTCTGTCAACGCTAAATAATGACATTGCTTTTAGTATCGAAATGAGAAAGTGACTCGGTAAGAAGAATGTGTGGTCAAAATAGACAAATGAAATTATATAAACAGTTTATCTACTGTCATAACATATAAAAAGCTCGCACCTGTGAAATATCAACAAAACATTAGAAAAATAGCTCACACCAAAGCCTTCACCGAGTATTCACCGGACAACCCGCGAACCTATTTCACTGCGCATGTGCTATGAGCGCAGCCCAGCTGTTGAAACCACTTCAATTCCCCCAAGCGCTGGGGGAAAATTAGTGAATCGTTTGAACTACTATTTCGCACGGGTTTTTTCATCGCGTTATTTTTCAACATTATAAGTTGAATTTGCATTTTTGATGATTTGTTTCGGTAAGTCCATACCGAAAGGTATCAGAATCTGCAAAGTTGTGTTTTACGTTGCATGTGACCTTTAATAAATAGTTAACCTTTTCCAAATCAGGTTTTGATACATAAACGTTAGATTACCAAACGATTACCTGAGGAGGGTTGTTGGAATCTGAAGACCATCTTGAAGTCTGGTCGCCCGGTTTGTCATGACATATGTTTCTGAAATGGTAAAATTTACAGGAATCTTAGAACTCTGCATATTACCAATATATCATATTACATACATAGCAAACTATGACAAGCAATTTGTTTCTTATCTTTGATAGCACATACTGAAAACAGTTTGCATGAATGCACCTAGATAGCACAATCACCAAATAATGAGTTACCTGCTCTCATTTTAGATGTCATTGACACAAAACGAAATACTGCATGAATGGTCACAATGGTTCAGTCATCAAAACAAAGCTGATCATCATACAGCACAAATAATAATAATCAATCCTCAAGACAACACTTCGACATATCACCACTTAGTTTCTTCAATGGTCGTTATGTAACTAAGCAGCATTTACAAAGATTACTCGCAGTTTAATCTACAAGACTGATGTATATTGTAGTGTACAGTATCTTTAAACACAGTAATTTACTTAATACTTAATCTAATCTCATAACAGTAAACAGTATTTCTGCGTGATGTGAAATATTTGCACACTTTAACAGTGTTTAACTCTCAAATAAGGCAGATATCTAAAACAGTCTGTAATGATCTGAGCACATTCACTTCACTAACTGACCCAATTTAGATACATAGCTTATGGACTTATTAGGTTTTTCAGTAAATAAATGGAATATACAGGCTGAATTTAATAGACAACATCTCTAGAATATAGAACCACATCTTCTCATGTGAACAAGCTCTGCCACAGGTCACATGTTTATACTCCTTGCCTCCGGTTTTGTGAGAATCAAAGTCACAGAGATCACAGTAAGGAACAAAGGAGGCATAAGCATGGTTGATGTTGCAACATTGGTCAGCTTTTGAATCATTACAGAGCAAGCATTGCAGTTGAAACAGACTTGGATGAATATTCATGGACAGTTTCCAGCAATCAAACCATTTGACAATAAACCATATTCCTCCTGTTTTTTCCTGAAGTCATACACACCAAAATCTGTGGCTTCTGTTCTTGAACAATGCACAAAAAAGGGTGGAATCTCCTTAGATCCCCAGCTCATCCCTGACTTGTCATTTATTACAAAACCAGATTTATGGCACTATGTCCCACAGTAAATAGTTTTAAAGACCAACAACATGTGGGTGGGTGAAGCTTGCAAAGCAGTCACACACCACACACAACAAAACAGACAAAACTACACTCCAGAGCACAAATACTATTTGAAATAGAATAATAATAGATGTAACAAAAACTGCTTTCATAAATTAGCCCTTGCTATACAATGCACTGTCACATATAGAGTAATCAAATATTGAACACTATCCACATGAATGATCTTGTTTAATGACAATGAGTTAAGAGATGATAGATTACTGAGAGGTATTTATTATTCTGGATTGGAGCCATATTTGCAACAGTGATTTACATATTTATACCATTTTGTAGAGTTATAAGGATAAAATAGCTCTCTTGCTACAGTTAAAACGACATGCATTAGTAAATATCGAGCACACGTGACTTATAAATAAACATACAAAACTGGTTGTTTTCCTTTATTCTCTCAAACTGACATGTGAAAGAATATTCGTAGTTTCAGTCCATTGTTTGTTACCTTGGATAACAGTATGCTTTACAGTTACAAATGTGAAATATATCAAACGACAAGTGTACGCACTCTGGGACATAATTGTAGGAATAACTTGACCATTTCACCACTGAGTACTTGAGTCGTTGTTTGCAAGAGAGGGCAGCCATTCTTTTTCTTTCACTCTTTTACGCTTGCGAATGGAGGGATGGAATATAAAAGGCGAACGGGAAAAAACATATGGAAACGGAGTCTACACAAAAACTCCTGAGATTGTAAAACACCATGAAAATGCAAGTGTTTATTTATTCATGGTATTACACACAGAAGATGTTGTTGTAATAAAGGGAAGTGTTCCTCTTGGTTAGCTAAAACGGATATACAATGTTGATTCAAGTTTCGGATCAACCGTACGCTCAATTTGATGAGTTTTAAGCGCCTCCTAGCGGTAGGTTACGTCGGTAGAGCACCTGCCGGTTGTCTGCTAGGAACGGTTGAGCAGGTAGTCCAAAGTTCAGTTGTGTTACCACGAACACCATCATTGAATGACAAATCAAGACCCGTCTTTCTACAGCTGAGAATTTCAACATGCTGAGAACAATTGCTTCAAGACCATTGAATGGTCAATGTGGACAATCTTTGAAAATTGCTGCCACCTATGAAAAGGTAAGGCAGAGAAAACTGATAACTGAATAAAGCCCAGTACACTGTACAGTTGGCACTGTGCCTGTGTTTTTGTGGTTGTGAATTTGATATCATACAAAATTCAATTATAATCTTTACGTAAAGTGTGATTTTTTGTGTTTGCTCGTGTATTCTTAATTTGTTTGTTCATGAGAACTGCTAATTGCATGACTAACTTTTGGTACTGGTTTAGCCTAAAACATTTCATATCAAATTTTTCTTCTCTTATGATATAGTTTAAACAAACTGATCTCATGTGTCATGACTCACTGTTACTGCAGCAGATGCAGATGACATCGAAAGAGTGACAAATAATGCAATCCTGACATTTAATTCTCTTCTGTATTGTACACTATGTACATGAAGAAGTTTTGTTCATAGTCAAAATTTAATAGGAAGCTATTTTTCCAAAACATAATGCATATTAATGTTTACAGACTGATAGTTTAATTCTTCTGTTGGTTTTGTATCGTTTATCCACATTCAAGACAATTGTTTACACGATTACATGTTATAAAACAAGAGCAGTAAGGCTCTGTAGCTCACCGCAATTAAGGCGAAATAATGACAACAATTCTTTTAGTCTGAATGGAATTTCCTATGCAATTTTTCAAGACCCCACAAGAACAAAATTCTGCAGGTGATAAAAATATGCCAAAACTGCATCATAATGTGTTTCATAAATGCCTACGTGATGGGCAAAAATGACACTTTCAGGTCTGAACAAGCTGTATTTGGAGGCATTACAACTCGAATCATTATTACAAAATGTCAAATCCACAGAATCGATATTGTAGATTGAGAGATGTTCAAAATGTAAACTGTCCCCTGGACACGAGAATATATTAAAAGACGTCCAGATTGGGCAAGTTTAGATTGCCTCAGTGGAATAGTGGTGATTTAACGGAACGTATACCCTGGAGATAAAGAGGATGCCCTTCGCCTGAAAATTAAGAATTCCTCTGGGCTCCTATTGGACTATAATTTATGGTGTTTTATTTTGTATATATATTTAAAGGTCACATGCAACCAAAAAATCAAACATAATTAAAACACAATTATCACTTCTTCATGACATATAATATGCATTGCTGATTATGAAAAAACATATAAACAAAATTATAAGCGTATAAATCGCAAATCAAAAGTGCAATATTTTGTACTTCGGTTTACCTCCCTCGAAACGAAGCAGCCGGGATACGGAACCCAGTCAGAGCGGGTGGGTGTGCACTCAAGTGTAACGGCTGGTTCATTAGCAGATGCCGCCTTCACAGCTCACTATGTGTATATATAGAGAGATGTTGGGTTTTGTAAATACATGCTCATTTTTTGTGTATAACATTTTGCAATCAACAGACATCATAACATGTCATGTGTTCAAGTATCACACCTGCCTGTCTGTGTAATTACATAATGTGACAGAGACCAAACTCGGGCCATAAATCAATGCATTTTGTTTATGGTGTATAGCCTGATTGGTGTTAAGTTCAAATTGCATGTGGTCAGTGATCGCAGTTGTGTATTGAATATTGTCATTAGCAGACAGGCAGGCAGACACACAGGTGTCAATAAAACAAGACATTGCGACATATCTATATCACAGTTAGAAATTGTGTCAACGCTAAATAATGACATTGCTTTTAAGTTTCGAACTGAGAAAGTGACTCGGTAAGAAGAACGTGTGGTGAAATAGACAAATGAAATTATATAAACAGTTTATTTACATAACATATATAGAGAATACTACACGAGGTCTCATTACATACGAATTATACGAAACGAGTGTCCTTCCTATGGTATCTGACCGAGCGAAAGCGAGGTCAGATAACATAGGAAGGTCAATGAAGTTCAGATAATTCGTATGTAATGATGAGACCGAAAGTGGTATTTTATTTATTACCCACGTCTTACATGCATTAAATTGACAAAATAGCGTATTTTTGTTAATATTTTGGTTTCAAACCCGAAACCGGTTTCATAAAGAGGTTGCGGAAGAGTTTTGCACTGTAGTACAATATTTGCATGACGCCACTGTAATGACGTCACTGCCTTGGTAACCGACGTCACGATGCATGTCAGTTGTCATCGCCTCGTACAGCCTCCTCCAGTAAACTACTCCGTAGCACCCTGTTTCTTGGTTTGCAGTTGCTTCATTCGGCTAACATCACTGGTGGAAACATTGCGTTTACGTTTTTCGACAGATATAATGTCTCAGTTCGACTCACAATTAAACAGCGACACGGCAGCGTTCGCGATGTTTACATTCCCACAATGCATTTAAGTTGTACAATGAATGGATTCACGTGTTTGTTATGAATGAAAAAATAGTTACGTCAGAATGTGACCTAATTGAGAGGTCATCGGTTATCCAATCAAATCGTTAGAATCTCAGGTCAAGTCATTACGACACAGGTCAACGCGATACGACACTCGTGTGACGTACGAGATTAGTATGCAACTACCCATACGTTGACCACGTGGGTAATAAAAAAAGCTTGCGCCTGTGAGATATCAACAAAACATTATGAAAATAGCTCACACCAAAGCCTTCACCGAGTATTCACCAGACAGCCCGCTTCCAAGTTGCGCGAACCTATTTCACTGCGCACATGCTATGAGCGCAGCCCAGCTGTTGAAACCCGTATTCCCCAGAAAAGTCTGGGGAAAATTAGGGAAACGTTTGAACTCCGATTTCACGCGTTTTTTTTCATGGCGTTATTTTTCAACTTTATAAGTTGAATTTGCATTTTTGACGCTTTGTTTCGGTAAGTCCATTCCGAAAGGTATCAGAATCTGCAAAGTTGTGTTTTACGTTGCATGTGACCTTTAAATAATATACCTTTATTTCTGGAGAGTAAATGTAGTCTATTATAACAGCATTAAGACATGAAAACTTCATGCATGTGCATGTCAAACTCTGCATAAAAAGACATAAATATGATATACCACTTACTTTGAAATTGGATCTGAATTCTTTGTGCACATTTGATGAACAGCTCAACTGGGATCATTCAGAATTGGTCTTCAGTAACCCATTGCTTGTCGTAACAGCCGACTTAACAGGATCAGGTACACATTTCTAGGGTTTGTCGTCCAGCATTTTTGTGCATACAAATATTTAAAAGTATGCTTAAAAAATATTGGAAGGAGGAGGGGGGGTCATTGATTTTGTACATGACATGCAGGGGGGATTACTTACTTTTACATAAATTTTAGGGGTGGGGTCATTCACATTGTACATGCTTCTCCATAATAATCATCATCATCCCCCTGGCCATAAATTATGAACGGTATGATACATATTTTTCATTTCTTTTCAGTCCCTGAAAATAAGTTCTATTGGCACAAAGAAGCTATATAGGTAAGCATGAAGGCATGCCATTCTGTTTAACCATTTCCACCTTTGTTTCTGATTAATTGCTTGTTTTAACCTGATGGAAAATTATATGCAACAATTAATAAGTCCTGTGAAGATTCAGAGTTGGATTACAGTCTTCACTAAAACATGCTTGTCATAGGAGACAAATAACAGGTGGTCAGGTTTGCTGATGTGGTTGATCCATGTCACCGTATCCCAATAAAGTAGATCAATGCTCATGATGTCAATCATTGGATTGTCAGGCCCAGGCTCAGTTATTACAGCCTGGTATCATATACAGTAGAACACAGATATAACGAACTCCAAGGGACCAAGAAATTTAGTTCGCTATATCCGTTGTTCGTTATTCACATTTGACCGCCATCTTAGATTGTAGAGATGTAGACATTCACAGACATTACCTATATCATGTTGATAAATATGAAGTTTATTTTTATAATAAAATTGAAATAATACAACTACAACTTAAATAAATTTATTTTTTAATGAAAATGCAAGCTTACATTTATAATGTCCAGATAAACTACGAAAGAAGCAAAAACTGAAGCGATTTTTTTTCCATTTGTGACATGTCATAACATGCCCGTGCCTTTTCCTTTTATATTTTCATTTTTATGTAATCGGGCTTTCCGTTCGTTAACATGACACAACAACGGGAAATACCTCCGTTTTCGAAGCTTCGTATGAATAACATGCGAGGCGAATCGTGTGGTGTCTGGTATCGTTCGACAGCTCTGGAACATCAACAATATCACTGTACCCTTGCCGAGAGTATTTTCACAGTTGTAAAAAGCGATTTTATTGGATAAAGATTGGTTTCTAATGACGCTTTTTCGCCACAGTCTGCTATAAGGACCGTGATTGGTCAAAATCAGACACGTGACCTAAGGCAGCCAATCATACTAGGGCAATATATACCGTCCTCGTCAAAAACACGATATGTTTGTTTTGTTAATTAATTAATGACCATCAAACAATGTTGATTCACCGCCAACAAGATTGATGTATAATGTACCGCTAAGTGGCTGAGCTGACACTGAGTGAGTTCGCTAATCACGTCGTTAATTGGGTCTTGGGGGTAGTACATCAGTTCGCTATAGCCGTTAATTCGCTACTCACGAGTTCGTTATTCACGTATAATTTTAATGATATCATAAAGGACTGTTGACGGGACTTTTAAATTTGTTCGCTATATCCGTTTGTACTCTATATCCGTGTTCGCTATAACCAAGTTCTACTGTAGTGTAAATATTGCTGAATAAACAATAAACAAGCGTAACTTTAATTATTTAACACTATTTCTTCACAGCACTGCCTCTAATGACAAAGAATACCTCCATAAAAGTATCCTGCCAACATACCACTTTCAGAAGAGCCTTTTAAGGTTGGGAATACCAAAACTGGAAAAAAACTTGTGAGAGGTATCTAAAAGCTCAAAAACCTCTCTTGTCACCAGAGGAGTATTCTCACACTGAAACCACAGTGCAGAACTTCCAACAGAATGAAGGAGAAGGTAAGTGTGAAGGGAGGCCAACAAAACCATTCTGAGACAACCTTAGAGAGTGAGTAAATACTGGTTTATGCTGTGTCAGCAGTATTGCAGTGTTTCACAGCTTGGACAACACATATTTCATAATGTAACAAGTTGGTGACTTAAGTCAGTTTCATTTATTCTATACTATGGTTCAAAAGATTTTAGGGGGTGCTAGGGTAGCCTGTTGGTAAAGTGTTCGCTTGTCACGTTGAATTCCCATTAACGATTCCCCACATGGTAAAATGTGTGAAGCCCATTTCTGGTGTCCCCCCACTGTGATGTTGCTGGAATATTGCTAAAAGCGGCATAAAACTAAACTAACTCACTCAAAAGGCTTGTACAGTAAACAACAGATAAAACTCAAAGGCAGTTTGTTAGTTCATTATTTGCATTTCCACAAAAATATTCCACATATGGCCATCACTAATAACACACTTTGTTATGTCCATCAGCATATTCATGACAAGAGTGTTTGTAATAAACATAGTATACTATAATTTAGTGTCATTTCCACAAAAATATTCAGCAAGTGTCCCGTACCAAAACTACTGTTGATTATATCCATCAGTTTGTTATAATTGTCTTCTTTATAAATGCAGTTTACTGTACCCCGATATTTTAGTGTGAAATTGTTCTAATTGTTACAATCCGTTCAATTGGCATTCTAGATGTTGGTTACTACATATGACAACATACAACCTTATGGATGATGACCTCCAATTTATTGCGTTAATAATGTTTCTATGAAGACTGAATGTAGACCTAACCAAGCGATAAGTATCCAGTGTAGTTTGTAACTATCTCGCACTTACTCTTTACAGAACATCTGTCTTCATCAATTATCTATGGGCCTTTGTTATCAATCACCTGTTGTTAATGTGCTGTATAGTAACATGCAATATGTATTTATTAACCATATGGGAAAGAGGACACAGGGTAGTATTTTTCCTGAAAGTCCCAAGGGAGGTTACACCTTTTGGTGAACGTTGATTGGCTGTTTCAGAAAATATACGATTTCATTGGTTAAAAACAATATGCCGGGACTCCTTCATTCATCTTTTCAGTTCATTCACTGTTTTATACACAAACTCTCTTGTACACGAGGATATGATAAAAAATTACTCAATAAACATTCAGTTTTGTTTATTTATAATACATCATTGTAAGCTCTTGGAAATGGCAGTTGTAGTAAAACCAAGAAAACCACAAGCTTGCAAAAGGTAATACAATACGTCTGCTAGAAATCATGTGAAGCCTAAGAATGTCAATACTATTGATGACGTCACGCCTTGTGACGTCACGAACCATCCTTGCTCTGTTGTCGATGTAAACAAACATGGCATCTTCCCTATCTCCAATAAAAATGAATGACAAAGTGAAAAATGATGGCAACATATTAAGAAAAGTTGTAGATATTGTTCACTGACACATTCAACACTTTCAGGACTGTGGGATTTGTTGTGAGGACTGAACAAAGTGGGATGTATGTTCCCAGGTTTCGCATCCGTGTTGTGCCTGAGACTGTCACGTCTCGTCGCAAAAACGAACTACTCACACGCAAATTTGATAAAATACGTTTTTGTTTGCAATTCTTAATTAACAGTTCAAGCATTCAAGCACAGAAAATACTATTTATTACTATTTAAGAAACTATACAGTTCAGTTAGTTGAAAAAAAACAGTTTTCTAAGGGACTATTTAGTCTCGCGTATTACACCTGTTTAAGATAGCAGTAATGCGATGAAATTCTTGGAAATGAAGCTGCACCACATGCGTTGGGATATGGGGATTCCCCACGTCGCAGATTTCCTTAGAGAGAAACTGCTAATTACATTTTATTGTTTTTTAGTTCGCAAACTGATATGGGTAACAACAACAATGACCAGCACGTCATGAGGAATGACAGATTATCTCTTGTTATGTTAATTATGTAATTAATATAACTCTGGAAAGATAATCTGTCATTCCTTGTCACCTACATGGTTGCACTCATTCCGGATTTAACAATTAGAAAATCGACATCGAAGCATCGCTAAAGAAAAAACAAGAGTTATCATTCATATATATATATTGTATTTTAATGGCACTGTTGAAATAAGTTTCTGGTTCCTGAAGGGCACCATCAGCATTTTTTATTAAACTACATTACACGGTAAAAATGCTCATTATATGAAACCACAAAAATATGACAATTTCATGGAAATGTTAAACATGTTAAGTGCAGAGTGATTCCCAAGGTAAATTTAAGTGTTCATAAATTTAAAAGTGTATTATCAATTATAATGAAAAGGAAGGTGAACATTTTTACAAATTTCAACTGCTAGTTATGCCAAAGGGGTACCCTAAATGGTGGACGAGTCCATATTCTGCAACCCAAACTCGATGTATGTAGTATTCCCTTTCAACTGATTGCGAGTGGTATTGTGCATCGTGAAATATTTGTTACTGTGTGATACATTGATGCATCGATACTTTTTTTAAGACGATAAAATTATTGATACATTAAAAACTGTATCAATATTTAGTTATGAAAGTATCAGTTTAGATATGTTTTTGTATCGTTTACATTTTGCAATTGTATCATGTTTTTTGATGTTATGAGAGTTATAAATGATTATTTTTCATGCACAAAGATGGGATATTAGAACCTTTTAATCTCTGAGAATCACAAATGTTGATCTTTTCATGGACAATTATAAAATATGAAATATTAGTGTTCAAAATGTAACTAAATTTACACAATAACACCATGAAAATAGGTATCCATGACATCCCTACTGTGTATGCTCCTTTCTTATAAAATGCAATGAAATGTATCTACTACAAAAATATTACATTTTCATTCTGTGTTCAGATTTTGGCAGGGGTATGTTTCTGTATACAGAAATGGGGTACATATCTGTAGTACCCATGCCGACAACAACCCTCTTGCGTACAAATACACTTGAAATTGTTTGAATACTCAAAAGTTACATGCACACACACAAAAATAAATAAGAAAACTGAGGTATATTGTGAGGTTGTATTTTAGTGTATGAATGTGGCAGCTTGCAGACTTTCTTATCGTTTCTTACATTACAGATCAAATATAAATAGAAAACACATAAACCAACATTTAAACTTAATTCTATTTTTCAATAAATGGAAAATGGCAAAATACACAATTGAGTTTGAGTGAGATGGGTACAATTCATTTGGTTACTCATAGGAAAATTAGGATACCCAATTGAGATGCACACAAGCGGGTACATAACTCAATGACCCAAAACGCTATCTGTAGCTCTGACATCACATCACATCACTTGTGATTGTTGTTATATTTTCAGAGCTCCACAAGGAATTGGTTGCCAGTGACAAGAGAAATAAACATACAAGTTATATATCAGGTGAGAACCAAACAGCAGACATATGAAATGGTTGATTGGAGCAATAGACAAATATGAACTGTTTATGCTTCATTCAGCAATCTGGGGATCAGGGCCCCGTTCAATAAAGCAGTCATTGTAACTCACATTGTTCATTATAGAAAATCACAGTGCTATGAATGTTTTGTGAAACATTTGGCCCTGTTTTACTTAATTTCCACATGGAACAGTGATTTTAGGACAAGTTTCAGATATGTTAATCTTCCTATAGAGTTTTGGTTGGTATGGTAGTCTGGTTGTGTAAGTGGTCACTCTTCATGCTGAATATCTGGCTTTGATTGCCTATATGAGTACAATGTGCGAAGCCTATTTCTGGCATCCTCGATAATCTCCAAGGTATACGTTATGATCACTCTCCACTATACCCTGGATGCATCCACGGCTTGGCCCGATGGTTATATTACCTCCCTTTGCTGCGCTGCATTCTCACAGTAGCCAGTCAGCTAAGCCGCCGTTACATCCGAGCTTGCCAGTGTCAACAAAGATAGCGGCCACAGTCACGAAGGATTGTTCGCAGTGCCACTCAGATTTTTTTAGGAAATAATACAGACAAATTGACAGATCTTTCAGAGTACCTCTGCATCAATTCTGTTGCCAAGTTTAAACGGTTAGATAATTTAAGAAGCGAAAGTGGGTTGTGATTGGTTCGCTCAACTTCCCAGCGTAGACACCTGATTGGATAAAAAGCCAGCCAAGGGAAGTAATAAAATCATCGGGCCAAGCTGTGGATGCCTCCAGGGTATAGTGGAGAGTGATTGTAACGTATACCCTGGAGATAATCGAGGATGATTTCTGGTGTCGGCCATCATGATATTGTGGGAATATTGCCATAATCAACAACGTACAACCACATTTGCACTGATCTTGGGACAGCATGGCCTTTTCAACTCATGCAAAAATGTCTACTGGCCCAAATTTGGATAACATGTAACAAAAGCCTCAAAGTGTTTGAATTTCTACTGGCCCTCACGATAACTTTATATTTATCAAAACTGACCCGGAGGAGCAGGCTATTTCTAATTTGCATGATCTATAACACTTGTAATGCACATATATCCATGACTGATTGCATGCTCACAGCGCACAGTTAGAAAAGGCTTATGGAAAGAGATAGGTCGTAAGTTGTGACCTATTAAGAGTCAAGTCTGTACAGTCTCTCAGGTGTTGTGGCAGGCTGTTTCATAAGATTGATGCTGCATAAGTAAAATGGAACTTTTGACATATTCTGATTGTATGTTTCTAGGTCCCTGGTTTGACATGTACCTGAAGGACAGGTCACCTGTTGTGCTCACACATAATCCATTTGTAGTTTTCAACGATGATCCCAGGCCAGAGTACAATAACCAGGTAAGACTGTGTTTTGATGGCAGACTATGGACTATGTACGGATGTTAGTGAAGTGGAATATACCAGTACTAACAATGGAACTTTTTGAGTGTGGGGATTTGATCGTTAGGTGTGGTCACGTTTGAATTTGAACATAACAGTTTCTTGACCACTAGTTCAAATGTCATTGAGTATGCCAAGTTTGCAGTAAATGGTAAATCTTATCATATAGAGACAGTGTCTAAGGTTCAGAAATGGTTTTAATGACAATGGTCTTAACCAGTGCAGAAATGGGCACCAGACCATTAAACAAGCTTTTAGACCACTACTCGCCCCCCACAACCTAGAACACAATAAGGGACCGTTCATAATTGATGGCTTGGGGGTGGGGGTTGGTGTGTTTGATGATTTTAACGGGGGCGCCATTCACATTGAACATGCTTCTTAATAAAAATCATCATCACCCCCCACCCCCCTAGCCATAAATTACGAACAGTCCCAAAGAAAACATGTTTTTCAGTCAGATGTTCTTTCTGACTGTCATTAATAGATAATATTTTCTTCTGTAGCTTGTCAGAGCAACAAACATGATAGTGTCTTCAGCAAGGTTCATGAAAACTCTGAAAGCAGAAATATTGGAGCCGGAAGTCTTCCATTTAAATGCATCTAAGAGTGACACCCCAGGATTCAGAAAGTTCACCAGGTAAAACACAGATCACAAAATTACAAAATTATGTAAATACAAAAGAAAAAAGTCGCTTATGGTAGTGACACTGCTATTTATGATGAAACAGAATTATACGATTCTGAATTTATGAGGTTTCATTGCTCTGTTTTTGTTCACTGAACATTTTACAATGATGCCCAAAGTTAGACCCATGGACAAAATTCTGTTGCAATTTCAGGGGCATAGGGGTAGCTTAGTGGTTAAAGCGTTCGCTCGTCACGCTGAAGACCCGGGTTCGATTCCCCACATGGGCACAATGTGTGAAGCCCATTTCTGGTGTCCTCCACCGTGATATTGCTGGAATATTGCTGGAATATTGCAAAAAGCGGCATAAAACTAAACTCACTCACTCACTCACTCACTGTTTGTGTATCATTATGGTTTTAGTCGTGGGTCCCTGGATTCTTACGTTTTGACTGTTTCTCTTTCAGGGTTCTGCCTCAATCCGTCGCAGCGTATGGGGCGTACTGGTACAAGGCCTTCCCCTTGGATATGAGTCAATATGGCCGACTGTTCAACTCCACTAGGATTCCCAGGTAAGAGTCTCCACTGGGTGATGGTGATACAGGATAAACGTTGGTCGCAGAGAGAAGATGATTGTGCTGGTGATGGTCGATAATGGATAACTGTTGGGCACAGCAAGTTAAATGTGGTGTCTGCTTGGTCAAGTGGCCGCCTCTGTGGTGTAGTGGTTAGAGCATCCGCCCAAGGAGCGGAAGGTCATGGGTTCGACCCCTGGCCGCGTCATACCAAAACACGTTAAAATATGTACTTGTTGTTCCCTGCCTAGAGCTCGGCATTAATGGGTACAACAAGGACTGGCCAGCTCGGAGTCAGTATAATGTGTCTGAGTGGGGTATTCATGCTCAACTGCGGCGTAGTATTTCAGTGAGCTAGCACCATAAAACACACTTAAGTCTGGGCTAGTACAAGCAGCCACACATACGTATGCATGCACATTGTCATATGAGCAAAATATTCTTAAGTATGACGTTAAACCCAATTTCACCTCACCTTGCTCAAGTAACTTTGTTTAGAATATCTTGCTGGATGAGATGGTGACTATTTACCTCCTAGCACCTCATCATGTAGCTTGGTTGCCATGGTATCTCAGTGGGCTTCATATAAACAGCAGAAGTCATGGACTAGGACAAGGGGTCACACTCGTGAGCAAGTACATTGCTGTATGAGAGACCAAATCTTGAACTTAATTTCTCCTTCTCCCTTCTTCCAATTCTGAACATCCATTTTTCATTGTTTTGCATGAAAGGATTAGAAAAATCTTAAGCTGTTTGCTGATAACTGTGGTGGTTATGAAGGACTCTTTCATTTTTTATCACATTGTCAGTACGTTTGATGAACTTTGTAAAGCCAATGTACAGTGAGATCAAATCAGTCTTTTGTCGGTCAAATGAAAACTTGTTGATGCAAAAGATTCCGATATTGGTTCATCCTCTGAAACAATGTCTGATGTATACTCTTTCTTCACAGACCAGGAAGGGATGAGCTGTTTACTGACAACGGTGCCAGACATCTGCTGGTCCTCAGGAGGGGCAACTTCTACACCCTCGATGTCCTGGATCAAGACGGTAAGTTTATAGGCTGATCAAGTGAGCATTTTACTCAGAAAATTCCTTTAGTTTGTATATATCAGTCACTGTTTTCAGCCACGTAACAAAATCAGGGACTTGGTCATGTAGACCGATCCCTACAGATCCCTACTGATGTTACATGAACCTCTACTCCATGTGGGGCGGTGGGGTAGTCTAGTGGTTAAAGCGTTGGCTCGTCACGCCGAAGACCCGGGTTCGAATCCCCACATGGGTACAATGTGTGAAGCCCATTTCTGGTGTCCCCCGCCGTGAAGTTGCTGGATTATTGCTAAAAGCGGCGTAAAACCAAAACTCAGTCAGTCAGTCTACTCCATGTTATAATGTCAGTGTGTCTGTTTTGCCAGAATTCTATCTTTGAAACTGGCTACGGCATTAGCTAATATGGCCAGGTAAGACCAAAAGTATGTGATGTTTGGCTCTTTATTTATCTTACTAAATTGATATCTGACTTAAAAAAAATGAGATTTTGAGAATAGAAATAAGTCTGTTTCCTCATTTATTTGTCATTGTAAACTGTTATATTCAAATAGTAATTTCCAGTTCAAAGTAGATGCGTTTAGAGTAAAATATATTCAGGGGTGGAAATAACTTTAAAATTGCTAGTGTACTCCGGTACAGTGGCACATGTAAAATCACTTGCCCTGATAATTTTTCCACTATACCGGCCATTTTCTTGTTGATTTTTTAAATAAACAACATAATTAACATTGGAATATCAACTGGACACCAGTACAGTGTGATATACAAATTTGCTTGCCCGACAGAAAAAAGCACTGGACTCGGGCGTCGGGCAATGGGTTATTTCCACCCCTGATATTGTTTTGGTACAAATGCTAGGACATGCTAGGATACTAGCATCAGTGTCAAACTGTTGTGTGGAAAGAAGGAAGAAGTTGAAATTCACAAGTCAAAGCAGTCATCAGTGACTTTATGGCATCATCTTTATCTTCGAGATGTCAGGTTTATGTCACTTCATGATACTGCATAGAGTCCTTAGCTGCGCTGATCTCATGAGGAACTGTCTCTTGCAGGCAATATCCGACCTGCTGTAGATATCATGGCCAACTTGAAGTACATCCTGGACGAGCCAACCCCCCAGCCTGAGTTCCCCCTGGGGGTTCTCACCACGGAGAATAGAGATGTGTGGTCCACTGTCAGATCACAGCTGGTAGATGCAGGTATGTCATTTGCTTATACAACATAGCTGTGGGAAACAATTCAAGTTTCCAGACCATTTGATATACAGGGAGATGGGGCTGGAATTGTTTTATAATTGTCTGTTCCAAAAATTGAAGCGCCAGCAAAAAGCTATGATCTTGCTGACAGTGACATAACACAACATTCACTCAAGCTGACATTTCTAACCATGCATATTTTACTCAAGTTGCATTTGTCACTCAAATTATCTCTGTTCTTATTGCCTTTTGCATATGCTATTCTCTTGACTTAGAGTTATCTCCCTTTATTTGTAACTTTATTATAGGATACTTATATAGCGCACATATCCAGGCAACTAGTGCATGATCAAGGCGCTGGGATATTTTCCCTCGATCATTGGATGTCAATATCAACGTCACATCTTATTATCAATCTCAACTCCCTGGGGAGTATACAACTCTTGCAGCCACTAGGCGCACCGAGTTACTGTGGCTTTCCCATGTTTACGATGTACCCATTCACAGCTGGGTGGACTGGGACACATTATCACAGTACTTTGTCCAAGTTCACTGCACATTGCTGTACCTGCAACTAGGTGTTTGCATGTATTCATGTGGCCACCATCTGGTCATATACCAACGGATTTGTGGGTTCTTTTAAGTGCACAGGGTTGTGTACTGTACACTAGGGGTTGTGACAACACTGAGAGAGTCTGCACACAAAGTTTACCCCAAGGAGTTTTTACACCCGGTCACAAGTGGGCTCGATCCCGGCACCTCATGCCCACTGGATCACTGGCCTGGCACCTTAGCCAGCTCACCCACCGCGCCCCCTAACTTGTGGGTATCAGTTGCACTGTTTGGTTAAACTTAGTCAGCAGTTATAGTCACATCAAAGTTACATCAAGGATCTTTGGTCATACTGGATTTTGAGAAATGTGATATATATGTCAATGCAACATATATATTATTATTGTTCCATTTTGGATTACACTTCCTTGGTAAAGTACAGATTCTAGTACTTGTGATAAAACATGGCTGCTTTACTCAGGTAATGAGGCCACCCTGAGGCACCTGGACAGTGCGATATTTGCCCTGGTGCTGGATGAGGAGGCACCGCAAGATCCTGATGGAGTCTCTCGACTCTTCCTACATGGAGATGGAATCAACAGGTAATTCAGGTGTTACAAATTGTTGAATCACTTGCTCCAGCACAAGAACATCAGCCATATTACATAAGGTTGTTCCAGGACACTAAATAGACTATTGAACCGTTTTATTAACTTGAGCCATAGTCAAAGGACGAATATTTTCCAAATTGAGTAAGATACTGCATTCTGCCAGTACAACAGACATTATTCCTTGTGAATGCAGATGGTATGACAAGAGCTTCCAGCTAATACTCAACTCTGCAGGCACAGCTGCTGTCAACTTTGAGCATGCGTGGGGAGATGGGGTGGCAGTGTTGCTCTACTTCAAGGAGGTGTACAAGGACACCACGGAGAAGGCTCAAGTCAGCCCCAACACTACACCAGCTAACAGAGATTCCAGCGCTGACGTGAGGAGGTTGGGTACGTTTTTTTAAATACCAGGTCTTTGGACATTCCCACTAATATATTCTTGACAAATTGACATGACTAGTGCCATTCCATGGACACTTTTAGTGTCAAGACAGTCATAATGTCATTTTCTCGTCCTTTACTATAGACTCATGATAGTCCTAATATTGGGATCGCTTTGTCAGAGAAAGACCAGATCGTAAACCCACAGGATGTGTTGTTTTGAAACAGAACCAAATCTTCTATTCTATTGCAGGAAGGTTTGCTTTCAGAAGTAGCGCTGAAGATCTTGGGTTTTCAAAATGTGTCTTATTATTATAACTTGGGAGGTTATAGAAGAATTGTGGTTGATTATAAACAATCGGGAGCAACACTGAATTGTGGTTTGCAGATTTCAAGCTTGATGCTGGTATAAAGCAGGCCATACAGGAAGCTAAAGAGAAGTTTGACAAGAGGACCAGTTCCCTTGACCTCCACCATCTGGAGTACATGAGATACAACAAGACATTTGCCAAGCAGCAGAAAGTCAGCCCAGATGCCATCATGCAACTAGCGATACAGGTAAAGGGAGATAATCACATGTGGTTTGATCCCATGGGGATTCTAGGTTAGACCATGTGGGTATTATGGGCTAGATTTGGTCCAAAGAAACCTCTGCTGGTCATAAGAGGCCATAAGTTGTCAGACAGAATGTCCTTGTTCCTTGTTCCTCTCAGCATCTTTTCATCTGGTCCAGCAATTAAACACGACTCACTCACACACACACACACACTCACTCACTCATGAATTTCTAAACATTACAACCTCATCTTCAGCTCATGAATTTCTAAACATTACAACCTCATCTTCAGCTGGCATACTACAGACAAAATGGCTGCACTGTCAGTACGTACGAGTCCTGCAGCACTGCAGCCTTCAAGCATGGCCGCACGGAGACCATGAGACCATGTACCACAGCCACACAGAAGATGTGCCAGATGTTGTTTGAGTCGAAGGAACTGCCGTCTATCAGTGACCTTCAACAGGGCATTCGAGATTGCTCTACAGTGCACCAACAGCTCACCAAAGAAGCTGCAATGGGTGGGTAAAATTATTTAAATGGAACTTAAACACATAAGGATAGGCGTGGCTACTAGTCGATTAAAAAATTGGAGGGGCAAGTTGTCCCCAGTATAGTTATGTTACAGGCGTTTCTAGTTCAAAATGGTGTCCCCCGCCGTGATGTTGCTGGAATATTGCTAAAAGCGGCGTAAAACCAAACTCAGTCAGTCAGTCTAGTTCAAAATGATCCACAGACTAGTTACATAGGACAAATAGTGCCTACTTCAGATAAGGTATGGTAGAGTCCCTTTTTTGCCTACAGGTTATGAAAAATGTAGGAACTTTGGAGAATATTTGATTTTTAGGGCTGAGGTGCAACTTCAGCTCACGATAGCAGTAAATTGTAAAAGAATGGTTGATTTTTCCAGGACAGGGTTTTGACAGACACATGTTTGCCCTGCGGACGCTTTCGGAGGCTCATGGAAAAGTCCCAGAAATATTCCGAGACCCCGCCTACAAGAAGATCAACTACAACATCCTCTCTACATCCACCTTGTCGGACCCTGCTGTCCTTATCGGGGGCTTTGCTCCGGTTGTACCTGATGGATATGGCGTTGGTACGTTCAGTATTTTGTCTGGAGGACAGGTTTTTTACTGGTTCAGGGGTGGAAATAACTTTAAAATTGCTTGTTAGCATAATTAACATTGGAAAGTCAACTGGACACCGGTAGAGTGTGATATACAAATTTGCTTGCCCGACACAAATAAACATTGGACTCGGACGTCGGGCAATGGGTTATTTCCACCCCAGTTGTCATTTTGAAAGAGCAAAGAAATCACTGTTTCACAAACTGTGGTCACGATAGCCTTCCCCTCATGACTTAAGTACACAAACACGTAGAATATGAATTACGTTATCTTACAGTCTGAAAACATTACGTGAGAATGATTTGAAATGCAGTACTAAAGTTTACTTTGATTTCTTTTGCCTAATAAGACATAAGATGTGAGGTGAGGTGAAATTGGGTTTAACGTCGTGCTTGAGAATAGTTCGCTCATATGACGACGTGCATGCTTGTGTACGTGTATGTGCGGCTGCTTGTACTAGCCCAGACTTCAGCTGGTTTTGGGGCGGTGGGGTAGCCTAATGGTTAAAGCGTTGGCTCGTCACGCCGAAGACCCAGGTTCGAATCCCCACATGGGCACAATATGTGAAGCCCATTTCAGGTGTCCCCCGCCGTCGTGATGTTGCTGGAATATTGCTAAAAGCGACGTAAAACCAAACTCAGTCAGTCAGTCAGCTGGTTTTATAGTGCTAGCCCACGGAGATACCATGCCACAGTGAAGCATGAATACCCCACTCAGACACATTATACTGACTCCGAGCCGACCAGTCCTTGTTGTACCCATTAATGCCGAGCGCCAGGCAGGGACGTACAAGTACCATATTTTAACGTCTTTTGGAATGACGCGGTCGGGGATCGAACCCACAACCTTCCACTCTCCGGGCGGACGCTCTAACCACTACACCACAGAGGCGGTCTACATAAGATGTAAGACATGTAGTATATATGTATGTATGCTTTTCAACATATTTGCAGGTATGCTTTATTTAAATAGAAAAAACACATGCCTTTGTGTTTTCCTGTATATGTATGGATTGTTGATATATTACATCAGGTAATCTTAGATTTGTTTAGACATCTACACTGATTATCTGTCAGAAGATGTCAATGAAAGGTCATTGTCAAACAGAGACAATACATATGCTCCATGTGTGTAATAGTGGCCAAATGTTGCTAGCCAGTTTGGCTAGCTTTTCCTGAAAGTACTAGCCCACAAAATATTTCACTAGTCCGAAATTTGAATGTAGACATGTGTTTCATCATTAAGCTGCTTATATGATCAACATTTTTATCAGGCCATAATCTTGCATGATTTAAAAGTGTGTTATAACTTAAGAAGTAGGAGAGAGTGATATATTTACAAAATTACCCCATGAAAATTCACTTGCCAGTCGAGCCAGTGACTGGAGATTTACTGGCCTGAGTGGATTTCGCACACTGCATGTATGCAATGTATGCTCGTCAACATTTAGACCAAAGCGTATCTCGTGACCAAACGTATCATCCATGACTTGGTTGACTGCATGTCAGCGTACCCCAACATTGTGTAGCATTGCTCAGTCACTGGATTGGCTAGTCAAGACTCCATTATTACAGGTGCCATCATATAGCCAGATTATTGCTGAATTCAGAGTTAACCACAAACTATCATAAACAATGACTGGCTATTTATATGTTTTACTTTAACAAATGTTTTACTAAACTTAAATAGTCAAATTTCTATTTCAGGGTACTCAATAGAGAACAACAGGATAGGTTTCAACATCACTAGTTACCCCCCCTCCGAGAGACGTCCGCGACTTCATCCAATGCTGTAGCAATAGTTTAGATGATATCTATGATATACTACAAGGCAATGCTCCGGCCAGGAAGACATGATGTCATCTATATAGAGTCAATCCTACAGTGCTACTTGAGTGTGTCCTACTGTGGGTATTCCATGTGGCCTCCTACTAATGCTATGTTTGTCGTAAAAGGCGACTAACGGGATCGGGTGGTCAGGCTCGCTGACTTGGTTGACACATGTCATTGGTTCCCAATTGCGCAGATCGATGCTCATTCTGTTGATCACTGGATCGTTGATCCAGACTCAATTATTTACAGACCGCCGCCATATAGCTGGAATATTGCTGAGTGCGGCGTAAAACTAAACTCACTCACTCACTCCTACTAATGCATCACAATACTTGACAGGCTTGTAACATTACACTGCTTCATGATGAAGTAAGGGTGGTTGGGTAGCCTAGTGGTTAAAGCGTTTGATAGTCACAACGAAGGAACAGGTTCCATTCCTAACATGGGTACAATGTATAAAGCCCATTTCTGGTTTCTCACATCACAATATATCTGAAATATTGCTAAAAGCGGTGTAAACTCACTCACTCACTCATGATGAAGGAAGGTAGTGTGTACATGCTCCTGAAACTATTCTTCATGGTGAGTGAGTGAGTGAGTTTGATTTTACGCCGCTTTTAGCAATATTCCAGCAATATCACGGCGGGGGACACCAGAAATGGGCTTCACACATTATGCCCATGTGGGGAATCGAACCCGGGTCTTCGGCGTGACTAGGCTACCCCACCGCCCCTCTTCATGGTGAATGTGATGGACACAAGTATTGTACGATGTCACTAGTCAGGAAGACAGGTCATAAATGGGTCCAGTATGGTTCCAAATATATAAATATATGAATTGCCTTGGTGACTAAGGTTGAAACCTATATTTGTTATATAAAGGAGTGTCTGCCAGGCTATGTGACCATACTTTCATATTGCAGGGAATGCTCCATGTTCATCACTTTGAGTTTATTGTGTCAAGGACTGACGGTTTGTTATTCAGAGGAGTGAGTGAAAGAGGGACTGGGTTTTTTTTTTAAATATTAGTTTTGACCCAGATATAGCTTGGAAAACATAATTAGACCTGTGACTGTTTAATAAAAAAAGTTGTTTGCCATGAACTATACATTGCTGAAGTAGATCTGGCCAAAAGATATCAATGGTCATAGAATAATTTAAAAAACTGTTGGTTTTGCAGCTTTATTTCAAATAATATATAATCCAAGGCTTCCCTGCATCATAATATCAATGTGTGAAGTCCATTTCTGGTGTCTCTGGTCATAATATTGCTGGAATATTGATAAAGCAGTGTAAAACTCACTCACTCATAGTACCAACTGGTCAGTCCCCAAATGACATTATTCCCAAATGTATTTATTTTAGGCCAGGATAGGAAATCTATTGTCAATGGACCAGTTTCATACAAAGCATTTACCTTTGTATGTTTATATTTACCACTCATTTTACTACAGTATATCTTTGCATGAAAGTGCTTTGTCAGCAAGATTGTTTCAGTGGGTTGGTTGATAATATTTGTTGTCGAAAGTTATTCGATTTGTTGAAAGTCAGAAAATATAGAGAGTAAATAAGCTCAGTAGTGACATGGTGTAAGGTTCATGCCTGAATTCTTTCACTGACTCAGAATGAATGGTGAAAATTATTCACACAAGAGAATATTTTATGTCCTCCAAACATTAATCATTCTACCTTGACTGCTATACCAGACAAGGAAGAACATCACTGTATGGTTATAGTTCCTGAGATCTGTGATTATGTTTTCTTACATATTTTCAAGTAATAAACTATTCTTTGCACACACTTTAGGTTTGTCTTTTCTGTCAGAACTTGTTTTACAAGTTCAATTTTGTGATTATGTCTTCAGTTCAGCCACATGAAGAGAATCTGAATGAAACAGTGGTTGAAGCAACATATGAGTTGTTACATGTTGGCCTTGTCTAATTGCTGAGAAGGGTCCATTATTAGGTCCTGGTTTGATTTCCCACACGAGTACAATGTGTGAAGCCCATGTCTGGTGTCCCCCACCATGATATTGCTGGAATATTGCTAAAGGCGGCATAAAACTAAACTCACTCACTCACTCCATTATTAGATACTTTATAAGATAAGTCTGTGTGTGAAGACACATGTCTTTTAGAAAATTGTCAAATGCAATATGTATCAATTGGGAGGGCACTTTCTCTGTAAAGTATATATATTAGTACCTTTTGGGGTTGAGTCCAATCTGGTTTTGGAACCCACACACTCAGAGTGAGGCACCCTATCAGCCAGCCATATGAGAGTGTAATAAAGTACAGATTTGTCCTGAACAATCATAGTTATAGCCTGAGGACACTCCATGTTTACATGCGTTACATCACTGGAATAGAGCTCAAAGCAGGGTCAAACACAGCACACTCACAATGGTGTTAGGGACCGTTCATAATTTATGGCCAGGGGGGATGATGATGATTTTAATGGAGAAGCAAGTACAATGTGAATGGAAACACACACACCCTAAAATTTATGTACAAAGTAAGTGACCCCCCTGCATGTCATGTAGAAAATCAATTACCCCCATATTTTTTTAAAGCATAATTTTTAAATATATGTGCAAAATTGATTGATGATTCATTCCCCCGAAACATATGTACAAAATTGATGACCCCCTTACCTCCCAGGACAAAATGTCTGACAAACCCACCCACCCCACCCCCAAAATCATCACACACACCGCCGCCCACCCCAGCCATAAATTATGAACAGTCCCTTAGATGACCTCAGTGGACAGACCACTACCAGCTGTGATCAGCAAGGACCAATCTAGACACCATTAACCACAATTTGGCTTCTTCCATGATGATGTCTTGTGTCCAGCTTTATAAGTTGATTGCCTCTGTTCACCCAGCAGAACATGGGAACCTGGTGGGATGTCATGGGACTACTAACGCCTCACAGGCAGCTTGGGTTATCCAGGGTAATCGTATTGTAAATCAGATAGTATGTTGTGCGCTTAGAGCATGTCCATAAGAGATGTGGATGAGGGGCTAAAAAAGTACTCTTATTATTATTATCATTAATAATACTGAGACAAGCAACAGAAACCATCTCCATGCACTGTCTACTAATTAAAACTACGTGCTCTGTCTGATTGCAAAAAACGTTCACATTTTATAAAACTGGTTACCGTTTTGATGCAGTACTTGCCGTACTGGTCAAGTAGACATACAGTATGCCAAGCTAGCCTCATTAGTATCTTCATTTCTGACATTGCAAGCTTCTCGAGTTTTAATTACAACAGTTAAAACTGTACTTTATTACACTATACATGGAGTAGAGCGAACTGTATTTCTTACATATAGTATGATATGTCAAAACACGCATGTTGCCGTTGCCGTTCATCATGATGTTCGTTAAGGGGCGATGGGGTAGCCTAGTGGTTAAAACGTTGGCTCGTCACGCCGAAGACCCGGGTTCGATTCCCCACATGGGCACAATGTGTGAAGCCCATTTCTGGTGTCCCCCGCCTTGATATTGCTGGAATATTGCTAAAAGCGGCGTAAAACTAAACTCAGTCAGTCAGCCATTACGTCAAGATTTGGATTGTGTTCGAAGTAAGGAAATTGATTTGTGTAATGTCTTTCAAAGTCTTTCACAAAAATACGGTTCAGGAATCAATGGAACAACGATTTGAAAAGGCACTAAAAAAAGAAAACAAAATTATAATTCACATTTATACTCTTCGCAGAAATCACAAGGGAGATAATGCATGTTAAGATACCATTATATGCCAGTGATTTTGTTCAAGCCATGGGTTTGTTTTAAAAATATCGCACACAAATTAATTCGCCTCTCATTCTGTCATCCTCCCGAAAATGGCTCAGACTTGATATCTTGGTAGGGTATGCTTACTTAATTGTGACATTTACAATACATTAAGGTATTTGACGAGATTAAACAACACTCCAGAATATCACAGCTGAGCATCTTCTTTAGACATCATCATCTGTCGACGTTCAAAGGAAAGACAAAAAAACATCTCAGTCTCAGGTCTGCCCCGCTAAATGTGATAACTTGCACGACCGGTAATAACCTTATAATATAGAACAAACTTTATGGATAACAACTTCTTTTATTCGTGAGTGCAACGTTTCGATACAGATTCTTGTACCGTTGTACATGCTTGACAACGGTACACGAATCTGTATCGAAACGTTGCACTCATGAATGAAAGAAGTTGTTATCCATAAAGTTTGTTCTATATTGTACCTCCCAACTTCTAAAATGCCACTCAAAGAAGTCAACGGTAATAACCTGATACTAATCTCTATCATATTGCCGTGTGCCCCCTGCCGTGATAGTGCTGGCATACTGCTAAAAGAGGCGTTAAACGACCCCCACTCACACAGCACATAAATAGCAGTGGAAGACCACAAAACATTTAGATCTGCCATTCAGACAGCCCATTGTTCGCCAACAGCATGACCATGCATCGACGAGTCTTCAAATTGCGATGACACCAGGTGTTCGCGAAAAAAACAGCGTGAACACCCCCGGGGACAGCCACGCCGTGATGATTACTTGAGACCTCAGTGTAAACATGCTGGACACTTTGATTGTATTTCTGGGCCCCCTTGTATAAAGGGTTTGGTCTACTAATGCCTACAGGGGAAAATAGCTACAGGGAATAATAGGTACAAAGTTTGTTGTGACAGCGATACGCTTACCTGCACACAAGTGGACTGTACCGGTTAGTGTGCACTAATGCCTACAGTGGGATTAGGGGAGTAGAGGGCAAAGAGCAATTAGCAGAGGCTATGCTTCTTCTCACACGGTTGAAGGATAGAAAAACATATTGAGGGATAAAACAAAGTGAGAAGGAAATGTTTAATTATTTGAGAGAGATTTTTCTTATTGAGAAGGAACCGTATTGCTTTAAAATGCTTGTAACCAAAGTCTTCTTGCTAACCATGGCAAACCCAAAGAAAGTCGAGTACTTCACATCACAGAAAGGAGGACAGCAGATACTACTAGATGGCTGCAGATATTTCCTGTAGGCATTAGTAGACTCCACCAATAGCACTACACCAACCATAGCACTACGTTAAGGTATTGGAGTCACCTCAGCGCTAAGCACGCTTTGTACAACGACACACGGAGCCATAGAGTCTTCCTCTCATGTTTGCACAGATTGCTTTGCTCTGGAGCCACCAGTCCGATTCTGAAACTACTTGACTCATATGAAGCACTTGATCGTTACTGTCCGGGTCTGCCATATTCAGAGTCAGAACTTAGAAATTGCTCAAACCTGGCTACAATATGTGCTCGGAGGCTTCAACGATATTTGCGAAAACACCTTTGAATATAAGTGGTTTAAGGTTCAAAATTGTCTGCAGTTTCAACTAGAGGTGTGACGATGCGGACATGTCACGATACGATACGTATCGCGATATCTTGGAACGATATGCTATCTTTAGTTATTTTCTTTAAAAAAGTCTATTTTGATAGCAAGTAACAGTGTAAATTTTTATATAACCGTCAATTTCTAGTGAACATTAACATTTTGTAGGGTCAACGATACATATCACGATACGAACAAAAGTATCGATATATATATATATCATCAGATAAAGTATCACGATTATCGATACTACGATATATCGTCACAGCTCTAGTTTCAACCGATTATCAGGAGTTCTCCACTAAATGTAACTAACAGCCAAGTCTTCATTGTATATTGAGTACATTTAAACCTTGATCAGATGATCACACGGTCAGTCATCCTTATTGGATAATTATATATAAGTAACACGAAGAAGTCATCGATATTCTTTTCCCTTTTTAAATGTGTGTATAATATCACAAAATAGTGAGTCAGAGACCTTCGTGCTGAACACACACCTTCCAGCAATATCATTGCGGGGGACCCAAGGCACAGGCTTCACACACTGTGCCGACGTGGGGAACTGAAACGGCCTTTCAAACCTAATGATAAATCCTGAATAGGTTACGCTTTGTTTCCCAAGCTGAAACTAAATATGTAACCAGGAATCAGGCCGTAAGAGAACGGTGTGTACGGACATGTCATGCAACTGTCTTGACATGATGGTTTGTGTATGCTATTTACAAATAGAGATATAGCATTTAGTAACAAGAATGATAAGCATTTATTCTGAACTTTACTCGTAGTACAATAATACTATACATTGTTTCGTTTTACATAAAGTGTACACTAACGGGACTTAAAAAGGCATCTGACTCCATTTAGATTGAAGGAGCTGTTTTACAGGATGAATTTACTCCTAGGTCGAGATTTGATTACTAAAACTGAAATAAAAAGAAACTGTCCTATGTGATTACCATACCCTCGTCAGAGTGATCACTGACTCACGAAACGGAGGAATTTTCGTCTCATTATCAGAAGATTTGAGTTTTGCTGATATATTCTCCTTCCCAGACGTAGTGTTCGATCTGAGGCAGTTCACAGTTTGCCTAGTCGTTATTGCCCTTCGATTTCCCGATCGGGAACCTTTGATGAGTTTATCACTTACAAAGTCCAGCGAACTGTAGCACTTGGTGAAATTGGGATCCAGCCGTCGTTTCGTACAAGCACTGGTTGTCATTTGCATGTAGTGCGCCGCACGGCCATTTGGCAAGTTCTTGGCATTGTTGACGTTTTGTAGATTTACGCGTTTCCCTGTTTGTTTGAGGTTTCCAAAACTCTTTGAATTGGAAGGCACTGATGTCTGATACCATTGTCGGCTCTCGGCACCATAACTCCCAGGAATTCGCACCTTTCTCTGCAGCAAAGGCTGCTCAACCTCCTGTTCTGCCTCAGCCTTGCGCATTAAAGATGCCTTTCTGAGCATCAGAGAAGACTTGGTGCCTCGTGGCGGAATGGTTATAATTGTCACTCGTGGTCGTTTCTGCTTGCTTTCTGCGCTTGTTGGGGAGCTTTTGGAAGACAGAGAGGCATAGCCTTCATCACTTGCCCTACTGATGCACATAAAGCGTTTCATGAAAGTTTCACTCCGAAATCGCGGTGGTGATGGACTGCGAGCGTCAAAGGTCAATCTGATGCTACTGCACCGACCAGAACCAGTAGTAAACCGGCTTGAACTAGTTCTGCTTCTTCTGAAGCTGTCAGACTGTTGGGTGCTTCTTCCTTCATCTTCATCACCATCAGCTTTATCACTCCCTGCCTCACCATCACTGCTGTGATGCCCGGAATCTGCATCAAAATCTTTTTCGGACTTATCAGTCTCCTCTTTCTTGTCTACATCTTCCTCTTTGGAGTCCTTCCTCTTCTTCTTCTTCTTCCTCCTTGGCCGAGTCTCGTCTTCATCTCCTGACCTGTTTTTTGCTGGCTTCGCTGGAAGCATCATTCTCGGACTCGCCACCAGTGGATGGTTCAGGCGTTGGAGGCTTGGGTCGGCGGTATCTGATGATCCTTTGTTTGGGTTTGATGAAGCTAAACAAGTCTCCGTTCAGGTAGTCGATGAGCTCTACAACGTCGTGCATCCCTTGGTCGAAAGCCAGTTGTCTACAACTGCAGTTGTACCACTCCATTGCCTTTGTTCGCTCATCCTTTACGTTCTGAAACAATGGATACATTTGTTCAATAATGAAGCGTGTATATGCGGTCTAACGGCCTACACGTGTAGTATCAAGGTCAATTCCAATGTCGAAATAATAAATAATACCTTGTCTGTTAAACTGCATGACCTTACGAAAACACATTTGACAAGCAATCATCGTCGATCGTTCCTATGGAAAAGGGTAAAAAATGCATGTTCCATAAATAATATATTTTCCTGATTTACAGACAACATCAAGCACGAGGATATATGGAACTATCCAAAATAGGGAATTCAATCCAATGCAGAGAGGGTTCAATCCCAATCAAAATAAGTGTCTGATGAAAGAAAAAAATTGTAAAGTAGACAGACTGCTGCAGGAGCAATGGTCAAATGCGATCGTACATTTTACCTATTCCTGTAAAATATGACCAGATAAAATTGTATTTAAACTTGCAGATTTTCTGCAGTGTTTTCCAAATATGAAATGTCACTTAATACGTTTTTCTTCTGAAGATAGTATCAAAGAGTAATAAAGGTCCCGAATATGAAAAAACCCGACATTTTATTCACACACACACACGAACAATGCCAATAAAAAAATAAAAAATAAAATTGTGTCATAAATGCCACTGAAACGAAGAAAAATCTACTTCATAATTTGCTAAGATGGATGACTTCATCGACAGAGGATGTCAAGGAAGGTCCCAGGCAAGAATGACTGTCATTTTCTATGATATATTCATCTCCAAGACAGAGGGCACGTGGACAGATCGATCGCTGCTGACTTACTATCATGGCTGTCTTGTAGTTGTAATCCACGCCGTTGTCTATGAGGAACTCCGCCATCTCCTCCTGTTTGGACTTGATGGCGGCTACCAGTAGGTTCTCGTGGTACTGCAACAAAAGGGCCAAACATGGGTCAAGGACGTCATCGTATTTGATGCAGCATTAAAACCTCAGAATTAAAGCATATTTAGTCGTCTTCACATCAAGTATATTTATCTTGTATTTGCAAAATATGCAAAGGTGAGGTGAGGTGAAATTGGGTTTAACGTCGGGCTTGAGAATATTTCGCTCATATGACGATGTGCATGCGTGTGTATGTGTATGTGCGGCTGCTTGTACTAGCCCAGACTTAAACTGCTAGCCCACTGAGATACCATGCCGCAGTGAAGCATGAATACCCCACTCAGACACATTATACTGACTCCGAGCCGACCAATCCTTGTTGTACCCATTAATGCCGAGCGCTAGGCAGGGACCAACAAGTACCATATTTTAACGTCTTTTGGTATGACGCGGTCGGGGATCGAACCCGCGAACTTCCGTTCTCCGGGCGGACGCTCTAACCATTACACCACGGAGGCGGTCCAAATATGCAAAGTATTACTATTAGCAGGAACTAGGTACATTGACCCGATGCTTCCTTGCTTAAAACCTTTGAATAATGTTCCCAAGAGGTTCAAGCATATGGCATTCACTAACAAACAAACAATCTCAATGTCCATTGTTTAATGATCTGTCGGTACCATTCAATGGCCGACAGAGCAAGTAAAACAATATTGGGCGTTCCACGTTTTAACTAACTTTTAACGTAGAGTTTAACAAGTATTCTAAGATGCCTAGCGGTTAGAACAATCGAAAAAAACAAACATTATCAGACAATAAAGGTATAGTTTTTTGATGACGTAACAATTGAATGACGTTATCCCGTCACTGCGCCATTCTAGTGTGCCCCCTCGTAATCGAACCATTTTACATTACGTCACAATGTAAGCGACGTCACGATGCATGTCAGTTGTCATCGCCTCGTACGGCCTCCTACAGTAAACTACACCGTTGCATCCAGTTTCTTGGTTTGCTGTTGCTTCACGCAGCTAACATCACTGGTGGAAACATTACGTTTATGTTTTACGACGGTTAAAATGTGTCATTTCGCCTCACAAGTTTTCAGCGACACGGTTACGTTCGTAATGTTTACATTCCCACAATGCAATTGTGGAATGTCGCTTGACTACTCAACTTCCTCTGGATGTACTGATCTAAACTTACGTTGGTAGTAGAAATGCAACGTTCACATTGCCCCATATGGTTTACGTTAATGACTGATGTAATTAAAATAATTCAGAGAAGATATTTAATCCGAACGTAAACCGTCATCAAACTGTTATCATTTGTTTTTTTTCTGGTAACGTTCGTCTTAACGTAGGGGGCAGACACATCAATAGAACAGCGCGCCAGTTAGCCCTGTGCGAGGATTCTTAATTTAGGTCACCGACACCGTCGTTTGTTTTCTGCCTTAAATTAATCGTAATTATCTTTAGAAAGTATTAAATTTGGCATCTTAGAAAAGAAATACACTTCGCCCTACCACCATGTATAGTGTAATAAAACACACTTTCGCCCTGAACTATTAAAACGTTAAAGGACTCGGACGCAATCGTCCTCGTGCTTTAACTATAATAGTTCAGGGCAAAAAGTGTGTTTTATTACCCTATACATGGTGGTAGAGCGAAGTGTATTTCTTAAGTACACTGGAGATACTGCAATGGAATGAAAAAACATATGTCTAAAATAGATTTTGAAGAACATCTAAGGAATACTATAGCATGTTCAGCTTGACCTGATCAAGTGAATACTAATGCATTGCGTGACCGTGTACCAACTGGTTGGGTCTATTATTGTGAAGGGGTGCACCTTTGTCAGTTGATAGTCAACATGTCCGAACAGCCGAGACAAGGTCGCCGTTTGACATCTATGTGTGAGAAATCTTGAGGAATGTCCGAACTTTCTTTAAAAAGGAAACTACAGATGGTTTAATGTTCCCGACTCGGGGTTTAGGCAACATTAATAACATTCTCTTCTCCCCTATTTAATGAAGTTAACTCGACCTGCCGTTTGTGCCATTTGACCTCCCGGGTCATGCATATGTTGAGTAGCTCAGGTCAAGCTGAACACGCTGTAGCTTCCAGTACCAAACATCTTCAACAGCAACAAATGTTTACCCAAGTCATGTTGATGTCAGAGTAGCGCTTGTCAAGACAGTCCTCCAGCAGGTCGATGTCCCCGATCGATGCGGCATTGTACATAGCCTGGTAAACAGAATAGATAATTAAGTAACTTTGAACACAAGGGAATTACCGTCAAAAAGGAAGGGCGAAGTGGGGTTTACCGTTGGGTTCTATATTGGCACATACATACATGTGTGTGCATGACTTCTTGTATAAGTCGGATTTATGAGGGTTCTCTAGGGCTTGTCGACCCATGAAGATCCGGGTTAGTTTTACGCCGCACTCAGCAATATTCCAGCTATATATAACAAATCGAGCCTGGGCCAGACAATCCAGTGATCAACAGCATAAGCATCGATCTACGCAGTTGGGTGAGGTGAAGTGAAATTGGGTTTAACGTCGTGCTTGAGAATATTTCGCTCATATGATGACGTGCATGCGCGTGTATGTGTATGTGCGGCTGCTTGTACTAGCCCAGACTTAAGCTGGTTTTATAGTGCTAGCCCACTGAGATACCATGCCGCAGTGAAGCATGAATACCCCACTCAGACACAATATACTGACTCCGAGCCGACCAGTCCTTGTTGTACCCATTAATGCCGAGCGCCAGGCAGGGACCAACAAGTACCACATTTTAACGTCTTTTGGTATGACGCGGTCGGGGATCGAACCCGCGACCTTCCGCTCTCCGGGCGGACGCTCTAACCACTACACCACAGAGGAAATTACGCAATTGGGATACGATGACATGTGTCAACCAAGTCAGCAAGCCCGACCGCCCGATCCCGTTAGTCGCCTCTTACGACAAGCATGGGTTACTGAAGATCAATTCTAACCCGGATCTTCACGGGTCTTAATGTGGAAGCGAATCCCAAAATCTTAAAGGGAAGCCACTTTTTTTAAATCCTTGATTACGGTTATTGTGCTGATAAACCTATACATAAACACAGGGGAAATATGGTATTCATATGGGATCATAGGCTTTCTGAATTCCAATGCAATTCTGTACAGCGTATGATGAGCCTAAGGTGCCTGTGTCACCCTGGTACCGGTGTAATCTTAGCTATGAGATTATCGTAACTCCCATATCTTAATATTGAGTTATGACAGTCGAAGAGCTTGTTTCGTACGACGGCTCCGGTGTCCCTCTGTTTTTCTATTTATAGTTTTTTCCAACTTCTTTTTTCAAAGCAGTCAGATTTGGCAACTAAGCTTATCTCTGACGTTTATCTCTGATTGTTGCTGTTATTTACCCCGCTCGGTTCTATTACCGTCAATACAGTACCTGTTTCTCTTCTGCTGTCATGCATGGATCTTCTTCTTCGAATTCTTCCACTTCCTCCTCCGCCACCTCTCCTTCCTCCTTCTCTAGTTCCTCGACGCCGGGGATCTTTTTGTCTTCGATGTAGTTGACGCTGGGGATGAACTCCTTCTCGGCATCGTCAACAATGACCTGCATACATCATCAACACGTGGTTAGTAAACCGTAACTCAAAACATCGTCAACACGTGGTTAGTAAACCCTAACTAAAAACATCGTCAACACGTGGTTAGTAAACAGTGATACGTTTTGATTGAGATGTACAGAGTTCAAAGAGATTATGTGGTATGTTTATTTTACTTCTTACTGGCATCCTGTACGCATTATGTTTTTTGATTATAAATCATATTCTGTCATTCACCTGATGCAGGGACAAGAAGTAACCCAGAAACTTTGTGTTGTAAATAATTATAGAAGTTGTAAATCCATACCATACGTTGTTATGATACATGGTTCGATAACTGTCACCTTAATACATCGTCAACACGTGGTTCGTAAACTTTCACCTTAATACATCATCAACACGTGGTTCGTAAACTGTCACCTTAATACATCGTCAACACGTGGTTTGTAAACTGTCACCTTAATACATCGTCAACACGTGGTTGGTAAACTGTCACCTTAATACATCGTCAACACGTGGTTCGTAAACTGTCACCTTAATGCATCGTCAACACGTGCTTCGTAAACTGTCACCTTAATACATCGTCAACATGTGGTTGGTAAACTGTCGCCTTAATACATCGTCAACACATGGTTGGTAAACCGTAACTCACTCAATCATTCCAGACAGGTCCTGTAAATCTCATAATATGGGGACGAAAGGAATCTTTGAACATTGTTCAAACAGACACCTATTTTAATTACAGGTGGAGGATAAGCTAATTGTCCAGACGAATGTCATCCTAGTTCCTCTAGTTTCTTCATGCCAGGAATTGTGGCTCTAATGTCGCTGTCTGTTATTTGACTTCTGCACTATAGTCTGTTTGCAGTGAAAACGTACCGAAGAATGTCACTTTAAACAAAAAAAGTAAATCCAATTAAGTGAAGATTGCGAATCCTCATAATTTGACTTTGCCAATTAAACATTTTAATCTCAGAATTTAATTGTTTAGCAAACCTTTCATAGTTTCAAGTCGCTCTTATTGGTATGTATTACAAGGGGGTATGCACATTAAATGAGACACCGATAACATGTAGGGTTGGTCTAAGTTAACGCTCATCTCGAACCGCACGTGCATTTGTTTTACTGTACCAACTACTGCGCTTACCCCCCTTGTAATACAAACCAATAATAGCGACTTGAAACTATGATCGTTTGTTAAACAACTTTTATCCTAAGTTGAATAAAATTCTGAGATTTAAATGTTCAATTGGCAAGGTCAAATTATGAGGATTCTCAATCTTCATTTCACTTTATTTGATTTATATTTTTGTTTAAAGTGACATTCATCGGTACGTTTTCGCTGCAAACAGACTATAGAAAACATGGATTTATCGTATATTGTAAGGGTATTCACAGCAGAACATTTAATTAGAGAGACATTTGGCAATCCTCACATCGATTTAATACCATAAGTTGTCACCTTTAATAATAATATGTTAGCCATACCAACTTCGTTAATCCGCGCGCTGCCTGAGTTGATCTATTTCACTGATAAAGCATGTAACAGATTGTACTGTAAATCCATCTAGTCGCTGAATGTTATTACGAAGACAGTAAACAGACAGCCCCTTATCTCTGTCAATGTTTAATAATGTTCCAGATGTCATCGTTTTCTCATCGAATGTTTGCACAGAAAGCGTGTTTAACGTACGTGACACTTGAGGCTTCTTCAGTGAAGCCATTTCCAGCAATAAATTCTAATCTTTTTAAAGTATCTGTCCGATACCTTGATTTATGTACAGACGTAAGACAGCTGTTATCTTCAATGAAAGTCTGATAGTGCACAAGGATGTCTCATGAACGTGCTGATAAATTATGACCCCTTTCTACTCCTATTTTCAGGGTGGTGAGGTGGCTTAGTGGTTAAAGCGTTCGCTCGTCCCACCAAAGGCCCGGGTTTGGTTCCCCACGTGGGTATAATGTGCGATGCCCTGGCATTGCTGGAATATTGCTACAACCCAATTCACCCTACGTCCAGAGCTTAGGGGTTCCGAGTCGTTTAATGTTCCGAGTCAGCTGTGATTGAATGCTGATGGTGGGTTAGATTCCCAGATTCAGCCTGATTGGGATTCTTGGTTTGTTAGCACCAATCCATGCGGCAGTATACGTCTAAGACCTGCATCCCTTCGTGCCTACCTCGTCCATTGCCCTGACACGGTGTATCAAAACTAAAATAGGGTTAATACGGCGTTAAACCCAGCTTACTCCATAGCTTACATTGACTGGTTCTAGCTTAACGACCCATTCGGTAATATTGCAGTTATAGTGACTGAGTGATTGAGTGAGTGAGTGGGGTTTTTAGCCGCTTTTAGCAATATCACGGCGGAGGACACCAGAAATGGGATTCACACATTCTACCCATGTGGGGAATCGAACCTGGGTCTTCGGCGTGACGAGCGAACGCTTTAACCACTGGTCTACCCCACCGCACTATTCCAGTTATAAGACGGCGGTCTAAATAATCGAATTTCGGTTAGAGAATCAAGTGAGTGACATCATGAGCATCGTTCAGCGCAACTTGGATACAATGAAACGCTATCATCTATATCACAGATCCTGGCCATTGAGTCACAGGACTGCTCACTCAGACATGTACACCCTGTCAGTAAATGGCCACTAAAGACACAGAGGCAGTGAAACCAGACAGAGACAGGATCGTGATAGAGAAAAGGGAGAAATCATGATGGAGAGACAAGACGGTGAGAGTAATAAACTAAATGGACCCTTGAGAGGGAGAGAGAGATGGTACGTGTGATGATTGAAAGGACTGACTGACTGAGTTTGGTTTTACGCCGCTTTTAGCAATATTCCAGCAACTTCACGGCGGGGGGACACCAGAAATGGGCTTCACACATTGTACCCATGTGGGGATTCGAACCCGGGTCTTCGGCGTGACGAGCCAACGCTTTAACCACTAGGCTATCCCACCGCCCTGATTGAAAGGAAGGCGGAATAACAGTGATAGAGAGAAGGGGGACTGGTATGGATATATGTCTCGTTCTCCTTCCTTAAGGTAAGGTTGGTTCAACATGTAAACTACAAAGTCATACCACTGATAGACTGACATGGGAATGTGTTATCAAAACCACATTTATCAAGTGTGACTTTTTCACTTAAGTGACCCAGCAGGCCCCGTGGGGTATTTTTTTGTCAAAAGCAGCAGGTGCCAAAGCGTTCTTTAATCAACTCCTAATCTCAACAGTCGTCAGTTTCGCAGGTTGAAGATTAAAGTTAGCAAGTTGAGGATTTAGTCGGGGGCTTAAGAAATGCGTGAAGGGCGGCACGCCACCCCCCGGAGAGTGAAGGACCTGAGATGTGAACCAGTTATAGTCTGATTGATGTATTTTACAACCGAAAACGTTGTTGTAATGAACACACAATACCATAAACGTTCCGGAGACAATGGAACCAAGAGAGTGAAATCAAGCGTAAAGACAAAGCAATCCTCTACTGGAGCACAGTGGTGTAGTGGTTAGCATGCTGGCCTCTCACGCCAAAGGCCTTGGTTCGAATCCCGGTGGAGACACCAAAATTTGTGACCTGGGTCTCATACTGTGTTGTGTCCCTGGGCAAGGCACTTCGTCCACATTGCACTCAGTCCACCCAGATGATTAAAATGGGTACCTGGGAAGCGGATGTACGGACCTATGCGGTCGCACGCAGCGCTTAGTAGCAGCTTTGAAAGTACATTTCTGTCAGGGTAATAATGTAACGCCAGAGAGCAGCATCGCGTTGGATTCTAGGCGCAAAAATTATCATTATCATTATTATTATTACTGCACATTATGCGGATTTGAAGCCAGATATTGCTCCTTAAACACTTTAAGTGTAACAAGTTGAAATCCTCATAATAGAAGGCGTGTCTGAGTCGGGTATCCATGTTTCACTGCGATGTGATATCTCAGTTGGCTAATACTATAAAACTGTCATTAGTTCTTATTTGTATAAACAGACACACACGCGCGCCGCCATTAAAGAGAAATAATCTCGGACGCAACGTTGATTCCGTTCTCACCCCTTACGAAGGATATTGTCTTGAATATGACTTTCAGTGTTTATATAATGCCGACATTTTATGTCACCAACAAGGTAAAGCCTGTCCTATTTGCTGAAACATTTGTCACCTTAAACCTCAACAACATATTGTTTCGATTTGAACATCGAGTCAAATGCAATCGGCACGTCTTAAGGATAAATGATGCATGACCATGTCGGAATAAACCGATGAAATCCGAGTCCATCGGTGTAGCGCTTCGATTGAGCAAGTCCCTACTATATTGCTGACCTACGGAGCCTCAGGATAAAGTGGTACTGTCAGGAAGCCACCGTGTCTATACCTACACGACCTGACGCCAAGTTAATCCCTCTGTGTGAAACATAACCCCTTCTGTTAATAACTTAGTGACAGTTTATATAGTCAGTGGTTCGTTTCCCGCCTGCTCTGATGGGTGGCATGCAAAGGTAGGTTTGAGCTGATATTGTTAAACGCTCCATTGTAATTGTGTTGTCCGTTTTTAACAGTCAGACAACAGTTCAAAAACTGAAAACATTTTCAAATCAAATTTTGGATCCAGTGTCTCACTCAAAACGTGTACCAATTACAAGGAGCCTCTTTTGCAAGCTAGGTTCGGGCAAAGAGTCACTAAAATTCGGATCAAATCCTTTAAATACCATTTCCATTTTAATGTATTATTTATGTCATTTTTATGTCATTATATATTTTAGTCTTTATATCAGTTCAGCAGTCAATATTTACCCTAAATCACCAAAATAATTAGCATGTTCTATTCGAGACACCACATGCTGGAGCTGCGAAGAAAATCAGTCAGTCAGGTTTGCGCTGCTTTTAGCAATATTCCAGCAATATCACGGCGGGGGACACCAGAAATGGGCTTCACACATTGTACCCATGTAAGAAATCGAACCCATGCCTTCGGCACGACGAGGGAACGCTTTAACCACTAGGCTACCCCACCGCCCGAGCGAGTTATGGACACATTTAATCAACTTCATATATGATACATCAAAATTGAAATACCTGTGTCTTCTCCCGAGAGCTTAATTTCTTCTCCTTTTCTTCGTCTGTCTCTTCCTCCAAACGATGAAGGTCTGTCGTCTTCGGTGCTCGGTGGCGTCGGACTTTCTTCTTTTTAGGACTCCGAGCCTGCCTCGACTCCTGGCCCCCCGGCCTATCATATTCCTGTCTAGGCGGGTGGGGGACAGACGACAGTAAGCTTCTTCCGTCCGCCATGTTGTAATATTTAGAAACAGTTTTCATCCATCACATACATTCTGTAACATATAAAACAATAACCGTGTGATTAATACTGTCAGCTATATATCAATACAGATAAAATACATGGACAGTTCACACCAAATAGAGACGACACGCCACAATCTCGAGCCAAGGTTCTATCAGGATCTAGACGTTGTAATCAGAGCACTGTGGGAAACTGACATACCATCTCTCCATTTATTACTATACGCCACAAACGGCCAGTACTCAAAAGCAAGGAGGGCACGAAGAACGTTAGTTAAACCTGCAAGCACGATTAACTCGAACAGAGTCCCTCTTTGAACATTTTTCACACGTAACCTCATGCTCCCTTAATATGTTACAAGATGCCCACCACCATAGACAAAAGATTTGTCACAATCAATAAAATCAATAAGGCACTGTATATTGAGTATACAATGAAAGTAAGAATATCGATGTGAGTCTCAATGATTTTCAATAACAGGAGTTATAGGTTTAAAACACAATCATCTCCAAAGTCGTTCCCTGTTTGAGGGCTCTTGGTACCATGTTCTGACTGCAGTAATAGGAAATGGTACCCGCAGAACTGTTAGCGTCCAGGGGACAACGGCCCTGCAGTCAGCTGTCAAAGTAGTGTCTGTCCTATGTCACGACGTGAGTAAGTTCAAATTTAAAGTCATTTTGGCAATATTTCAGCCATATCGTGACTAAAACAGTAAATACTTTACAATTTTATTATATAAAATCTGTCGTCAAAGGACAGTTAAGCAACTGGCATATCACATATTTAAAACTTGCCTGTAACTTAATATTATATACTATTTAGGACATTACAACATAAAAATGGGCTATAGATAGCCAGCAAATGAAGGTAGATACTAGGGACCACGGGGACTTACAATACCTTTGCTGCCTGCATGAACCCTAGTTGGATTTACACCATCCCTGCAGGCGCTGGCGATTGTAGGAAACTTTAGCCATTATTTTTAAATAACACAAATACTACGTTTAACAATCTGGTAAGTATAAATTTACTTTGAAAGTTTTGAGACTTACTTACCCCCCAGGCTATGTCACGAAGACCCAGGCTAACCAGATGCAATGCAATTCCCCTTAAGAACACTACACCACGTACCCAGCGTTCGGTTCCATAGCTTGGTATCGACCGGCTGATATTGCCAGCAAAAGGGCAATAATTTTCCTTCCTCCTTACAATAGTTGTAAAACTGTGTCGAGTTAATTCACAATTCGCTCGCAACAACACGGCCTTGCTTCAGGCTTCAGACAACGGTTTAATAAAAATCTACTGGATAAAACAATTTGTCAGAAAGACAAATCAGATACCCAGATATACTTTGACGATCAGATAACCCGGTTGTACATGCCATTTTGTACCAAATGATGTAGAGATAAAAATGAATTTAGAATCTGCAGATGAATGAGTTTGGTTCTTTTACATATTCAGCAATATTCCAGCAATATCACACAGGGCATCAAACATGAACGTCACATGTTATACAAATGGTGGGATTCGAACCCTGATGTTGGGGATGACGATAAAAGCTCAGCTTGGCTACCCTACAACACTGTTCATTAATTCATAATTCGATCCGCAATTCAGGATTCTACAGGCATAGACACTGTGAGGCATCATTTGGTATCCTTCACCTTGTCTTGGTTCTTGACAAAAACATTTAATATTAGATACCTGAAACGTAGAGACTATGTCAATGATACCCACTTACGTTCATGTAACAGATACGAGATGGTTAGGGTTTGCAGTTGTTCATAAAACACATCCTTAGGGAACACTACAGCCAATGAAAAAACACACATTACTTTGCAGATCCGTTTCGACCAAAACCACACCAATCCTCACCCCAAACACTCACATAAATATACACGCGCGCACGCACGCACGCGCGCGCACACACACACACACACACACACACACAAGCATGCACCCACGCACACTCACTCCATAATAAAAAATATATCGCCCCTTGAAGGATTACAAATGTATATCCCACTTTAATCCAGTTTATACATGCAGTTCGTGAAAATATACACACACAACCAGTAGTTATGTTACATACATGACGACCCCGAGTTACATATAAGGCAGTACTTACTTGAGTACATACATACCATACCGGATTATTGAAGACAGCGTTAAACACCTCACATTCACGTCTATGCCTGCATATGTTGTATAATAAGTTAACAAAAAGCACCGTAACATGATATACTAACCATTTTCCAATGTAAACACTCCACGCTTGGGCACTTCTAACACTACAACACGACTGTGGCTACCGTTGACTGTAGTTTTGTTTTCCCTGGCAATGAAAGGGCGACTCTCCCCGCCTTCAGCCGCTACCACAGTGGCGTCATATCGACCACCCTACTTGTTGTGTTTCTCGGGGTAGGAAATATCAATCACAGGTAAACACGGCATTTAATGGAAAACTTGGAGGGCTTATTGTAACTGGTACTTGCTACCTTTCACTGGTTGCCTGCCTGACGCCATGGCATGGTCCTTGACTTGGGGTGGCAGCGGAGTGACGTCAGCGAGATGGTGAAGCCTATAAGGATTTTATTGTTTTCAAGTTTGTTTGTTGTTTGTTGTTTAACGCTGTACTCAGCAATATTCCAACCGTATGTAAATAACGGTGTCTGGATCAGACAATCCAGTGATAGACATCATGATCATCGATCTACAGTATTGGATACGGAGTCATGTGTCAACCAAGTCAGCGAGTCTGACCACCCGATCCCGTTAGTCGCCTCTTACGACAAGCATGGGTTATCAAGACCGGGACGCCAACGTAACTGGGAATCTTGTACTTGTATGTGTATCGAACTTGGCCATTGCTGTGTTAGAAGCAAGTGCAATGTCCACTTGGCTTCGTATATGCATGAGGTGAGGTGAAATTGGGTTTAACGTCGTACTTAAGAATATTTCGCTCATATGACGACGTGCATGCGTGTGTATGTGTATGTGTGGCTGCTTGTACTAGCCCAGACTTAAGCTAGTTTTATAGTGCTAGCCCACTGAGATACCATGCCGCAGTGAAGTATGAATACCCCACTCAGACACATTATACTGACTCCGAGCCGACCAGTCCTTGTTGTACCCATTAATGCCGAGCGCCAGGCAGGGACCAACAAGTACCATATTTTAACGTCTTTTGGTATGACGCGGTCGGGGATCGAACCCGCGACCTTCCGCTCTCCGGTCGTATATACATGAACCCTGGTTCCTTGTAACATATACTTTCATGAAGCGAGTAAATTAAATGGATTGAGTAGCACGATGTCTTGGTTGATTGTGTCATCGTATTAAAAACATCATCATTCTCGACGGGATGGGACATTGATCGTGATAACAACCACGGATAGGTCTAGACTTGTTTACTTAATTACTGTGATATAACTAGAAATTTGTAGGCATTTAGAAGTTGGTAGGGTAATACAACACACTTGATATGGATGTGCAACTTCTTAATTATTTACACACGACGTTTCTGGGCTAATGCTTGCCCATTCATCACACATTGTACCCATGTGGGGAATCGAACCCGGCTCTTTGGCGTGACGAGCTAACGCTTTAACCACTACCCCACCTCCACTAGAACACAATAGCATGAAACTGTTGTGATATACATATGATTAAATGTGATACAATTACTGATACAAATAGTTCAGGACTGGTTTGCCTTACCCACGCTCTGTCACTAATAGCTACATGAAAGCTATCGTGTTACCGCCAAGTATGTTCGTCACAAAATAAGAACAAAGCCATGACATTAACGCAACACTTACCAAGCTATCTGCCGTTACAGTACAGTTGTGGCGTTTTTTCATGTTCCCGTGTACCTTCATAAATCACCACCTCCATACAACTAACATACATCAAGCAATATTTTGCAGCATGAAAGCAACGGACAGAGTGTGGCACCCTGCGGTACCCCAGTGCTATTTACATGCCGCTATAGGTTATTATTCCCAGCTTAAGCAGGTACTATTTAGAGTCGTACCTATCATCGACAATCGTTCTTTTCATACAAGGCAATAAATTCTCCACACAAGGGAAACATACACCAGTAAGCCCAACCGTCTTCGACTTCTTTTCATGTGTCATTTCCTTTGAATGGCCTTTACTCATTATGAGAAGGTTAGAGGTGTATCTCCGGCTTCTTTATGAGACATGCAAAGGAGAACAAATTATTCCAACTACAATAAGAGAAGCCTTTGGCAAATATGTTTATCGATATGGGTGTACTTGGGTTACGAAATCGCATTAAATCTTTTCAGTACATACCAATGCCCCCTTTGTCAAAATTGAATTTAAATCCAGTGATTACTTGAAACCCTCATTGATTTGAAACCCGTGTGTGTAAAGTTCTATACGGTTTCTGTATCTCGGAGGCATAACTTTCAATTGAATATATTTTGTAATTTGAATTCATATGTTTGAATAAGCCTAGAGACTTGTAAATATCGTTCGCGAACCTAAGCTCGCAGCCAAATGAAGGTTTTGCTATTCTCTGTATTCGATCTGACGAGTCCTGGGAAACATTTTAAAGGTCGGAAAGTCAACAGGTCTCATTTCCATAAACCTTCTCTAACTTGAGGGACCGGTCATTTAATATGGGGATGAGAGGGCATCAGGGGAGGTCACCAACAAATATGAAAGTCCCAAGAAGAGGGTCTTGAAAATTAATATACTTATATTTCGGGAGGGTGAAGAAAAGTTTATAATGAAATATACTTCAGCTTTTTGTTTTTCGGAGAGGGCTATGAAGTGTACAGGGATATGGAGAGAGTCATCCCAAAATATGAACGCATTAGGGGAGGGTAATTAATTCAGTGCTTCAAGAACTTCTCACCCACCCACCCCCGTAATAAATGACCGGTCCCTTACAGATCGGAATCCCTCATATGTAAACCTGGCCCTTCGGTCCAAGTGTGTTTATGTAAACAGGTTCATTGTCATGAAGTTTATTCAGTCTTTAGTGTACTTCTAATGTTGGCAACCATTGTAGTCTGCAAACAGGCACATAACACTATACTTGAAATGGTTTGAGTAAATTTGTCGTTGAGGGTAGTGCGATCTAAGACTCGCCTAGACCATTGCTGTTACCTGGTAGAGAGTGGAGAATGAGTGGCCTCGATAATATACACCCGTGCATTAATTAAGCACCACCTTATTTTGAAAATAAGATGTGACGCTACAGAAAAGTAAGAGTATAGCCATCAATTTAATCATCCTGTAGTTAAAGAAGCCTTATCCACAGACAGTTTTACATATACCATAACCTATTCTATTCTTTATGAAAGAATATGTTGATGAAAATGTGATGGGACTGAATTTTTACCCAAATAACTATTCCTCTCCTGCTCAAACTACACAACTGAATTATGTTTTGACTAAAAAAACAATTCTGTTATATACCAAGATGACATTTACACATCAAGTAACTAAGCTTTAATTATGTATAATCAGGAAGAACACGAATGTCAAACATTCAGACCTTTTTCCAACAATTCAGATTGCTAAATGACAAAAACGGAAAAAGGCCACATTAATAAGATTTTGGAATATTTTTTTATGATTTTGAGTTATTGTAATGAATAATTACTTCTCCTTGCTGGATACTGATAATTACAGCTAAAATCTGTTTGTTTTGTTTGTAAAGCAACTTTTACTGACTTTTTAAACTGTTCCTTTTTTTTATTTTGACTAACTTTTCTTCAATCTTAGTTTACAAACTTTCATCCATTCACAAAAAATAAGCAATTTATAGGCCACACAACAATCAATTATTACTTTCACTTTTCAAAAGAAGGTAACTTGTTTTAGGACAGAAAAACACCTGTTTTAAATATGAGTAATTATCCTAATGAAAATACATGGTAATTTCAATGATGTTTTCGTTTTTGAAATATTAAATGCTTGCTCTATCAAATTATAAAGGTTTTTTTTTGGAAAGAGTTTAGAATTTCATTTCAGACAAAATTAATTGGTAAAAATACAGGGTGGTGCTTATTTTATGCACAGATGTATATTAAACTGATGTAGAAAGTACACACTTGTTGCTTTGGGAACATTTTCCAAAAAGCAACGAAATATTTTGATTGTGCCATTTTTCAAAATATTCATTTTGCCTTTTGTAAAATAATCCCAAAACTACACATGTATACTTTCTTTTGTAAGTGAGACTATATGTATAAAATTGTACATTCATACAACGCTGTCAAACATGATCAGTGAAACACACTGCCGGCCAAATATTAGTATAATCCCAAGTTTGTTGGTAACTAAAATAAAACACACACGAAATGGGTTTCAATGGCGAAGTATTTTATAAGGGTGTCATAGTATTTCAGCAACCGATTTCAACATTTCGACAACCTTGTGTAATTTTCAGGTGTATACTTTTTTGTCTGTCAGTTTATCGAGGTAAATATGACGGATTCAATAGAGTACAAGCTATAAGATAAAATTGTATGTTTTTGGATACATGTATGAACTTCTGACAAAAACATGAAATTCATGCAAGCAATTACAGTTATTCTTAATTTAATTCAAGCTATATTATACAGACAATATTATTCAGTTTCATTTAGTTAAAGATAAATCTAGTGTTTAAGAATATAGTATCTTTTAGATTTGCAGATTTTTAAAAGTATTCTTGAGAGCACAAGGGTCACGTTTAGGTTTATACTCGTCGCTTATGCATGTGTTTATGTTTGCAGGGCAGTAAGCAAACCTTGATATTAACATTCAATAACACACATCATACGTACAGATGTCTCTTTCAGGCACACGTTTCACATTGACATATGGGATATCATTAACTAAATGACCTATTGACAGGTTGAAAAACAGTCTGAGTATTTAATGACTCCCCCTACCCGTTCTTTGTTAAATTAGGGGAAGAAATATGAAGCGGTGGACAAGGGTACTTTGTCGTTCCCGGAGGTAAAGGCATCAGAACACAGCCACATGCACATTTAAAGACAGGCATACAGACTCGTGACTCGAAAAACACGCTGTTGACAGAACAGGAACACTGTTGAAATTTACAATTACATGGGCTAACGTCTCTCGCATGTATGACGGGCCGTTTAGGGGCTGTGGGTTAGCTTGTAGTTAAATTGTTCGCTAGTCACTCTTAAAGACGGATTCGAGATTTCCACAATAGTGCAATATGTGAAGCTCATCCATAGTGTCCCTTGTCCAAAATCCTGCTGGAATATTACAATAAGCGTCGTAAAACCAGATTCACACACACGCACTGACTCACTGGATGTTAAGCCTCGTGGTAATTAAAGTCAAAGATGTATTTGCGTGCCTGTCCCCTCCCACTGTAGCCTACATGTAAACTGTCTCACTAACGTCTATTCAGCTGCGATTAACCAGTCCGAAATCAAAGACTAATTTACTTGAGCCTCTTAGTAAAAAAACTATGCTATAAACTAATAGCAAATCACGGGCGATTAAACAAGGCTTTAGTAATTGTAGCCAGCCAGGTACTTCATACCTCGGTGTTATTAGTTATTACGTATGTTATTATGCTCTTAAGATACGGGTGTCAAAGGAAACTAGGTCAGTGTGGTGCCGTGATGAAATATGGTGAAACCAGGAGGAGGTATTTGCTGATTAGTACTCCCTGCTAGTTATAGGTTACGGCGGTGAATATCTGTTTCACTTATAAGCTGTGTCTTAACTGACTTACATAGAAGTTGACGACGTGTTGGGTGTGGACAGGATTCTGAATAACACCTTTGGCATAAGACTGATTAAGACTGATTCGGTGTATTGTTTACACTGTTGAACTATTACTGACTATTAAGTAACATACAACATGATACTGTGTTAACGTACAAGTCTCTGGCTGACTTAATACTGTTGAAATTGCATCACCGTTAAAATATGACTGACAAACAACTAAAGCACAACTGGCAAACCCTTTACTTACAAAAATCTTTCTGCCTAAGTATTGGTGGAATCTTAACACAGTTGAACTATGACTGACAAACAATTAAAGCACAACTGGCAAACCCTTTACTTACAAGAATCTTTCTGCCTAAGTATTGGTGGAATCTTAACACAGTTGAACTATGACTGACAAACAATTAAAGCACAACTGGCAAACCCTTCACTTACAAGAATCTTTCTGCAAGTACAATCTTAACAGTTGAACTAACTGGACAAAGCCACTGGCAAACCCTTACTTACAAGAATCTTTCTGCCTAAGTATTGGTGGAATCTTAACACAGTTGAACTATGACTGACAAACAATTAAAGCACAACTGGCAAACCCTTTACTTACAAGAATCTTTCTGCCGAAGTACTGGTGGAATCTTAACATTGTTGAACTATGACTGACAAACGACTAAAGCACACTGGCAAACCCTTTACTTACAAGAATCTTTCTGCCTAAGTATTGGTGGAATCTTAACATTGTTGAACTGTGACTGACAAACAATTAAAGCACAACTGGCAAACCCTTCACTTACAAGAATCTTTCTGCCTAAGTATTGGTGGAACCTTAACACAGTGGAACTGTGACTGACAAACAATTAAAGCACAACTGACATACCCTTCACTTACAAGAATCTGTCTGCCTAAATACTGATGGAACTGATGTTGAACTATTACAGTGCAACTAGCACAATGCTAACGTACAAGATTCTCTCTGTATTAATACTGTTAAATCGTAACACAGTTGAACTCTGACAAACAATTACAATATGACGGGAAAAGTTTCAACTTGAAAGGCTAAAATATTGTAGTAATAGCATCAACACTGTTGAACAACAACTGACATGTGTTTGTAATATGACTGGCATATTATTGAATTACAATTGAAGAAATATAAAAACATTTACGGTTGAAACAATGCTGAAATCGTATCAACACTGTTGAAATACACATTCATACTGCTGACACACCATAGACACGTGGCTGAAATAAACCAACCAAATACGACTTGTTAAATTTATGTTGCAGTTATCCGTACAGCAAGTTATTTAACACATATTTTAACCCTCCAGTTCATGCACACGCTCGAACATTGACCAAGAGAAACGTCTCGCCAGGACTTACCTTAACACATTGGTAACTATCAACTCCGGGATAAAGCTATCAGTAAAACACAAGGCGATTCAAGCCCAAACCGTTCTCTGTCTTATCAGATTCTCCAGCAGTGTACAATATTGCCAGTCTGATCCGGGTACAGATGGACATAGTTTGCTGTCTACGTTGCTGGACAATCGGACGTTCAATAACAGACTAGCTGACTGTTACAATCGACAATCTGAGGCGATATCGAGAAGTGCGCTGTGCTCTCTGATAAGCTAGGATTACTGGGGGTGATCCTACGCACGAACGGTTATAAAAAGGCTGCGTTTTGGAGATCGATTGCTCGGGTGTTGGTTGGGAAACGTTTTAGAGCTTTGGCTGGTAGCTGGGAGTTGGATAGGAACAAGATTAGAAACTTGGAGGACAATGTGTTTCAAAGAACAGATGTGTTGACTGCCCTGGTAAATTATCGTGGAATGTATTGAATTGTGCAGCATGTCGTTCATGTTGTTAACATAAAGGATAGGTTTGTTTATGTGATTATATTTTGTCATCCCATCTTGCAAGCTGGTACATACACCGACAGCCAATTTTTGGGATATGTTTATGAAAAGATGGGTGAAGGAAGAATGAGTGGGAATGAGAGAAGAAGAGTCGGGGGAAGGGGAACAGGGGTTAGAGGGAGTAAGAGAGAAGGAGTGAGACTTAGAGTGAGAGAGTGACAAAAAGAGGAGGGGGAGTAGGAGAAACAGTCGGGGGAGAGGAAGAGGGGTTGTTTGGCTCCAGTGATCAACAGCAGGAGCATCGATCTACGCAATTTGGAACCGATGACATGTGTCAACCAAGTCAGCGAGCCTGACCACCCGATCCCGTTAGTCGCCTCTTACAACAAGCATGGGTTGCTGAAGATCAATTCTAACCCGAATGTTCATGGGTCGGGGCAAAGGGAAAGAAAGACAGAAAATTGGTTGTGATACTATTAATATTCCATTTCTATTTTACCACAGCAAATGTTCACTCCTACGATCATGTAGTGTAGGCCGTCAGGACGATGATACATTCGCGCTACAATTATCTGAAGCATGTTAAAGTAGTGTATAGTATAAGGACCCTGTGTGCAGATATATAGATATATACTTTCATAGAGTTGTCCTCCAATACATATGTCATCAAACTGATGAGTAGTTGTACATGCATTAACCTCTTTCTTTAATTCACTCAGAATTAAGTAGGACTAGGGGCATGGTCCAGATCTAAATACACATACGCATAGGGAAACCCAGAGGATTAAATATCAATGGCTTTGTATTACTCTCCGTTCACATATGCTGTTACGTTCGATGTAATGTAACAAAAGTGTTGTTGACAACATAGTTTGTCTCGTCGACTTGATCGGGGAATGAAGTAATTTTATTGCATATTGTAATTTGTATTAGTATTTTCGCTCTTTTGTCTTGTTTCGTTGAAATGTTGGTCCCATTAATTATTATGATAAATGTATATCCTCTCAAAGCATTGATGGCGTATATTTGCAGAGTAGTGTCCCTTAGATGATGATTATTGTTGAACGTGTGCAGTCATTGTGATGTTTTCCCCTTACTGATGTACCTGTGTAATACTGTTAAACCAAATTTGGACTTTTCTTAAAGTCGATTCGGAGGTCACACAACGCCACACATTCAGCGGGTAAAGGTGAATAACCATTTGCCTCATTCCGCCATAAATCGCATCACTTTGAAATATATTCATTGTTAGTTTGTTAAGAAATCGTACTGAAAATGAAAATGAACACACATCAAAGAAAGAATTATTCTGACTCAAAATATCACCTGCAGAGCTGAGAAAGAACATACAATATTACAGAGCAGAAACACGTGAAGCAGCAAGCGGTGTGTTACATATTTACATTACATGTCAAGTAATTTATCATTTCGGCAGCTGAATAAAGTTAGTATTTGTTTTCCCCTCTGGAAGACAGCGATATTAATAAAACCCCGAGCGTGTTGTATTCGCCATACGTCCTGGGGTTAGTTAGTGGAAAGGCTGGATACAAGCATATAACCACGAAAATATAAAGGGAGTCGGAATGTACTCCAATACATTGAGAGGAGAGAAAGTGAGAGGAAGGAGAGAAGAGGGAGAGACAGAGAGAGAAAGAGAGAGGAGGAAGTGAGACAGAGAGAGGGGAGAAAGAGGAAGGAGAGAAGAGGGAGTGGGAGAGAGAGAGCGGAGGAAGTGGGACAGAGGGAGAGAGAAAGAGAGAGGAGGAAGTGGGACACAGAGAGAGAGAGAAAGAGAGAGCAGGAAGTGGGACAGAGAGAGAAAAAGAGTGGGAGAAAGAGGGGAGAGAGAGGAAGGAGAGAAGAGGGAGTGTGTGAGAGAGAGAGCGGAGGAAGTGGGACACCGAGAAAGAGAGAGGAGGAAGTGGGACACAGAGAGAGAGAAAGAGAGAGGAGGAAGTGGGACAGAGAGAGAAAGAGGGAGTGGGAGAGAGAGAGGAGAGAAGAGGAAGTGGGACAGAGAGAGGAAGAGGGAGCGGGAGAGAGATGAGAGAAGAGGGAGCGGGAGAGAGAAAGACACAGAGAGAGAGGAGAAAGAGAGAGTGTGTATACAATGAAGTGTAGGTACAATGATACCGTCGACCCAAAATTATCTGAAGCCTGTTAAAGCAGCGAATATTGTAAGGACCCTGTAGTTTATTGTAGATATGGCCTCTGTGTGTGTGTATATATATATATATATATATATATATATATATCAAGAGTGAGCTCAACGTTAATATCAACATAAAGTGTACAGACCACTGTGAGCTATTTCATAGTAATAACGTCAACAGTCCGTTTGGCTTATGAGCCACGTACTCTCCAATGAATTATTGTACCCTAATTCCATGAATACACTCCTACAGATGGTGTATTGATGTTTTTATTGAAAGAAAAATAACGTGTCAAATATGTCCGCATGGTCAGTATAATCCATTCCATGTTGTTATGTAGAATTACTGCGACGGAAAAGCCACACGGATTTCAGCCAAGCGTTGGTCTGCGATGTTTCCAGGCTGCTACTTTCACCAGGGTTCCGGGTGTGGATAATCCGGTTATTGCGTTCAGCGACCTGTCAATCAATCAAGTGATTCACCCACCTGTCAATCCACATTCACCCAACCGCTATCTGCCCGCCTCTACCTGCACCCATCAATCCTCACCTAAGTAGCGCACCTAGTTCCATTTAGTGTTTTCAGGTTCTGGTGCCAACTCATTTCAATAGATAAATGCTGTGACAACAACATAGATCAGCACACGACCTCAGTCACCTAACCTGTCTAGCAAATGTTTGATTATATGCTATTGAACAAAATGTTCACTTCATCTGATCACACGACATCTCAGTTTTGCAATGAGCCTGTTTCACACCGCTTGGATCAGCTTATGAGGGCCGGAGACAATAAAAATAGAAAGGTAAGACAGTGAAATAAAAAAAAACAACATCATCTTAGATACCCTTTTCTTTGTGGTTTTTCCCCGTCTTTCTCTTTTATTTATTTGTTTTATTTATTATTATTTTTTTTATTTTTTTGGGTGTTGGTACATTTTGACATTTTTCAGTGATTTCATTTATTTATTTGTTTTATTTACTATTATTATTATTTTTTGTTTGTTTTGGTTTTGATACATTTTGACATTTTTCAGTGAATAAACTGTTACTTATTGTTAAAAGCTATATTAAACCTAGATCAATCTTTAGATTATTTTATACGGTAATCAATATTACGTTTACGTGACATCAAGGTCGATCCAATGCCCGTCAATACGGAGGTCAAAGAACTGTACACATAATGCGGGTAGGTGAATAACCCTTTACCTCATTCCGCCATAACTCATATTGTGTTGGAATATATCCATAGTTAGTTTATTAACAAATCGGATTGAAACGGTCAAATCAAAGAAGAAATTACCCTAACTCAATATACCACCTACAGAGCTGTTTACCCTGTCGCAGAACAGAAGCATGGGAAGCAGCGAGTGGTCTGTTGCATATTTGGGTTTAGATATCAAGTAATTTATCATTTCGGCAGCTAAACAGAGCCAGTATTTGTTTCCCTCTCGCGACATTAACCCAGAACATATTCTATTCGCCATACTTCCTGGCATAGATATATGACCACGATAATATTAATAGGGTGGGTAGGTACGTTCTCAAACGAAACACGAAAATATACCAGAATCATATTAATTCCTGCAACACAAACTATGTAAGTACATGTATATACTATTCACACTTTGCTAAGGATCAAATCATGGATTCAACAGAAAACTATTATGTGGGGTCAAATTTCGTTTAAATACCTAAGTTTATTGTAAGCATGGATCCTAGGTTTCAGTATGTCATTGCATCTTGTGGATCCCATACCTGCTATTGACATGTGTTGTGTACTTGTCACTGACTCGTTCCATGATTTGCAAAATGGTTGATTGGTGCCATAAGAAAAACATTTTTATGGTTACTCGTGTATCAATTGCATAAGGTTAGCTTAAAGTGACTATTTGCCTAATAAGGTCTCAACTTCTAAAATGCCACTCAAACAAGTTACCATATTATTATTTATCCAGTTTTAAATGGATACAATTTTAAATTATAAATCTACGCTTAAGTAAAGTTGTGAATTTTTGTGATCCTTAGCAAAGTGTGAGTAGTATGTGTATGTATGTGTGCGTGCGTGCTTGCGTGCGTGTGTGTGCATGTATTTGGTCCATTTGATTCGTAAGCCATCAACTGTCCCATTTAATTCCATAATGTATATCCAGAAATCTTTATTCTAACATGTCAAATATGTCCGCATGGTCAATGTGAATCAGTCCATGTTGTCATGTATAGTTGCCGGGACGGAAAAGCCACACGGATTTCAGCCAAGCGTTGGTCTGCAATGTTTCCAGTTTGTTACTTTCACCAGGGTTCCGGGTGTGGATAATTCGGTTATTGCGTTCAGCGACCTGTCAATCAAGCAAGTGTTGCCAGTAGCACGTGACGTACAGGGTCAGGACAGTTTGGATCTGAACGGAAAATAGTGTCTCAGTGAAAAATGACGAATGTGGCATTGCAGCCAATATTAATTAAATGCATTAATTAAGTTCTTAATTCCAATATCATATTCATACTTTTATGATGCACCCACATACCTGACGTTATGTTACAAACAGCATTTTACGTTACTCTCTATCTCTCTCTATCTCACTCCTCTCTATCTCTCTATCTCACTCTCTCTCCTCTCTCTCCTCACTCTCTATCT